GGGCGGCCAGCACGAGCTACTAGTCAGAACGCGCATTTGTAATATTCAGGAGCAATGTTTAGCGCACCTTCACCGACCTAATGTTATAATTTCGGTAAAAAAGCTAACCTGTTGCTTTTTGCTTAGCTCTATGGGTCTTTAGGGACAGCACATTCAGGGTCACGCAGGCGATATTTTATCAGAACTTTCATTTCGGTGAAGACATTGCAACATTGCATGCGTCAGCCGTCACACTATTCGATGAGAACATATTGCCACGTGCGTACTGCTAGGAAGACGAAGACGACGGCGCATACGCGCATCTGCATGCTTTTATGCAGCAAGCATTAACAAGAAAGAAGAGGAACGCTCTGGCACGCAGTGAATAAAAATACTGACCTGCTGCTACTTTCTCAACCTGTTAATTACTATTTTGTCTTCACGTTGCGGCAATACATTTGTACTTAGCTTGCAGTCCTTGGAACAAGACCACGGCTGAAAGTATTTCATCAATGTTGTTTTCTCACTACCTACAAAGTCAAGGCTTTGAGCGAAGCACGTCTGCTGGGGAAGTTGCATAAATTAAAAGAAGGTGATTCACACAAAAAAAAATAGAGAGAGAGCACTAGAGAATGCGTTTCGGCTCCCCTGAGGAGAGCTTTGTTCGCAATTTAGTCCACAAGGCTCCCGTCATTGTGTGCAAGGCTGCGTCAAGGTCACTGAAATATCCTTATTCTGCATTTTTTTTCTGGTCGGTGTCCTCTTTCTAATTTCCATGGCGCACTCTTGAGGACACATGAAGAGGAACATTCGCTACAGTAAATAAATAAAACGTGCCTGCTAAAAATACATGACGTCAATGTTCGTTTTTAAGGGACCTGATGGCCTGCTGACGTAGTGGTTATGGCTTAACAACTGTGCTGTTATTGTTTTTTTGCAGGTGGTGAACGTTTTATCTTCAGCTTTAAAAGCTTCGATCTTATGGAGGACGGGGGGAGGGGGGAGTGTTCTATGCATGGCTACACCAATGTGCGCCACAATACCTTGTTCAGGCGAATCAGTGTACTTTGTGAGTGTTGACTAATCACGCAAATGACACAAATGAAAAAAAAAACAGGTACAAGAGAATCGGCCCTTACCCTACTGAACAAGCGTCGCTCCTATTGTATCTTCCATCTTATAGTAGTTTGCATGCTTTATCGATGAAAACTGCGTTTCGCTCACATTACTTTCTGCTTCAATTTATTACTAGACTCGCAAGCAGCTAGTAGTGGGAGCCTTGCTTGTATCAAGATGGTTAACGTATGCTAACAGTATAAGCAAAACGGCCCGAAAATGTCCTGCATTTGTAGCCTTGTAGGCACGTATGCTCAGATTTGGGTGCACGTTAAAGAACCCTAGATGGTCGAAATTTCCGGCGCCCTCCACAACAGCGTCTCTCATAATCATATGGTGGTTTTGGGTCGTTAAACCCCACATATCAATCAATTATTTGTAGCCCTGTTCATTACACCCAAAATATAAGGGTGTAGATAGGGTGTTTTGAGGGTGTTTTATTACGAACACCTCAAATTTTAAAAATGGGGCGTAAAAGGGTGTTCGTATGGGTGATTTTAATGCGTACTCCCGTTTTACACCTTTTGGGTTGTAAAATTTTTTTAGAGTGTACTACAGGTGAGGCCCATGAGCTGGCAGACGGTTGAATTACGTTGTCCCTGAGCATTTCTTCAAATTGGCCTCTGATGACTTCTCTCTCTTTTGGTGACACTCGGTACGGGTGCTGGCAAATAGGTCTAACAGATTGATCGATTATGATGCGCTTTTTGGTGATAGATGTTCTTTGCACTTTCGATAACCTGGAAAAACATGAGGCGTACTCCCGTATAAGGCTCTCGATATTTGTTTCTGGTTCGGTGATAGGGCTGCTTCGATGTGGATAGATGCGAGTAAGGAATCTATACCGTCAGGGTGTAGTGGTGCAGTCTCGGAAGAATTTAAATCCGTAATCTGAACGTAATCGTGCAAGTGACCAACAACAGTTCCCTTCGCAAGATGCTGCACCTCATTTCGAAAATTTGTCAGGAATACACTCGTACACCCATCACGCAGTCGTACAATACCTCTTGCTGCACAGATCCCTTTCTCGAGTAATAGCCCAGTATTGCTTTCTGCCATTCCTTCATAGTCGCTGTACACATTGCTTTTTGCGGTGACAACAATGATGGATCTTGCAGGTACTGTTACACCATCACCTGCAATCTGGAGCGCATCGAATCGTTTTTCACTCTCGAATGTCGCGATGGCGTGTTTCGTCGAGAACGAGACGCACGCTTCCTGCAAGTTTATCACTGCGCCGTTGGCCCGCAAAAAGTCCATCCCGATAATTGCATCTCTTGGACACTCCGACAGGACAATAAAGCTGGCGACGTAGGTGAAGCCGCGTATTCCGACTCTTGAGGTACACATGCCTGCCGGATCGATAAGGCGTCCCCCGACGGTTCGCACTTGTGGTCCTATCCAAGGGGTCAGCACTTTTTTCAGCGTTCTGGCAAGTCCCCTACTCATGACGGAATAGTCTACGCCTGTGTCTACCAAAGCATTCGTTTCGTAGCCGTCTATAATTACCGACAAATCAAAAGCGACGTTACCGTTTCCGCACGTAGTCTCGTGTTCATCATCACATTTTTAAATCGGCACTCTAGGTTGTTTTCTTGCTTCGGCAGTGGCCTTACCACCCCAGGTCACCGATTCTAGTTTTCCCGAAGCAGGCTTTGGCGAAGTCGCCTCGGAGAGTTTGAAGATGGGCGCGGACTTGGTGACCGATACCTCAGTGGCGCTGTCGACCGAGACTGATGCTGCTGCGAGGAGTGGGCACCCTGACGCATTGACAAGTACTCCTCAATTTCAGAAGGTCGCTCCCCATTCCGAGGACAGGCGGCGTTTACGGGAAAACCCCGAAGTCCAGCTCGGCGATATTCACACATCCGGTAAAGATGGCCAGCTTCGCCACAGTGATAACCAAGCGGAATTCGATCAGGAGTGCGCCATATATCAGCTTTTCGGATCCTAGTCTCGGCTGGGGACGGCGTAAATCGAGGTTTTGGCAGATGTGTGCTAGCTGCGCCAAAATAAGGTCCAGGGGCGGCGAAAGGTGGTCCAGGGAGGACGAAATGAGGTACAAAGGTGCCTCTCAGCACCTCGGCGTACGAGACTGCGGGCTGCATTGGAACCGACGCTTGAACAGGCTGGGATTGTGGCTGCTGCTCACGGACTGCCTGTCTCACCTCCTCCCGAACAACTTCCGCGAATGACGAGACCGTTGAGGGGTTGCCGTTTAGCTTCTGGAGCTCTTTTCGAACCACCGATCGAATGAGCTCTCGTAATACGTCGATGCCATTCCCGCAGACTGCTGACACCGCGTCTATGGATGCGACGTTGACATCTCGATTGTAGTGCCTCGCTCGCTGTTGCAGAGTTTTTTCAACTGCTGTCGCCTCGTAGCTCCCGTCGGAAATCATCCCACGATCGAATGGTACTTTCATGGTTTTCGAACCACGTTCGTGCGCTGTCCTGCAATGCGAAATAAACACGGCGGAGCTTCCGTTCTTCGGTCCATCCGTTGCAGTTGGCGACGCGCTCAAATCCCTCCAGCCAATCCTCGGCGTCTTCATGAGGATCGCCACGAAAAGGGTCCGGCGTCCGTGGCTCATCGACAACGACGTGCGTGGCAGCGGCTGGAGACAAAACGACGTTTGCGGCAGTGGTTGGAGACGACATTTCGGTACTCTCACCGAAGACAGCTGGAGACACTCTGGGCTCTGGTGGCAGGGGAAATTCCGGTGGCTCACCACGTAGACGACGGCTGGAGCGCTGACGAACTGGTGTGAGCTCAGTTGGTTCGACTGCTCTTGGTTCCGGGCTGCTTCCTCGAAGTCCAACTGGGTTTGGGATCATTACCCGGCTCCTCCACCAAAATCGTTACGTACAATCCAAATGGTGTACGAATAACTGTTTATTGGGGCTAACTTGTGCCCGAAAAGTAAAGGAAAATGTAGCAGCGTTTCTAAAAAGCGATCAGCAAAAGGGGATCAATCTCCGAGAAACCCTCGAGCGATGCGCCACTTCTTTTTCATCAAAATCCCGTGCTGAAGAGGCGCGCGCCGTCACGGCCTTTTCTTGTTTCATCATCAAGCCGCTGGTCTCTTGGGGGGTGCACGAACTAGCGCGCGTAGTTTGAATGCTTCGTTGGCCTTGCGTCAACATATATGAATAGACAGATAGATAGATAGATAGATAGACTGATAGATAGATAGATAGATAGATAGATAGATAGATAGATAGATAGATAGATAGATAGATAGGGTACTAAATATTTGTGACGCACGCTTTTCGGGGCGTCTCTACTAACAAGAATTGAGTCACAACGGAACCCTTCGACGCTATCAACCACCGTTGCATATCGAAGAAAATACTCTAAGCTATGATTCAGTCAGAATGAGGCAAAAAACTAAACAAGGTTTTTCCGAGGTGCAGTTAAACTCACGCTCGTTACGCCAAAGAAACGTAGTCGATGGGGCGGTTGAGTCTGGCACTAGTCTCTTCATTTTTGTCTGGCCAATTTTAAGGGTTTGTCAAGACTTAGGCTGACTTAAGCTCGTACTGTCTCAAAAGGAATAAAGTGTTAGGTTGGTTTCATGACGAGCTATGAGCATGCAAAGTCGAAAAGTAACGACCATTTGTAAAACGTGCCGTCTTAAAGATATGTTGCTTATAAGGTAGATATATATTTAAATACATACTTATCAGATGAATACTTATAAGGCACGAATAAAACATCGTAAGTTTAACAAGGTTCAGATAGCGAATAGGCACTCTTCTAAACTTGTCGAACTGAAATTTAGAAGGTAACGTTTTAGGCCTACATTCATTGGCAGTATCTAAACAAATCTGTTTCTGTGAGGGTCTAAATATTTTTGTATTTGTTATAAGTGAATATAAAAATATTCAACGAACTTTTTCAGGCAAGTCAGTTGTGCGGACGCGCCTCTGGTACCAGCCTGCTCCAACCTTAGTACGGGGCAGATGGACCGCTGTGAACGTTGCCTTTAGAGCAGAAAAGGATTTCAAGGTCAGTAGTACATCAAGTATTTCCATTGTACAATTACTGTGCCTTTATATGTTATTTTTTGCATTTGCAAAGACAAATACTAGGAGAGGAAAAATCAGCAGTATTAAGTTACATATTCACAGTATTTTCTTTAAAAACTACTACATCCAGTTTACACATGTATCAGGGTTATTTTATATCATACTTCTCCGTATGCTTCGTATTTGGCTTGTGAATGAAGCAAGATTATCTAAAATAAATCCTTTTGTCTAGTGGTTGCAATCTGTGTTTTGAATTATTCAAGGCAAAATTGTATCAAATTGTCTTGGCGAAGATGACTAAACACTAAGTAATCACCTGACCCTGCAAAGTAAACAACAAAACATTGAGTAACGAACACAAACGATTAGTGCTTACTAACCGCACACGTCAGCTGTGAAAAAGAACCTTAATATTCAAGTTCGCAATAAGAACATGTAAAATATTACGACAGGATGGGTCAATAATGCGTTGCGCTGATGCAATTTGCGCAGATCGAGTTGCAGTGCATTCTACAGAGGGAGCAGTTTATTGGAAGAACTTTCTGCGTGATCGACGCAATTGCTCTAAAGGACTGCAGCGGAAGGAAAGGTAATTTGTAATCTCTTAGTTTATACAATTAAGACATAGCATGGTGGTTTTGGCAATGTTTGTGCTGTCTGTACGTTAGATACTTGGTGGATAGTGTCACATGCATATATGCTGCGTTTAATTGTGCGATGCGATTTAGATCCAAATTGTACGTTTTGCAGTATACTAGATTTATGAATGGGGACATGTCGCACAAAACTTACATCTGGAGTCAAGCACTCAAATACCTTTGCACTTGTAATGGTTCACTAGTATTAGTGACCTGTGAGCGACGCCCTATGCGAAATATGGCTACTAGGCATTACCAAGAATGGACGCAAATCAAGACTATCGCTGGGGCGGTGCACGTGATTTATGTCCAGCCAGACTGGGCAAACCCAATCTTTGTATAGTGTGTCTATAAAGATGGTTACCTTTCCTGTTCTCAAATCGTTACACACTAAGGTGATTCTGACAACATCTCGAAGAAGGCTCGGAAGCGCTGGTTACTGTATTGGGACCAGCATGGCTCACCACCTTCTGGCCTTGCATGTTTTGTAGCTGCCTCCCTAATTGAAATAACTACGCCCTCGTAGGAAGCTGTTGATTATTGCGTGCAAAATTACCTGCAATGAAGGCTACACGTCGTATGTGAAAATGAAGAAGCCGGTTAATTGTATCGAGGTTTTTATTGTGTCGATTCTAGTCTCCTGTACAAACGTTTTAGGTCGCAGTATTCTGTTATTTTTTCTTCTTTTGTAGGAGTTGAATACGGCATTCAAGTGTTACCACTTTCGTTCAGCCGTTTTCTGTGTGTGTTGGTAGTTGGAGCTGTCTTGGTCATGCGTCGCAGGCTTATCAAATGTTTGTGAATACATTTCCTTTTCCAAAATTATAATAAAAACTCGTATATACAGCGCAAAGAGCGCAAAGGGTCAGTGGAGCGTTCAGGCGAGATCATTTGTGCTCATTCATTAGAATTGAGGCACAACGCCTAATGAGCGCAACTATCAAATTTCTCAATGATCCTGACATGTTCATGCATCAGTGGTACTTTTCGTACTTATTGTATATGGAACACCCACACTTTTCTTACGATGGTTTCTTAGGATACTCTCTTGTGTCTCTAAGGAATTATCGAGATGCAGAACTAGTACAACCGTTTTCGACACTCTTTCCCCGAATCAGAGGATGCTGCACGTTAGTCACAGTGGTGATTGCAGTTACTTGAATAACAAGATTGAGAGGGCCTGGATACATTGAAGATAATCTGGACGCTTATAAATGCATACACGCAGTGTAATGTCCGGGAAGCGTCACCTGTAAATATTGAGGAAGCATTGGCCCATTTCGGACGAGACTGTTTGATGTTACCTTTGCCTATGTGATTCGGTGCATCAAATGACATCAGTTGTCATGCACTGATACAAGGTTATATATCAAATTAATAAATGTTGTTTGCAGCAGATACCTGTAAATCATGTTGATGCCAACGGTGTCACACAGTCACACAGCCTTCACATAGAACAAAAGGCTGATCCTGAGCAAGATGTCAGATATGACCACCAGCCCTCATAACAGTGTCTCCTAAAACAAGAATACTCCTACTAGTGAAAGCAAATTCTTTTACCTGTGGTGCCAAAATAACACAATGCACTTTAATATGACTAACAATAACTGTTCTGTTAAATATGATATTTCCTTGGCTGTCTTCAGAGAGAGAGTAATAATTGTGACTGAAATGCATTCCCATGACAGGAGCAAACTCAATTGTTTCTCAAAAATGTCTTCCCTCTGATGCGTAACCATGATAATTCTTTGAAATGCTCATACCCACATATATTAAAACATGCAAAACCAACCAACGTATATGCATGATTATGTGATCTTGAACCGCCACTGCGCAGTGATATCGCATGGCTTGAAAAATCTCCTACAATATCCAAATAAATTTCTAGTCTTCTTCAACTTCATGAATAGTATAATATATTTCATTTCAGTACAGAGTTCTGTTTTAGTGGCATATGCTACCTCAGCTACGAAGTAGGCATTGTACAACAATATATAGTATTAAAACCTGTTTGCATTCTCGAGTTGGTGAACTTCAAATAAGCGTCACTAATGGACCAATCTTGTAAATGTTGGCAGTTGATTAGAGGGTATAGAACTGGCAATTATGCGTATCAGGTAAATGAATATTTTACCATGAAGCACAGTAGATGTAGTCCATGCATGGCCAACGTGAAAGGTGGTGGGGGATCGCGTTTGTATGTAGCAAAACGTACAAAGTTTATACGGCAATTCTGCTTGAGTGTGCTCCCGAAAACAAAACAAAAAAAAAAAACCCTGAGCGCGCGCAACTCGTTTACGGCTCAGAAAAAAAAAGCTAAGAAAGCTCTGAAACGTCAACAGCAGCTCTGCGATTAGCGACAGTTAAAGCAAGACCACGTGCAGGGGGAAAATGCGTCAAAATAATATCAATCTAGCGAACGACTTAAATGTCTGCTGTCGCTCATTCTGGAAATTCATAGAACAGGCGTTATATTAGACTGGCGCTAGTAATCCGTTCCCAATGTTTTTCCTTTCCCCCGAATTCAAATCTTTTTAAATGTACGTGAGAAGTTCACTGAACCTAGAACACAGATTGAAGGGAATGAAGGTACCATGTCACATAGATTGAAGGAATTGAAGGTACCATGAATTATGTTACATTCTTTTGTCTCCTTCTAATGACGAAGGAGTAGTAGGAGAAATTCTTGAAGACCAACAATCTCCACACTCAAATTCAGACCTTCCAGAGTACCCAGGAAATCTCTGCGAGTCTTTTACTATTCGGTCCCATCGTGGGCGCAGCCAAAGACTTGATCTTGGAGGCCACCGGCTCTTTAAACACGGGGCCATCAGAACTGAAATGTCGTGTATTCTTATCATGTCATGTATTTATTCCACCGCTACAAAACATTGCTAAGTGTTTGAAAAGGTTCATTTTAAGCTGGTCACGGTAGAACTTGTATGGTTAATAATACACTTAGAAACACCTCGGTGGTACTGTTTCCAGAGACCTGAAACAACAGCATTCCGCCGATCTAAAGAGTAAATTCCGCAATTAAAGAGGTGAATCATTTATTCTTTTTTGAAATAACTGTTCAAGAATTGCAATTTGTGATCTTCAGTAGGCTGTCATGGTACTTAAAACAAAGTTACACTGCAATGCAGTTAGAGTGTAAAAAAGATGAAATGTAAACTAACAAAATATTTATTAGTGCTTTGCTATCTGCATCTTCGATGAAACAGAAACTTCTTTCCATATATATACATGATTCAATGTTAGCAAACATGGCAATACTGAAGATAATGACACTTTATGCAACGTTTCAGTGCTGTATTTTCTGAATACGAAGGGTTTGAGTTTTAATTTCATGAAAATACACACTACCAACGTTAGCTCACAGAAAGCATGGATGAATAAAAAGATGAATGAATGATTACACATTTATTTATTTAGAACTATCTATGGGTGGACCCTCGACGTCTGGGAGCCCCTGACCAGCTTCTCTAAGCATGGTCGTTCTACCAGCCACAGCTGGTCATCCGGGTCAAGGGCCCCAAGAATAAACTCCACAATGATAGGGATTAACAATATGGCCTACCACCAGGTGCTTTGTGCAGTTCAAGAGACAGTGGAAAAGTTATATCCGGGACAGCCCGAAGGCTGGTAGAAAGTAGGTTAAAATAGCTGTGCAAGCTGGTGGAATAACAATATTGGCTCGTGCTTTATGCAATGAGTTCTCAATAGTCACTCTGTACTTTTCATACTATCTAATTTGTCTAATCTTTATTTGGCATGGTCAGTTTTAGCGAATGTTTCCTGCAGTCAATCGTCTGAAAAAAGTTCAATACCAAGATAGCTGGCGTTTTGGGGGCATATCTCTCTGTTAAACTATGGTCTGTGCTTTCTGTCGTAAAAATATAAGGATTTTATTTCATAGTTCATTCGTTTCATCTAAAAGGAGCACTTGCTATGCTTTGTTGCAGATTTGAAAAACCAACTGTGCGACTTTGAAGATGGCTGGTGCAGTTGGAAGAACATCAACGATCCAGGCAGCGGGAAACTCTTCTGGGTTCTTGGTGGGGGAAACATTAAGACAACGCTACTGAGACCACGTCGGGACCATACACTCGGCAACAGTTCAGGTGATTCGCATACCGCCAAGAAACCGTCAGGAACAGCTGATCACCTGTTATCTTCAATTTATGAGCAGTACACATTTTGTTGTGATTTACAAAAAGTATAATCGTTTGTGTGTTAATAATTAGTGACGCATCAACTATGTTGAATTGTTGGATAGCGTAATTCACAAGAGTCTTCAATTGTAAAGCTTGGGCTTCACAATGTGAAACCATCGCGTAATAAGTATAAATAAACCCATAATGCCTTAACCAATTGTAAGCCCTAAAATACCAGTCTTTTCCTCAAACTTGTATTCATTTTAGGCTACGTAGTCAACATTTCGTTTTGCTTACACTAATTTGTAGTTCTTTTGTGCTCGTAGGGCAGAAGACGCTTGCGTTCACAGCAGCGCTTGCGACTGTGAAGGTGAAACCATGTGGCCTCAAGTAAAATAACAACAGCGGATGATTAAAACAGTCGCAAGTGTGCCCTAAAAAAGGAAGTAGTACTCGATGTGCACTTAAAATTATGCGCGTTGTCGCCGTATTAATTGGTGGGGGTGCACCTTCCAATGCAACAGTGCCTTCAGTATATAAAGATCAGACCCGGCTTGGTATTACCATACCTTCTGCATGGACTCAACATTTCATTTTTTGTGCTATGAAAACTAACTAAGCACATTCATGGTGACCTCAGAACCACCACTGTGTAAATTTTTTTTTTTTACAAATTGAAGTTCGTAAAAGTTGACGCAGTACGACAATCAATCATTACATGTGTTATATAGTGTCTAGAAATAATCATCTTCAAAGCGCCATACAAAGTATTTCTAGAATATACAGACACTGCTGTGTTCCCGTATTGGTTACTCGTTGTTCTTTCAGGTTCTTACGCATTCGTGAGTAACTATGAGAGAAAAAGTGGAGACCACGCCGTGCTAATCGGAGAAAGACTTCTTCAGAACAACGAGATATCCCAATGTGTCGTCTTTTGGTACATTATCTCAGGCGACAACAGCACAAACCTGAAGGTAAGAATAGCTTCTTGATGGGGCAATTTTCTTTGTGCATTGCTGCTCAAGAAATGTCCAGGTTACTCTTTTTTCCTTGGCTGACTTCGGGCCGACAAATGAACGCGTGGACTACATGGCATTTCTAATCGAAACAATGGATATCTGTCTGCAGCATATTGTTAAAGCAAACAACACCCTTTTAAAGCGTGAAAAAAATGATCTCTAACAAAAGCGTCAGCAATATTTGGCACTCATGCAGCAGTAATACGCCTGAACCTCTCAAATTGTTTTCAAGGCACTCTAACTATACATTAGTTCCTTCATATTTAAACGCCAAACTACAGTCGCAATGCATAGTGCTGAACAAACAAGTTTTATCTCGTCAGTAAGTTCAGCAGACACAAAAGTGAACAAATGAACCTCTTTAAATTGATGGATAATGCTACGAAAACACTATCAATTCGAATTTAACACGACCAGTTTTGTAATAGTGGGAAAAAGGGTAGATCAAAATTTTAGTTACAAATCTCGCACTGGGCACTCCGTGCAGGAGGTCTCGTATTTCAAAGTGTATTTTTCTTATATCAGCAGGGGTTTTGCAAAATGGATGAAAACTTTGTATGTTAACTCTTTGGTCTCCCTTAGAGATTGATGTGCTTTTATTTCATCTGCCACAAATTACGTAGGTGTTAGTGCCCGCCATCAATATCTACATCACGGCAAGTGCTGCGCAAATTTCAAGAGGTGGTCACCACAAACATCTCTCTTTTGAACATTGTATCACTTACAAAGTGTATTCTCGCAGCTGACGTCGTGATTTTCATATTGTGAAAGAGCAGTTATTGGTACGCAGAAAAATTTCCTTCCTCTTTAATGTTCAATTCAGGCATCTGTTCTTTGTAGGTTTCCTACTACAAGCAAGCGCCTCAAAGGCGTCTTCATGTATCCCTGTGGAGTCAACAAAGTGTTGGTCCTGCTACTTGGCAACAAGGCCGCATTGCAGCGCCACACAACATAACGGTGAGAAAAAAAATTATTGGCAATTTGTGTTAATAATTATATGTTAATGATGTCTAAGCTGTAGCGTGAGCTGCGTTGGTACTAGATGCACGCATACTTGATACAATGTCTTGGGGAGCAGTGAATATGTCTATGCTAGCAGATACGTTTTAGTAAAAAAAACTTTTATAAAAAAAGCTGCAGCTTAGCAAGAATTGTTTTCATGAATTAAGGGGAGGGCGAATGGTGTAAGCATTATTTATGTATCTCCGCCCGTTTGTTTGTTCGAGTAGTTACATATCTAATCAATACACTAGAAAAAAATTAAGAAAAGATTTATCCCGCCCCTCCCCCGTCACTTGTCCTCCGAGGGAGGACCTTTCTCCTCACACCCCTCTTCAGCTGAAATGATAGAAAACGTATCTATGGCCAGTATACCAGCAAGCATGATATACTAGACAAACTTTTCACTGGCAAGTAGCTCTGCAAAATAATTGCTAAGGAGATAACCCAGTAATTTTAAAGTTAAGACAGAGCTTCACATTTGTCGCGTGCATGTGGCTCTTCCAATTTAAAAATAAATGTAAGCAAGATGCTATATTTGTCTTTCTAAATTAAACTGCATATGGGAGGGTGAATAATCAGAAGCCGCATGCATAAATAACATTTTATTGAAAACTTTGTTGAATACCAGGCTGAATAAAAGCAAAATATCATAAAATAACCAGCAACGCTTGTATTACAGATAACACCAGACTTATTTAGAGTACTCAGCAGACCTATTAAGTGGCTGCTTTTTGCATATAGGCAGGCATGGTGGTTGAGTGGCCGTAGCGTTGCAAGTAGCCAAGTAGATCCTCCGTGATTGGTCACAACGTGGTTTATTTCGACGTTTCGGCCTTCAGCCTAGAGTCTGGCCATATGTAGGTATATATATATATATATATATATATATATATGCGCAATAAAGGAGAGACAACTTCTTTGACGCACTCACACTTTCATGTGATTTTTCATACAACCAGCAATTGTTCAATCGTGCAAAAAAAACAATCAGTTTTAAGCAGCATGTACTGGGACAACAGCTATATGTTTGTCATGCACGTAATAACATTACGCGCGACACTTTTATGCATCTCGTTTACCTCACAACTTCCAGAAAAAATACAATTAGGTTGATAATGGCCTCCTCAACAGTGAATATAATATATATAAGTAATATATATGTAACGCCTCAAATCAATAAATGAAATCTTTGTATGGCTAAAGAGAGCTCACAAATAATTCAGTTTATAAATGTGAAGCAATCTTTGAGGAACCAAAGATATATTGAGCATTTAGTAGTCCGCATTCAGTCTGCAGTAGCTTCCCACTGAGCTCGAGTCCACTGCTTTATTTGTCACGACTTTGCAAGCATGTCACCGTCACTTCAAGTTGCTATAAGCAAGGCTGATAAGATTTATCTGAGAATAAAGTGGAAACCTTTCTTGTTGCTTCTAGTACGGGAAAACTAAAATATTTAGAAATATTAGTCGCAATCATGTGCTCACAGCAGCTTCGACAGAGCAGCGGTGATGGTAAGGCTTTTCGATGAAAAAAAAAAATATCTTGGTGAAGCAGCACATACTTTGACCGGTCCATAAAAAGCTTTTTCGTTCCCATCTATAACAGCATTGGCCAGTCGCTGCATAATCAAAACATGAACAAGTGATGTAATATTACAGGACCCCTGTTCAGTGCTAGCCTGCCCGGCAGTGCTGCAGCACAGGGCGGAAAGCATCGCAAAGAGCCTTCAAGGAAATGGTTACAGTTTAAATGTTGAAAAATTGTCACTATATTGTGACTTTTTTTCGTAATATTTTGATTTCCTCGTAACAAAATAATTGAGTGATTAAATTGGTGAAGGAAAATTTTGCCTTAGTTGTTGTTTTCCACAGGGTGCAGCCGACAGTGACCTCTGTCGAAAGTGGGCGGTCCCCTCCAACTTTTCTCAATGAGGAGGAAAAAGCAGCGCCCCCTTGCCCCCCCCCCCCCCCCCCGTCTGATACGTCTATGACGAATGGAAGCTTACAGCTAACGCGAGGTAGCATCTGCAGTCAATAGCGTCCACAGCCACATTTTCTACCACTGTGCTTCCACCTGCACACACTGTTTGTTCCCTGCGCCACATGTGCTTATTGGCGCTGTTGTTTTAGAGTTAGCATGTGAAATCGTAATGGCAGCATTTGAAGAAATACTGATCAGTCACTGTTTTGCTTAGGAAAAAAAACTAGCAGTGACCGTTCCACTTACTTTCTGTTTTTTTTCTTGTAGATTACATTTGTAGGAACCATGGGACCAGCATCGACACCCGCATATATTGCGCTCGATGACATCGTTATCACCGCAACGGACCACTGCGACACAGTACCTAAAGGAGCCGAAACTTTAGCTGCTGGTGAGCCACTATGTTACGATAGATGGCTTCAAAAGAAAAGACGAGAAAACTAATCTGTACAGGCAGCGGCACGTACATGTCTGCCGTGGAGGTGTAGTGGCTGCGGTGGTTTGCGGCTGAACTAAACGCCCCTAAAACAAAAAAAAAACTACGCTTAAAACAAAAACTATTCTTTTTAAAATTTCTGCATATTTTACCGACAAAACATACTATGCAAGAAATATAAGACACTCGTTGATTTGGACCACTCAACTGCGAAATTTATTTTGCATCTGAAGCCATAAGGCCATTTCTTCTAACTTTGTCACAGTATTATTACACTGTTTTTGCTCCATGCACTCCAAAGTGCTTTATTCATTTGATATAGGAACATATAAAGCAAAAATGTGAATACATTACTTACGAAAGAAATCTTGCTTAAAAAACGCTTAACATGCAGCATATTTTATTTTTTGGCATGACCAAAAGGAAAGCAAAGTAAACAAAATAATAAACTATTTCAGTCATGAAGAAGTAGCGCCTTGACAATAAAGAAAAATGGCTTCTTATAATGGATCATATTAGAACTGTTATATAAACTATTTATCGCCTTACATTTTCACTTGTGTGCCCAAAGTTTGATGCGCCCTCTAGGAAAAACAATTTTTGTGATATATAACACCTCAAAACAACTTCTTAGGTCCACATATACCTGCATTATTTCTTTCAGCATGATCTGAGATGATCGATAATTCGGACCGGGTACAGTTCAAGTGGAATTACCCATATATATAAATAAACTTCCTTCATTGTGAAGAACCAAGTGGAGATTGCGAGGAGAAACTTCAATATAGGAAGAAAAATAGGAACTGTTTTCATATAGGTTTTCATATATAGTAAGTAGTGTAAATGCAAGTGCCGAGGATGAAAAATAGGGCACACTTCCAATTTACATGTCTGTGTAGTAAGGAATCAAAGCTTGGCGTGATTTCAGAATAGCCTTCTTTTGCTAAAAGAATAAGCAAGAGTTACTTAGAAAAGAACTCCAGAGCATAGAGGTAAGCTTTGCGTATAAGCGTAGGCTCCCTACGATACATGAAAAAGGATAGCACGGTAGTTGCAAATTGTGGTTCAGAGCTCTCAAATATTTGTCTCGCATGCATTGTTGTGCCTCGATGTAACCCATGTGCGGCTAAATCCAAGTACACATGCTGCGCATATGAGTACGCGAACTCCAATATTGAAGTTTCAAACGTGTACTTTTTACCGAAACTGACACCTCGAAATATGCAAAGCGGTTGCCTATCGAGGGAAAAACCGCCGCTTGAATTCACCTCTTCAAGAAGATGACGTTCTGCACTGTATTTTCCTAGATGTCAGAGCGAAAATTTTCCGAACGGTTCATCGCCACCTAAGACTGTATCATCGTCTTCAACAGAATGTTGCACACACGAAACGATATTTGCACTACATTGACTGTACCGCTAGTCCCTGCTGTGATAACTGTGGAGCCTCAGATACAATGGAGTGCATATTTCTCTAACGCCCTACGTACCGCTGCGAGAGACAGATGTTCGGGCAACGAATGGGCACAGTTTGCCAGGACCATTGAATTTGTGAGTGTGCGCTCTCTCCTCCTTCCTTTTCATTTTTTATAACTTCCCCATCCTTTTCCCAGTGTAGGGTAGCAGACCAACTCTTCCAGACTGGTTGACGTGCCTGCCTTTAGTTTCCCTCCTTTCTTTTCTTCTGGAAGACAGACTCGTAGCTTACAGTAACTTGTCAGTAACTAGCCTTGTCAGAGAGCTTTAATGATTGACTACTTTCCATGTGAAAGCCTTAAGATATTTGACACTTTAGCTGTAAATATGTTTATAAGATACACTTCTATATTTTCCACTTTTTCGACAATGTTCTTTTATTAATCTTTAATCCCTTCTCTTGTTCAATACTTGTGTCTATTCCCACCCTTATAAAGAGTAGCATTATAGTGCTATAGAAATGCCAGAAAAATTTTCGTTTCTCTAATACTCTCTATCTCCCGCGCGCACGGCGAAAAGAGAGAGATGGATGCAGTCATGTATGGGGTCCAGCTCGCCGGACTATAAGCATATTTGAGCGAAATAATGCACTTTCCTCTTTATTTAAAACGCAGCTGGTTATTGAAACCAGCACAAATTTATGCTTAAGGGCGTAAGGTAGGGTAAACCTCGCAAAACATTGAATTGGCGATTTTGACACCAAAATGTTCACTGTACTCTGAGGAAAAAACCTGTGAAAAGTCGACGTTGAGCGGCCACTCCAAGTGGTTTGAATACTGCGCCGAAGTGCGCCACGTGCCCTATGAACTCAGCAGCGCGCTCAAGCAAAACTTTGTTTTTTAATTACATTGTTTTATAGTTTCTTTGAACTTCAATGTACCTTAAATGTATTAAACTGTTTTTGATAAAACTTTCGACGCATGAGCTACAAGTTGGAAACATGGTGAACAAAAAAGAATTGCAAACTTCACAAAAAGTAACGCTGCAAAAAAAGTACACAACAAGCACGCACTCTTTGTTGCCTTGTATGTGCAGTTATTTTTAGGTTTTGCCAATAGATTCAAGCAAAATATAATATTTTTAGTTCAGATATAACCCATGAGTCTCAACAATAACACGGCTCAATATCATTGCCTTCATTTAAGTGGTTCCTGAGAAAAGGTTCAATGAATAAGTGAACCAATTTTATAATTTGGGTGTGAGTCATACAAAGTATAGGCAACGTAGGCTTAAAAAAGGAGGTCACTTGAGGCCCACTGACTTTTTTTCTGAGCATGTCAAATTTTTGGGAATATTTGCAATCTTTTCTAACATAATATTTTAAAACTGACATATACAATTTACCCCAACATGCCCGCTTAAAAGCGGATACACAAATTACACATAGCTCACCACTTGATTACGATGCGCATTATTTGTGTATATACAAATAACACACACCAGCACATGATAACGATGCGCATATTCGGGACGGGCACCTAACGAATTTTGAGTAGTGGGGGTTCCTTTAACGTGCAGCGGTATATATGTATACCTACAGATGTTTTTTGTTATGTCTTTATTGATACGTACATCTGTGGTGCAGAATGAAGAGTAGGTTCTGAAGCTCAGCACAGCAATTTACCATTAAATGGGGCAAGCTCAAGCTTCTAGCCTCTCAAGTGTCATGGTGTATCGTAGACATACCACGCTGAGTGTAGTTGAATATCCATGGGTGTAAGAAATATGGTTTCACCGAATAGGTTCAGCATGGGTATTTTGTTTTCCATGCAGCTGACCTCCTTACCTGCAGCTTCCTCAACAAACAACTGTGTCACTGGACAGCAAGCGGAGCCCCGTCAAGGACGTGGAAATTTGGGCCACCTCTTAGAACAAACCTTGGACCACAAATGGGACCAAATCAAACTAACGGTATTAATGGTTCTACTTTTCATTTAACTAGACAGATTTAGCCTAGGTACTGTGTAATGAATGAATCAGAACAAAATTTGTTGCGACTATTGTAAATTCGCACAAATTTCTACGTAACAAAAACAGCACCTTCTGCCTCAAAAATGTGCGCACACAGACCGTTAGTGTGATGCAAAAGTAAACTTCCATTCCACCAAGAAGAAGGCACAGACAGAAGAAATCATTTAGGCACACCAACTGTTGTGGATCAATTTCCGCAGAAAGCAGTAGCTACTAGAAAAGCAAGTGTCACTTCTCGTTATTCTCTGCTAATCAAGTATACCGCCGGGAAAGGTACTGGTGAATCTTGTTTATAAGACCCCCTAAATTCGAAAACTTGTATACTTCAGATGCGTTCTTCGGTTCCGAAAAGCGTATACTTTTATAACATCAAACTCTCGTCAATGCGGTCGTGTTTGTTCCTATCTTGGTTAATTGGGGCGATTCTCAGACGGCACCAAATGTGACGCAAAGGGGAAAAAAGGGGGGTTAGTGGACAACAGATACAGGCGACGCAATGTGAATCACCATACTCGTCAGTTATAACAGCACGGTTACGATATATAGTAACGACGTTTCTGGTTAATTTAGGGTAAGCATATTTCAGAACAATAAAGAGGTAGAGGTCTTCAACCATACTCACATTGAGCGCACATTCGCGTGTGGCGAAAATAGCGGCTTCTACACTGTTCTTATGTGAAGTACAGGATTTACGCATACATATTCATCAAGAAAATTTTATAGCATTAAGGTTGAAGGCACTTGTTTACTGTTTTTAAATATTCTCAATCAATTGAAATTTGCTTAGTGCAGATATTTTTTGGTATCATGAGCTACGGTCTAACGCGCTTTTACTGTATTTTTAGAGAACTCTTTAATGTCGGAACAAAAATAAGCAAGAATTCAGACTCATTTCCTTGTGTCTGCAGGCTTGTTCTTGAGTTTGTAGCATAGCAGAAACTCAAGCGCGAAATAGTCTGGCATCATCACTTAATAAAGAATAATTAAACTACTAGTAATACTCACACTAGCATATCTGATAACCATTCGAATGAGGAGACCACATCGATAACCACTTTGGTTCAGATAATGTCATCTACATTTTGGTTGATCCGGTAGAGACCGCAAATATATATTACCGCCGCTTTCAACGCCCAGCACCTACATATATTGAAACCAGCCAAGCACGCAACCTAAATCAATGCTTCCAGTCTGATTTTATGCTTTGAGACGCAATTATGAACTATTATGAAGTAAAATGGTCCTTAAACAGCACCACTAACCCAGACCGGGAAAGGGAAGAACGAAAGTGTGGTCCTGTAGTTTTTTTTGTCTGTTTCAGTGGTGGTGTTTATTAAAAATCTTACCGCACAATTTTTTATGGCTGTCTCTGTGATTTTCCATAAAATGAAATTGGTGTCCCATATGTGTGTTTCGAATAGTACACCTTTGTTTTTCAAGGCTACTATGTGCAACCTCTATTTTAATGTTCTTTTTTTACTTTTTGCTTCTTTCTTTTTTTGGTGGAATAGTAGATTGGAGGTATGCTTTACAACCTCCACGTTCAAGCTCGTGCACATGAAGTTTGATTCTTTAGCGGAGCAGGAAATTACGGAAGATAGGCCCATATTAAATGTATACCAAGTAGGGTCAAAGCTAGGCTATTCTCTCTTGAAGGCGAAACCGAGAACGCGAATTTTCCCGCAAAGCATTGTTCAGAAAATTCCACACGAAGCCTTGAAACATTTTCATGCAGTCTCACGATGTAAATGGAATGCTGGGTTTCTTGGTCCGAAAATGAGAGTGATTCGCTTCTGGCTAGGACACTGGCGCGACCTATTCGACATTATTTAGGTTCCTTCATCCATCCCTTTATGCCTTAGTGGCATGCATTCTGCCTATCTTTCGTTTCAGGTGGCATGATACACGTGACAAGAGACACAGTGGCCAAAAACGTCGGATTGATGCGACTCTCGTCGCAACCCTGGGTCGGCAGCCGCAAATGATCTGCCTGACAGCATGGTACCACATGTTCGGCAGCCGAGGCTTCATACTGCGGCTGTCTGCTCGCAAAACAGTCAACTCAACCATCTGGCAGAGTTCACCTCTTTTCTACCAATACGGCCGCACCACCGCTGACATGTGGTATAAAGTGCAGCGCACTATTAATATGGACGGCTTTCACAATCAGGTACTACATAAGTTCTCTATGTGTTATTTATCACACCTTCATATCTCATTTACTTAATAATGCTGTAGCTTTTAAAGCGTCTAGAATGCACAATACGCGTGGTGATGTTATAAATGAGCATTTATACGGAACATGACGGTGACGGCTGTGGTGACAACAAAAACTCTCTGACCGAATCAATATAATTGCTGTCGTAACAAATTGGGAACCTCACAGTTGATACGCTGCTGATAACGACGCTCACGATCCACAATTATACTTGTCACCGGGTCGGCCTGAAGCTAAATCATTGCTGCCACATGTTTAGAGTGTTTCAAGTGGCAACGCCATTAGATGATTTTGGCCCATACCGTAGCCTGGGACTGTGCAATATTACTAACCACCTGATGTGCTTTAAGGCGTACCTTAATCTGGTACATAAGGGCTTACGCCTTTCGCTCTTAACCCTATTTGACAGCCGTTTCCTGGAATGAAACTGTGCCCTCGAACGTTAGAGCCTAATATTTTACCCGATAAAGCAACTTCAGCGGCTTTGCCATGTCATGAAGATTTGGTTATATGGCAGAGTGCAATTCCCAGTTCAGAAATTTGAGCTTCCCCAAATGGAGCCAACTGAACACTCAAGATTTAAAGGAGCACGCACACAGGTGCAACCCGTCTCCGCTGATTCAGCTGCTGTGTTTATGTGAAATGCCTGTAGGTGTTTATTAATTGCTGAAGCTGCTGCTTTGTTTGATTAACTCGCCTTATCTTCAACAGAATTTTTTATTAAATCTGTATGCGCTTGGTGCAGTACATACGAGCCTATCTAATTTGGGAATTTTTTTCAGTTTGTGCAGGCAGCAGCCGGAAAACAAATAGAACGCTTCCTGTTAATCGCGAAGTGCATCAACTCATTACATTCACTAATAATTTAGGCTTGAAAGTTGCAATTGCAAATGTGCCAAAGTGTCCAAACTATTTTGAAAGAAAGAAATGTTCCTTGCACATTCCGCAAACGTTCTTTATGATCTCACTTAAGTGAAGGAAGATCCGTTCACGGTAATACTGGGAACACTATTCGCGAAATATTTTTTGTAACATTCATTTTACAGAAATCACGTCTTCTTTTAGTGCACCGCAAAATTTCATTCTTGTAAAACTATGCTTTAGCTTTGGAAGCCATGCATTACCGGGCACCACGTCGGTACGGAAACAATTCAAAAAAAAAAAACTAAAGCAAAGAAATTTCTCAACGCATGCAACAACGTAAATGCTGAAGTTTCGTCAATCTGATTTTTTGACGCAGTTGACATTTGACACATTAATGCTACCAAAAGCGGCGAACGACTCTGTGGTGGCACTTGGGCCAATAGAGGCTACCCCTGCTGCATGCGATGTCTTGACGGATGGTGAAGGTAAGCAACATATATGCATTTAAAGACATCATTTTTTCTAAGAACATGCAATATTCTAAGAAAGTGGCATTCTCGCCGACATTAGTACATTTGTATTACTTTTTTGACGTGAGAACCATAGTTATCTGATGGTGTATTATGTAAACAATTATGTGACTGTCGACTGTATGTATTGGTGACTTTTCAGTTTGGTACCGTCAATGCATATGCAAATATATGAAGTTGTGAATACGTTGCTTTGAAATCTCATGTCTTGTTATATATTACACGTTGTGTTGTTATAATTATTCATTGTATGTGCAGTGAAATTCTTACGCTTAGAGACTTGAACCCTACGTGCTGTATGTTGGGTACCTCGCAAGAATAAGGAGAAGGTGGCGCCTAATTTGTGCGCCGACATGTCCTTACATCACGTCAATGATAAAAAAATGGCAGCATATTCACGCGGTGAATGATGGAGAGTGAAGCGAAGCGTCCGTCCGTCCGTTCGTTCTTGCTTCCGTTCGTCCATGCGTCCGTCTGTGTGACTGTCCGTGCGTCCATCCGCCCGGCAGTGCATGCGTGTGTTCGTTCGTGCGCACGTCCATCCGTGCGTCAATTCTGCGTTTATCCATGCGTCCGCCCCTGCGTCCGTTCATGCGTCCATCCGTCTGTGCAGCCATCCATGCATCCGTTCATGCATCTGTCTGTGTGTTCGTCCATCCATCTAGTCAACATTACAAGTATTACCATCTCGCATCTTTTCATCATATATTCCATATATAGAAGCACCGCTATCCAGCAGACATTCCAAGGACTAAACGATAGGTGGCGCACGCACACATTTTTACGGCTTGCGCGTCGTGTCTACTTAAGTCCAGCGTCTTTCCGACTCATGCGTGAAATTATTAACATTATGAGAGGGTACTTTTACAGATGCTACAAACTTTATTCATCTGTTTACTCTTGCTTAGGCTCCACAGTGTAGAAAAGACAATAGCAAGCATTCAGGGATATTTTTTGTAGTTTGTTTGCCTATATTTCACGAATAAGTTGCATTTTTTTTTCATTGGAGCTCATTTGTAGTATTGAAACGCCGTTGTTTCAGGTTACTGCGATTTTGAGTTCGACGAGTGTGACTGGAAATCAGCCAATGGATGGAGACGGCAACAAAAGGCCATCGTGTTCCAGGATCCCGTGAGAGGCTCTCACTCAGGACCAGATAGTTCCGGTTCGTTTGGTTTATTTCCAGTTTTTTATATTTCTTCCATCTGTTTATTTCTATGGCATAGAAAATTGCGATAAAGAGAGACTAACTACACCACGCGATTGATGCACGCGTTTCAGGCTTCGGCAGACCACCACTGAAATGGTGCGCCCTAGCAAAAAAAAAAAAAAACTAAAGCAAAGAAATTTCTCAACGCATGCAAAAACGTAAATGCTGAAGTTTCGTCAAACTGATTTTTTGACGCAGTTGACATTTGACACACAAATGCTACCAAAAGCGGCGAACGACTCTGTGGTTGCACTTGGGCCAATAGAGGCTACCCCTGGTGCATGCGATGTCTTCACGGATGGTGAAGGTAAGCCACATATATGCATTTAAAGACATCATTTTTTCTAAGAACATGCAATATTCTAAGAAAATGGAATTCTCGCCGACATTAGTGCATTTGTGTTACTTTTTTGACTTGAGAACCATAGTTATCTGATGGTGTATTATGTAGACAATTATGTGACTGTCGACTGTATGTATTGGTGACTTTTCAGTTTGTTACCGTCAATGCATATGCAAATATATGAAGTTGTGAATACGTTGCTTTGAAATCTCATGCCTTGTTATATATTACACGTTGTGTTGTTATAATTGTTTATTATATGTGCAGTGAAATTCTTACGCTTAGAGACTTGAGCCCTACGTGCTCTATGTTGGGTACCTCGCAAGAATAAGGAGTAGGTGGTGCCTAATTTGTGCGCCGACATGTCCTTACATCACGTCAATGATAAAAAAATGGCAGCATATCCACGCGGTGAATGATGGAGAGTGAATCGAAGCGTCCGTCCGTCCGTCCGTTCGTTCTTGCTTCCGTCCGCCCATGCATGTGACCGTCCGTGCGTCCACCTGCCCGGCAGGGCGTGCGTGTGTTCGTTCGCCCGCACGTCCATCCGTGCTTCCATCTTTGCGTTTATCCATGCGTCCGCCCCTGCGTCCGTTCATGCGTCCATCCGTCTGTGCAGCCATTCATGCATCCGTTCATGCATCTGTCTGTGTGTCCGTTCGTCCATCTAGTCAACACTCCAAGTACCACCATCTCGCATCTTTTCTTCATATATTCCGTATATAGAAGCACCGCCATCCAGCGGACATTCCAAGGACTAAACGAGAGGTGGCGCACGCACACTTTTTTACGGCTTGCGCGTCGTGTCTACTCAAGTCCAGCGTCTATCCGAGGCATGCGTGATATTATTGACATTAGGAGAGGGTACTTTTACAAATGCTACAAACTTTATTCATCTGTTTACTCTTGCTTAGGCTCCACAGTGTAGAAAAGACAATAGCAAGCATTCAGGGATATTTTTTGTAGTTTGTTTGCCTATATTTCACGTATAAGTTGCATTTTTTTTGATTGGAGCTCATTTCTAGTATTGAAATGCCGTTTTTTCAGGTTACTGCGATTTTGAGTTCGACGAGTGTGACTGGAAATCAGCCGATGGATGGAGACGGCAACAAAAGGCCACCGTGTTCCAGGATCCCGTGAGAGGCTCTCACTCAGGACCAGATAGTTCTGGTTCGTTTGGTTTATTTCCAGCTTTTTATATTTCTTCCATCGTGAAAAATATCCTGTTTATTTCTATGGCACAGAAAATTGCGATAAAGAGAGACTAACTACACCACGCGATTGATGCACGCGTTTCAGACTTCGGCAGACCACCACTGAAATTGGGCGCCCTAGAAAAAAAAAAAAAACATTTGCCATAGTTTTGCGTGCCAAAGCTACAGCTTAGCTAGGAGTTACGCCGTAGTGGAGGGCTCCGAAAGATGTTTACCGTTCATTGTTTTTTGCATGCACTGACATTGCCTCGTACACGGGCGCCTATACCAGTTTGCCTTTACCGAAATGAAAAAAACAAGACAACAAACAAACAAACAAACAAACAACGCGAACGCTAAAGAGAAAAAAAGAAGAAAAAGAAAAAACAACGAAAGTTAAAGCAGCTCTAGTCAGTTCTCGCAATCACCATGTATGTAGCAACACTTCTTTCCAAGACGCACTGACTGAAAATTTTGGTTGTGTGTAATAAAAATTTAGATTCCAGTGATCACCTTATAATAACCACCTATTTCATTTCAAAGCTTGAAAAAAAACTTTTTACTTGACAGAAACTATGGTATGCGCAGTTAACATTACCAATCTGTATTCACATTATGTCTCCTCTAGATTCAAGGAATTTTATCTTGCTTATATCAATACATTTCAATCATGAAAGCGTATCCGATGTTACGTCCCTATACAACAAAACTGCACTCATGTGGATTGCACACTTCTGATTTTAGTACATGTGCCATCAGGATTTATTTCACTGTGAAGAAAAACAATTGCGTACAGACGCTGCTTATCAGCGGCGCCCACCGACTGAGATTGTCCATGCAGCCGGTGCGTGGCGACGAGTGGCGATGAGCACGTGATTTTACGGAAGGTAAAAGCACGGGCTTTCAGAACGATATTCGCAACTTTCACCGTCCTAGAGAGGGCGCTAGTGCAAGCGCAACATGGCTGTCGTTTGGGTGTTCGTGCAGCTGGCGTCGCGGCAGCCGCCTGCCGGTGTGCGCGTCACTTCGAACTGCGCAGAATTTTCGGCTGCAGCCACCGGTGTTGTCAAGGCTTTGCTGAGGTCATTGACTCTAGCATGTATTATATCCCTACACTGCGTGCTAAGAAACGCGTGTGTGGCATATATTGAAAGAAAAGAAGTTCTGAACGCCGGGCACATCGTCTGCTGCGGTGTGAAGGACTGCACGTACAGCTTTAATGAACGCTGCTCGTGTCACGTCCGGGGAAGATCAAGCGGCCGTCTTCGTGCAAAGCAGGAAACGTCGCTTTTGACTACACGTCGTCTTCAGAGCAGTATCCAACACATTTCGTGTTCTTGTTGCTCAGCAAGCAAAGAATAAAGAGTAAATATTGCTACTACGACTCGCAGTACCTGTCCGACATGAGAATAACCGAAGTAGCCAGCGACAAACTATAAAGCACGAGCGAACCGTCAAAGTAAGGACGACTGAACGATGGCATGGGCTGGCTATGTGGGCATCCCCCAAACGACATTTACGACGAATGCCGCATGGCGACGCCACCATCTGTGAAAGTGGCGAATAAACAAGCTTGGGGAAGCTGGACACCTCAGCCATACTTTTTGAAGGCTCTTTGCATAGAACTCCTTCCACTCACTCAATATACAGAAAGAATCCCCGATATGTCGGAAAGTGGTCCAAAAAAGACTTTGCAGTTCTTCGATATGTTCATGGGTTGTCCCACTGCGTGAAAAACGTAGCAGCAAGGTGTGGTGTAACTTCGGTGTTTATAGCGCCGAACAAGCTTTCAGAGTTGTGTTCACGACTTCAAAAGATGATGGAGTCTCGCATTATATAGAGCCATAACAGCTGCCAGATAAAACATAGTCAATGTTGCCGTTATCACTAAACGTGACGGCTTTGCCGGACTCCATTCAGATTCGGCTGGTTCTACGTTGCGCGATTTGGAGGGTGCATAAAAATCAGATTGAGGCAGCACGACGCCGCACTACGTAGTTTAGCCCGAACACACCTGGCAGATAATTGCTCTTCATGCGATTGTAGGTGCACCGTTTTTCTGAGACACTAGGATTCCCTTAACAGATTTTTAACATGCAAATATTAAATCGTGAGTGACTAGAAGCTTTGCATACTAGAGACGCAGGAGAGAAGTGTATAAGACAAGCTTTGATCACTAGCACCGATAAGGAATTTGACTACTTGAAAAGCACGTGTAGTAGTCCTGTTACACATGTGTGAAATAAAATTCAAGCTTGTTTTTTTTTGAATTTTTGCTCTTTTGCTGATGTTACATGCACTTAGTTTTATTTCGTAGGTATTCGGATCAATCACCAAGAGGCATCTGTATTCCTCGAAGACCAAAATAGTTTTCTTGTTTGGAGTTCGCGCCCATGGTGTTTCACTCTCTCTTGTCCGCATGTTTGCTGGTGCAAAAAAGTAGACACATTGAACGTTAGTTCTAATGCTAGAGTTCAGACACTCTCGCATGGTCCTAACAGGCTAGGGTTTGACTCTATTTTCTGCATCTAAAAGAAAGACCTAGCATTAGCCAAGAAGGCCAGGTTGTTTCTTAAGCTTTGCACGGCTAGCGTAGGCATTTTTTTATCAAAGTAGGCACCCCGTATGTTCATAATGATGGCAAGCTTCACTTTGTCTCGTGTGTGCGCAGCCTACGTCCTCATGGCCACACGAGCGTCTTCGTCTCCATCTGGCACCCTAGTAACGAGCCCAGAATTTCCAGGCGACACTGAGCCTCATTGTTTCGAATTCTGGTACCAACAGACTGGAGGAAGCGGAGTGGAGCTACAGGTGAGCTTGTTGAGGTCAGCATGCGTGAGAGTCACCACATATGGCGACGTTTTGCATTGTTGCCTTTGTACGGGCTGGCAGGCTTGCCTCGACCATTGATTACCGTATGGGAAAAAGGTTTTCTAATAAGTAAAACATGGCTATTTGATTTACCTGGGTAACTACTATGATGTTTGATTTGATCTTGAGCAGCGTAGAACGTTTAGGATAGATTAGTCTTCAATCGCGCGCTCCCATTGTGGTACGTGATATTGGGGAGCCATAAAAGAATTATCCTATTCGTCGGCTTTCGCTGTATTTCAGCCACCCCCACTTCCAAAAAAAAGATGCCTGCATCTTCCAACGGGCGGCACTAGAGTAAATACGGGGCAGATTGGAGGGAGTATCGCGTGCATGTCGCGTATTTGAGTATGGTGTGGGAATGCATTTTTTTCGTCTTTATAAATTTGTTGATGGAATGAAGGAGAAGCGTTGCCTTCAACGAGTGGTGGGATGCTGATGTTGTTGGGTTGTGCGCCAGTGCTGGTCGAAGGTATTTTTGCTTCCGTCGCATCTACTCATGTCAAGGAAAGCGTCAAATCAAGCGAAGGCCAAGACATCATTGACTCGATTCCCAATGCGTGATTCATTGCCTTCATATACGGGGTCGCCACTGAATGGTTCTGAAGCGTGAACAGTTGGGTTTTTGCTAGCAGGCGCTGCCTGCGTCGACCTTGCGAAGCGACAGTATGCGAGAAGCACAGTGGGGGTGAGAAGGGTGCCACTGATGCCAGATTCGCCCCACGGTGCGACTGAGAAATGGTTCGATTTTGAAAAGCAGGAACTGCTATAACATTCCAAATACCCTACAAAGCGTAAAACCTAGGACTGTCACTCAAGTGACGAAAATTGCTGTTAGGAGTAAAGCTCCTTTTTGTCTAACCTTGTCACGCGTCAGATATAACTAGCTGTATCTCCTAGAGTATAATTATGGAGTGTGCAGTGGAAGTTGGAGGTACTGTAGTTAGACAGGACACTGGCAGGCTGTTCCAAGAAACGAAGAATCTCAATAAGAAGCGTCAAAGCATAAAAGCCTGAAGTATAACAGACAAAATAGAGTTGGTAGAGCTTTCGAAGTTGAATAATGAGCGTAAGGTATCCGATGTAAGTAGACGTTACATGCAGAGAATTGGACGCGCTTTGAAAAGCGGAGGAAGCGTCGAAGCAGTGAAAACTTGGAATAGGCAAAAACCAGATGGATGGTCTAAGGGTTTGAGTGATATGTGGGTTTTAACGTCCCAAAACCACCATATGATTATGAGAGACGCCATAATGAAAGGCTCCGGAAATTTCGACCACCTGGGGTTCTTTAACGTGCACCCAAATCTGAGCACACAGGCCTACAACAATTCCCCCTTCATCGTAAATGCAGCCGCCACAGCCGGGATTCAATCTCACGACTTGCGGGTCAGCAGCCGAGTACCTTAGCCACTAGACCACCACGGTGGAGATATGCTCTAAGGGACAAGAAAGGCAAAGTAACTACAAATATAAATAGGATAGTAAAATTAGCGGAGGAGTTTACAGCGATCCCTATAGCCCGCACAACCATGGCCTCATTATAAGAACTAGCAGTAACCCAGATGAGACCCCAGCAGTAATGATAGAAGAAGTCAGGAAAGCCTTAGATAGCATGCAAACAGACAAAGCTTCCGGTGAGGATCAGATAACATCAGATCTGCTGAAATATGGAGGAAAGATTTTGTTTGAAAATCTAGCGACCCTGCTTACGAGGTGTCTCCTGACGGGAAGAGTATCAGAATCTTGGAACATTGCTAACATCATTCTAATACATAAGAAAGGAGATAACAAGGACATAAAGAATTACAGGCCAATTACCTTGCTCTCCATAGTACACATGTTACTCACAAGGGTAATTGCTAACAGAATTAGGACAAAATTAGAATTCAATCAACCAAAGGAATAAGCAGAATTTCAAACAGGCTACTCAACAATCGACCACATTCATACTATTTATCATGTAATAGAAAAATGCTCAGAATATAGCCAACCACTACACATAGCCTTCATAGATTACGAGAAGGTGTTTGATTCAGTGAAAATATTAGCAGTCATGCAAACACTGCGGAATCAGGGCGTCGACGAAGCATATCTAAACATACTGGAAGAACTCTACGGAAGATCAATTGCTACAATAGTGCTTCATAAAGAAAGCAACAGGATACCAATCAAGAAGCGTGTAAGGCTGGGGGATACAATCTCCCCAACGTCATTTACCACGTGCTTACAGGAGGTTTTCAGAGGCCTAGAATGGGAAGGGTTAGGCATAAAAGTTAATGGAGACTATCTTAGTAACCTGTGCTTCGCCGATGACATTGCATTGCTGAGTAACTAAGGGGACGAATTGCAACTCAAGATTACGGAGTTAGACAGGGAGAGCAGAAAATTAGGTTTTAAAATTATTCTGCAGAAAACGAAAGTATTACCCAACAACCTCGTTAGAGAATAGCGCTTCGAGATAGGTAATAGTGCACTTGAAGTTCGGAAACACAATGTCTGCTTAGGACAGGTGATAACCATGGAGCCGAACCACGACACTGAACTAACTAGAATAATAAGAATAGGGTGGAGGACATTTGGCAAGCACTCTTAAATCATGACAGGTAGATTGATTGCCACTATCCCTCAAAAGGAACTTATATAACAGCTGCACCTTGCTAGTACTGCTGGTACTTAGCTACGGAGCAGAAACCTGGAGACTTATAAAGAGGGTTCAGCGTAAATTGAGGACGATGCAGCGAGAAACGGAGAGGAAACTGGTAGGTGTAACCTTAAGAGACAAGAAGAGAGCAGAGTGGATTAGGAAACGAGCGGGGGTTAAGGATATCATAGTTAAAATTAAGAACAGGAAATGGACATGGGCCGGGCATGTAGCACGTAGACAGGATTATGGCTAGTCATTAAGGGGTAACTAACGGGATTCCTAGAGAAGGCAAGCGGGTTAGGGGGAGGCAGAAGGTTAGGTGGGCAGATGAGAATAAAAGGTTCGCGGGTATAAATTGGTAGCAGCAAGCACAGGACCGAGTTGACTGGCGCAACATGGGAAAGGCCTTTGTCCTGCAGTGGATGTAGTCAGGCTGATGATGATGATGATGATGATGATGATGAACATGAGGAGGAGGAGGACATTGATGATCTTCCAAACAGTATGACTGATGGCGCTGTCTCACGGAAGTACATACAAGTAGCATTTGAGTGACCATATCCCAGATGGCGCTGTACCGCAGCTCTTGAATTGACTTCTGCGCGTGCTGGCGTGGGTGAGAGAGAATCAGTGCCTCTCTCAGTCTCCTGGATCATTGCCATACGTGTCAGGTCGTTGGTGGGGCATGGACGACGGACGGATGGAAGGACAGACAGACAGACAGGCAGACAGACAGACAGACGGACGGACAGACGGACGGACAGACGGACGGACGGACGGACGAACAGACAGACAGACGGACGGACAGACGGACGGACAGACGGACGGACAGACGGACGGACGGACGGACAGACAGACAGACGGACGGACGAACGGACGGACAGACAGACGGACGGACAGACGGACAGACAGACAGACAGACAGACAGACAGACAGACGGACAGACAGACAGACAGACAGACAGACGGACGGACGGACGGACGGACGGATGGACGGATAAATGGAAGCACGAAGAGACGGCCGTACATTAGAACGCACGGATGGACGAATGGACAGACGAAAAGACGCTTCCATCCACCCATCATCTTCACTCCATGGGTATGGTGTGAAATTTTCACTAATACGAAATGAAACCAGGTGTCTCCCGGGTGTATCCTTTTATCTCTATTCCCTCTGACGCTCTCGAGATGGCGGCTCTTCTATGTTTCTGACATAGAGCGGCCTTTATTTCAGCCGAAAGCATTCGAAAGCCCTTAAGAAAAAAAATGATCTAGTATTCTATAAGGCCACCGCCAGAGCTCAAGGACTCGTGTCCGGTACCCAGGCGGGGATATCTGCCCAGATCCCTGAACAACTCGCCGGACTTTTTTTTAAATACAGTTGCTTCCTTCTCTTACTAGTATACTAACGCATGATTCAAATAACATATAACGCATGCTTGAAATAACGCATCCTGCAAATAACAGAAAATATTGTGCTAGAGACAAAATAGTAAACAAACGTTACCCGCAACATACCTAAATATATATGGGAAGGGAAAAAGTACATTTAAAATTGTAATGTGCATCTAAATTGTTACAAAATTATGTCATCTGTACAGCCAAGGTTCTATGCAAAATGGAGATGGACGGCGTCTTCAAATATTAAATCATTTTAACAGGACGCATGTACACTCGATGGCAGAACATTTTGTTATACATGAGCGAACTTGTGCTCTTTTGTTCACAGGTTGAAGTGTTGGCAAATGGCAAGAGTGAAGTAGTGTGGAAGAAACCACTGAAGCCTCTGACAAATGACTGGATGCTTGGGCGTGTGCAGATTACACAGCGAAAGACATTCAAGGTGAGAACAAAAAGCACCAACATAAACAGTTGCAATATTGCATGGGCATGTTTTTATGTGCCATATATATCCCTCCCCTCACGTTTGAGGTTGTCTTGAGCACAGGTTGGCAAAAATTGTGGAGCTCACTCAAACTCGCTCATGAAATATACTTTGCACTTGTAATTCACTCAGAGTGAGACTCACCAATGCTTCCCAGTGCTCGACTCATTAGGACTCGCACTCTCGAAAACTTTCTTTGACTCAAGCTCGCTCAGAATCAAACCTACCAAAATATTACTCACCCGTATTCACGGCTACATCCCACTCTGCGCGAGAATGAGTTAGTACCCTGCTGAGTCCGTGAGTCTAGAATTAGCCTTTTCAAACATGGTGCTAATGCTCTTTGAGACCGGTATGTTACAGAATCGGTGCTCCTCGTAGCCCATTTTGATACTGCACCTCCGAATACGGATTATGAGTGGTTGCAAAGCAGCAAGTACATTCTTCCTAAATGAGGTGAAAACCAAAGATACATTTATTCACAACTTCCCCGGAACGGTTGTCAGGAGATGGTGGGGTGGGGGGGGGGGGAGTAAGGCATCTTCCTGCGTAATTGAGGCCTCTGATCAACAAACATTGTTATGGTGTTTGAATGATACTGCTTTTAAATACTTGTGTGTGCACGTAAGCATAAACATGAATTCAGGTAAGGCTCTCAGTAAGTCTGAAGATGAGCAGATAGGAGGAGCAGCGAGAGCAACCGTTCATCAGCGGACGCTGTGGCCTTCAGCCTATCTAGTCACATATCGTATAGCCCGGAGTAATCGCCATACTTTTCTGTGAAGGCACTGTGTTGCCCTTACGCTAGCATCCGGAAGATAAATGTACCAAATATTCGCCACCCGCAAGGCAAAACAATGTGATGAAGTAATTCGCATGCAGCAACACTTTTTACCGGCTATCAATAATAAGGAATTGCACACTACAGGTGAATTTTTTCTTTTTTTTCTGGCGGAAGTACTTGAGTGGGTAACGCTTGATTGCACACGTACTGTCATCGGCCTTGCCATAGGCAAGGTGGATTCGTAAATAGAGAATCTGTGCAAAGATCGGTTGCAAATGTACTTGCTTCCGTAACCTATAGCTATCTTTTGTTGATCGGCTCAAACTGTTGAGCTCAAAACGAACAGTTTAACATTTTACGCCGTATGACCTTTTTTATGGGCGCGAAAAAATAACGGCAAATAATTTGCAGTTCTCGCTTCTTCATATGAAAATGGTGTACTTTACTTTCAAAGATGGCAATAATACTCTCAGTAGGACGCTTCCGCATCAATGACAGAAATATGGTTCAAGCTTAATATTAAAACACTGCTTGTGCGTCCCTCTACAATTATACATGTTTCTACATGATGCTAGGTAATTTTATGATAAATCTTTGGAAAAAATGAGAAATGTAGTTATTCCGCAAAAAAAAAAAAGATATGGAACTAGTGAAAGACCATACGGGAGGTTTCAGTAGGGCTCAAACGTGAAGTCAATCTCACAACTTTTCCACACATAAATGAAGAAAGGTGGTTTCAATAAGGAGGTCTGCGTGCTACGTATACCTGACCTTTCTTTATATGAGTGCCTGTAACGCGTACCCATAGTTTCATTTTCGTGCATGCTCTTGATCCACATCTTCGTGGGTTATTTCTTATTTAGGAACGGCTTACTGCTCTCCCATAGTTGAGTACGAAGTACTCAAAATCATTAAACAATTTTGCTATCACTCCCCCCTCCCCCAAATTAAGGTCGCAGTTCGTGCCAATTTCACCGATGGGAAAGCGCAATCAGTGAGCATCGACAACGTTGTGCTGAGGCCTGAAGCCTGTACCCACCCTGCCGAGTGTTACTTCATGAATGACCTTTGCGGATACGTCAACCACTATGAAGGAGACTTTCGCTGGTATGTCGGCCCGGGTCGGCTGGAAAAGCCCGAAAATTTCCACGGTGACCCCTTGTTAACAGGTACGGTCTACTTCCTTACAAAGAAAACCAATTATCTTCAACATTGTGATTCACCTTTACGTTTCGCTTCACCATCACTTATAAAAGTGCTCATACGTTCTCTTTTAGCAGTGTGCATATCTACTGTTAAAGAGACAAATTTGGAAAGACGTGAATAAAGTACGAATAAATATTTACAGTTGACAGGTTTTTTTTCTGTGCCTGCGTGAGTGTCCACCTTCTTTCAGCGGTGCAGCGCAACTTTGCACAGCATATGAAAAGCACGAAAGTTTATAGGGAAGTTTACATAAAAGATTCGGCAATTAAACACCGCCATGAAAGGAAAGGATGAACACTAACGGCAAAAGCGGGCACATTGTACAGTAATAAATAACTTTTTTTATGCTGTGGCAAATTATTGTAATCAAATCTAATTGTTGCCAATAACGTCAGCACATTCACCCTCAACGTCTCTAGCTCAATGATCAGGACTTATGGCTTCACTGCCAAGACTTTTATTGTAATCTCAGTGTCACCTGTCTAAATTTCTTTCGCAGGTAGCCAAACAACAATTTTAAGAGAATGCCGCTCACTGTCCTGGTATATTTGTGAAACCTGTACAATGAGCGTCATGACCATAGCTTCATGTCTGATCTAATTCTACAAACGCACGTTCACTATAAACATGGCTTTAGTATTTTCATGTGAGGCAAATGATTTATTCCCGATCTGCCACGCCGATCACCTATGTACAAAATGGAGACAAATTATTGAAGCTTATTGCAGGAACAAAGGCATGCAGTCGACAAGTTTAATGTTAATTTGTGCGCAAGTGTATTGTTTCGGTGGCATAAAAGAACGCATTTTCATAGCAAATGCCACAAGAAAAATATATTTCACCACTGGAACTTCGATCGCCGCTCTCAAGCTCATAATATTTTCCCACTGATGATTTTACAGCGGGAGAGCCATACGTCTACCTAGACTTCACTTCTGCGACGTCCGGGAAGTATACAAACACGGCGACGCTATTGAGCCCTATTTTCAACGCCAACGATAATGAAACTGTGGTAACCATCGATTACGTCAGACACGGATCAGGTAACAAAAATTTACATTGGAGTTTAGTTGCTGACTTGAAAATTCTCACACACACACAAAGTGGAGCCGCATTTCTTGCTGTTTGCCATATTTTTATGCTAAAACACGGACGTCGTCATTTTTTTCTTCGGTATTAGAATTGTTTATCGCGAGCTAGCTTATGCATAGAAAATTTGTTACATCGATAATGCAATATAGCGGAAAATATTGCCTCTGCATAGAGCTTTCAAATCGTTCTCTTCCAACAGTAACCCATTGATGATAGTTTGGTAAGCGACTACTGTACTTTATGTTAATCAATCCTGTTTTTGCACCACGCTGTTTTGGATGAAGTCAATGTAACAAATGAGACTACTTACCAACACATTTCCTAGCCCTCATTAGCCCGAAGCACTCAGAGAAAGTGCGGACCGAGAACAAGTACGTGCATTATAAACAGATGAAAGTTCCTCGGCATGACATAGCAGCGTTGCTGCGCGGAGACGGTTTCAGTGTTTGGAAGTCGTTGGCACAAACGAATACTTTTTTTATTTGGTGGTGTGGGATAATGGTACGCCAGTGTTGATAGAATGATTTATGCGAGGCCTAGGGTGACTCAAGAGCAAGGAGATACCTGTTTCCTTATAGTGACCTGGTAATTACAACTAACTTTTCAAAGCAACATTTTTTGTGGCTAGCTGATGTGTTGCTGTCGTCACATACCATGAAAACATAAGATGAAGTTGGGTTTATGTTGGGTTCATTTTGTCGTATGCAAATATACCGATAAAGAGCATTCTAATGTTCTCTGAAATCAACGAAACGTAATGCCTGTAGTGGGAGCAAACACACGTACTTGGCCAGTCAAAATGCTGAAATAATGGCCTTTTCAAACTATGTGATCATTGTGCCAACAAGTGTGTTTTAGCGGCGAAGCTCCTTAATCCGTGGGTCCAGTCGTACGTCCAGAATGTATGTAGTACATAGTAGTAGTAGTAGTAGTAGTAGTAGTAGTAGTATTAGTAGTAGTAGTAGTAGTAGTAGGTAGCCACTTTCACGGCTGGAATAGAGAAGCAGCACGCGCGCACTTTTTTCAAATTGAGGAAGAAACCCGCACACCTTAATCGTAAATTAAAAAAAAAGGTGTTTCTGATGAACTAACTTACAGAGACAATATCGCTGACTTGACCTCCAGTATAATTTGCTTTGAAGTTGATGCTTACTAAAAAAATCTAGCAACAGAAAGATGCACTTTGAGCACTATCTGACCAGAAAAGGCTGCCACGTTAAACTCACTGAGCGTAAACTCATTATTTTATTAAACTGTAGCGAGGTTGGGCCGCATTGTCATGAAAGGTGGGAGCTGGACACAAAGCGCAGGCCGTAAGAGAGTGTGCGCGTGCTACTCCTCTAGTCTTGCCTTGCCAACTCCGTTTAGTCCTTGGAATGTCTGCTGGATGGCCGTACTTCTACATGATGAATACATAATGAAAAGATGCGAGATGGTGGCCGGTACTTGGAGTGTTCACTCGATGCTCGGATAGATGAACAGACGCACAGATGGACGCACGGACGGACAGACATACAGATGCACGTATGAATGGACAAACGCACAGACGGTCAGACCCATGGATAGATGGACGCATGGACGGCCGCACAGATGGATGCAAAGACAGGACATACGCATGGATGGACGCACGGAAGGACGGATAGAAGGACGGACGGATGCATGGACGAACGCACAAACGAATGGATGGACGAATGGATGGTCGCACAGACGGACGTATGGACAGACGGAAGCAAAAACGAACGGACGGACGGAGGCGCGGACGTACAGACGGATGCTTCGCCCCGCTCAGCATCGTACACTCCATGGTCGTGTTGTGATTTTTTAGTTTGACAAGATGCAAGATGCTGCCGTGTAAGAACGCAGTCATGTATGTTTTAACTGTAGATGGGCACTTAAATTTGTTTAAATATACCATACATTTAACTTCACTACGTACCTTCCCTTAAATTTAAAGTGATGCAGCAATGAGATGCAGTAAATGCAGTAGGATAAAAACTGATTAGACATTTTTATACCACACTTAGTTTTGCGAGAAAGGAACATGCTGTAATAAGGGGCACCTTATTCTCCTATTAAGGGGCACCTTATTAATATCTGAGGCTTTCATTTTTCAAGGATAACTAAAAAAGCGTGTTTATATTTTGCTGTCACAGATGCCACTTCGGCAACCCTGTCAGTTTTCTGCTACGGGAGTGATACTTCAGCCAGAGGTGAATTGCAGCAGTCTCATGAATTTCCCCAAGTAGATGAGTGGGCGACACTAGTAATGACGCTCAGAGAGGGAAAGAACTGTCAACTTGCCGTACAAGTTACTCGTGGAGATGGACCGGACGGAGTGTTTGGTATCTGGAGGATTGATGTGGAGGGGTCCTTGCCAGGTAATGTACTGAACCTGTTTACCACCAACTTTATGAATTTCCTCGCAGGCTATCACTGAAGAACCACGATCATCTTTGAAAAAAAAAAAACCACAATTTGATAAAGTGTGTGTAGCACTTCAGCTGCCAATTTCGAAAGTACATAGCACAGTAAGCTTAATATTCAAGTTTGAATTAACCTAACACTAAAATATTTGAAATAGAAATTCCGGCATAAGAAATACAATTTAAATTGACTCGTCATGAATCTATAGGTCTCAAAAAATGCTTGTTCTTTATTTCCTACTAATCTTTACATTATCACTGAGCGGCGATAGAATTGAAATATACGATGAGCTTGAGTTTTCCTCATCTGGCAACACAACAACACCAACAAAAAAACACAGCTATCAAAAGGTTGAAGACCGTAGCACTGGGTGTTGCGAATAAAAACTCCTTATATGGCGTTCTTATTTATGAAACTATATTTTCAATTATTATCCTGAATATATATTTGCTATTCTTTTTTCAGACAACAAAACGAAGGAAGGTTTTGACACACCGAGTAAGTAGACCTTCTCCTTTTTCTTTAATAATATCACTTTGGCTTTCACGTATTCTCTCATTCCCATGAATTCCTACATTGTTACCATGTCGTCTTTTGTCACCACACCCGAACACAAACGCTATACTTTCTCCCACTCAACAACTTATTCAGCGCGCATTCTACGGTAAGCGTCCTCCTTACGTTGTTTACGAAGTGCTGCCGAATGTGCTGTTTCTCTCTTCCCTCTCTGCTCTCTTTCATCTCCCCCATTCTTCTCCCATGCGCAGGGTAGCCAACCGGCTGCCTATAGGCTGGTTAACCTCCCTGCCTTTCTTTTCCCTCTACTTTCCTTCCTTTTTTCCTTCCTTCCTTTCATTTCGTGACTGTTCATGCGATTGATCATCCGCCACAATGTTTGCTTGGCTGGTTATTCAACTAGTGTTACACTTTATAGGTTTGGCGCTTCGGCCCCGCCGTGGTAGTGGTTATGGTGCCTAATCGCTGACCAGCAAGTGGCTGGATCGAATCTTCTTTGCGGCTGTCGCATTATTGATGGGAGTGAAAATTTCCGAAGCCCATGTGCTGTGCTTTCGCGCACGTTGAAGAACTTAACGTGGTCGATGTTTCTGGAAAGCTCCACTACGGCGTCTATAGTAATCATGCTGTAGTTTTGAGGCCACATCAGTTATTCTATTCCCTTTATTGAGATTGTGTTTAGTGCTACTGTAAGAGAATTATTGTTTTGCCCCGAAACTCACACGTGGCGATGATTCAGTGCATGCCGGTTTATGATGAGGATATTTTTTTCTTCGGCAACACACGGCGAACCTCGACCTTAGGAGCTCTGCTTTATTAAGAAAGAAACCTGAATACAAGGAATTAAAAAATCTATTCAATTATGCACAGCATAGTTCCTCACAGAAATATGCGCACAAGGGAGGCAGGCGTGCTCTCCCCCCCCCCACCCCCCAAACTAGTCGACTAAAACGGGGAGGAGTGAAAAGTCAACCCCATACATTGACCTAATGGGGAGGGTGGCCGCTGTGACGAAGATTTGCCCCCCGCCCCACGAAAGAGAACCACTGCGCACACCCATAATTTCTCAGCCATTCTTATTTGTCATTAACAATGTCACTGATGCATTCCCTTATATAACTGAGACTCTCGCCTTTGTGGCCTCACCAGCGCAAGAGTACAAGCTCAGACTCGGACGCATCTGATTAGCGGCACTCTGAACTTCGAATATCTGCACCTTCGCGACTACACAGAGTGTCTTTTCCCTTACCTTCTCACCAGGTAGTACAGTTACAAGAGTCAGTGTTTGACTTTTCAGTCTCTAGTCTTGAGTCAGTATGAAATGGTGAGCGCAATTCCTTTTACACAATTACTCTAACATACTAATGGTAGACAAAGAGAGGCGCATGTACACACTTCGTCCTACATTGTCATGACACTTTTCACCTTCAGTCACGCTATATCAACACGCCCAGTGATCCACGCTAACTGTATAAACAACGACACAAACATTGATCGGAACTGTACAGCCGGAAGAAAGACCGAAGAAATGTGGTGGACAGAGAAGGTGCACGATTTAGTATTTCAGTGTATAGCTCAACCTTCGTGAGCCCCACGCTATTATTGACTCCTCAACAGACTCCCTTGCCAGGCTCACACGAATCTCGCAGACAACACTGCGTGGCTTCTATAAACGTGACGCCATGTGATATTCTGACACCAATTTGTCGATCACATTGAGCAATGATCTTATGTTGTACAGGCTTGTGGAGGTGCTCTAGTAGAAATGAATTGCAACAATTTTTCCACTATGTGTGTGGTTCACGTACTCTCCTGCTTATATTTCAGCTCGATGCACATTCGATAATGGTACCATGTGTGGTTGGGATCCGAGTGGAGGCACGATTACGTGGGCTCTGAACGATCCCGCAAAGAAAGTTCCCTCGAATCCACGCTTCGACCACACTCTCGCTGCTTATAAAGGTAACTTGTCGCCAATCATGTTTTCAATAAGTATCTAGTAATTACGATGTTAATACCTTTACATTTGCTGCATATGTTTTTTAGTGTTCTTAGCTACCTAGTTTTAGGATGGAACACTAACCAAAGCGTGCGAATAAATAACGCTTCAATTCCTAATCATCGCTTGCATACCTCGACTTCATGCCAGTGTTGTTCTACAGCAATGATATTATTTACCGTACAAGTGTGCACGTCACAAGCATGTAAATCACGTGAATAGAGGTAGTGGAAATGTTAGCACGTACGTGTGGTCTCAATAAGTGCTTGTATCACATAGGACCGCAGTAATCAAATGAAGAAGTTTGCACGTGAACACTGCTGAAGCAAATTATGGAGCTTTTGCCTAAAAAGCCCCATCGCCGATTCAAAACAAACTATTAACTTAGTTTTACTCACGAAACTTGACCGAATAGTATAGAGATCTGTGATGACTGCCTTACAGTTTAACATCACTGCTGTAGGGAATAGTTTTTTTTTACATTTTTGTTTTCACTTGTTAAGGCGTTAGCGTTGAAATGCGTTTTCCAGAAATTTAGGTACTGGGGATGAGGACACAATTGATTAAGAGCGATAAACTGATGTTGTCCGTGGGCGCAACTTTGCAATATATGCACGTAGGTAAACAATATTTAAAATGGGACCATTATGTTTTACCTTTTACATGTGAATGCCATTGCTATATCTTATTCCTAGAGCGTACTTGAAGCACTCGGCGCGTACTATTATCGTACGATGTTACTGCAAAGCCGAAATCGTGGATTACTACAATGTGAATCGATTAACTTGAAACTGGCTTGTGTGAATGAAGGTTTCACATAAGGCTGCTTTCAATGCAATGGGCAGGCAGCAAGTCTTTAACAATTGAACAATTACTGTATACACGTGAAATCTTTGCGAACTTGCAATGCTATGCACCCACTATGCAGTCTGTAACCTCTGTGCCTTCTGTAGTGGATGGCTGGCTTTAACCCAAGTGCTAGTGTATTTTAAACACATGTTATTACGCCCGATGAAAATATATATGCACGTACCACGGAATATAACTGCAATGTTGCATGTTGTATTGAGAATTCTCTACACAGGATACAATTGTTTGTATAGCATGAAAGTTATTTTCACGGAGTTTTGAAGCAGATGAAGGTATTTTCCCTCTAAATCAAAGGAGATGCGTGCCTGTGTGGTAGGACAACTTCCTTCTACTGAAACAGCCTAGTTTTTATCCTCACTGGAACGAGAAATATTATTATTTCTTTTATTTCTATCTTTCTCGGTTTAGCCATCACAGACAAGATGATGAGTTTTCACTCATAGCCAACGAACTCACGCCGACACTGACACCGACGCCGACGCCGTATTATCTACGAAATGAGCTCTTGAACGTGGTCGCGTTGAAAGCTTCGGTATGTGAGAGAATCCTACACGTCTTCGACAAGTAAAACCCGTGTTTATTCACGGGGCTACGCTGCAGTCCTTGAAGCTCTTTTGTTAAAGGACGCTATCATTCAGTGAAAAAATTCTCTTTACACGTGTATTATTGCGTGGCAGAATCGTGGAAAAGTACCAAGCCTAAAGAAACGCGTAATCGTCTAACGAGTGAACAGTTTGAAGCTGCCTATTGATAACAAAGTGTGCAGCGGGGGAAGTGCGTTGTGGTGCCTTGCCAGTTTGAAATTGGCAGAATTAATAAATAGCGGTTGCTGCTGTAGTTGCAGTGCCGGCGTTCTGAGATAGCTTCAAACTGCCAATGTTGCTCGCAAAAGCGTTCTTTTCCTTTCGCCATGGTTGAAGGCGATGCGGATGAGAACCAATTACACTATGCGCCCTTAAAGTGTAGGCCAAAGGGATATGATGTACCATACAGGCATAATTTTTCCGGCAGGACTGCTGTCAATTATAGTAGCCACATTAAACAGGAGTCGCAATATGCCACCCGCCTACTTGAGTGACAAGTATAACGTGAGACGAATTTGGTTCCTTCAACGAATTTGGTTCTCCTCCAGCGATTTCAAAAAATGCATCTGAATGCCAGTGAGAAAAAAAAAATGAGTTACATCCACTAAGCCTCTTCACAGTTTCTCATTCAACTTAATCATATTCATTGCAAAAACTAGCTAGTTAATCCTGAAAGACATGGGGAGCCTAATATTACTGTCTTCTTCACGTCTATCGTAAGGTCGTTTCATATACGTGTCAAGTGACAAAGATAAGTGGCATGGAACTGGATCTCTTAAAAGCCCGGATCTCGACGTCAATGCCACCGAAGGAGCCTGCTTGAGCTTCTGGCACTTCACCGACCACGAGAAACGAGCCTCGTGAGTACACCAACATGAAACAAAGACCGCTTTATGCGTTTTAGGCACACTAAGCTTGCTAAAAGCAAGTATGCGTTTGTATATGAGTTACCAGCGGCCTCACAATTCCGCTCGCAGTGGCCGGCTGATTCTCCACTATGAAGGAGCCAGTAAAGTTCTAAGTGTGTATCATTTTTAGACCCGCTTCTCGCCGAGTTCATCTACACATCTGATGTGGCAAGATCAAGCTCAGAGAAAGCGCTCAACGCTCAAACTTTGGTAAAATATTGAGCACGGTGTAGGGTAATGAATAGAAATAACCCAAAAGTGTGAGCAATAATTACCTTAAAATGGTTTTGAACGTCGTAATTCTGCGCCTATCTTTTGAAGATGCGATAAGGTGCCGCTGGGGTGATTTCTTAGAAATTAACAATATAACAAGTGCCGTCAGCGACAGAGCACAATTTCTGTGATATTAGATCAGACTCAGGAGGTGTTGCACCGAGAGAACCGTAAAACTAAAAACGCTTCGTAATTTTCTTATTATATCTGCTTGCCGCTGCTCCAAGTCAATCGAACAAGGGTCGCACAAACAAACCTTCTGTTTTTAGGCTTCTATAGGTCGTACACCGCACACTTACTGGCGTTTCAGATTATTCTCGGCAGAGTATCTTCAGCCAGGTTCAAAGTTTTCTTGATCCTACTTGAGCAAATAAATTTTTATTGCACATTTCTGTTAGGCGTAGAGGCGATAGCCATTTGAGAGCATAGCTAGGTATCGGGCGTCATTTAGAGTATGTCTCCGTGTATAGGAACAGTTATCAACATGATTCTTCTACACAGAGGGGACGTGCGTCTCGATGGAGCGCGCCTCTACAGTTTCACGACGAGAACTAACCACAGATGGAATCACAATCTCGTCGATTTCAAGACAACCCAAGACAAGTATCAGGTATCGTATTTCACAATACTGAAAAACTCTCGCAAACGTTTTTATTTTGGTCTCAGGCGTTGTTTGTTGCTACGAGGTTGTTCAAAACTTTAGATATGATTCAAAAATTTGTTTCGGTCAAAGCAACTTTGATTGGACGAATGCATAATGATGTGTATTCTAATATTCAGTCATATATGATAAATAGAGCTCAGTATTCGAGAGAACTTTATTATTGAAAGCCATGAACTTACATATAAAGCCTAGTGTAGTTGCAATATAGTGATGCATGGCTAAAGGCACGGAGGATTTCTTCAGTTTAGAGCCAGTACTGGCCATACGAAGAGACACTAAAGCACACGAACTGATGCCTAGCGACACCAAATTCCAGTCAAGTCCACCACAGTCGCATCTTTACGTTTCGGCTATATGACACCCTGATATAGTTTAAACGAATCTAGTCTAACCTCCTAGCTTGGCCGCGCACCGGGATTACCGATAAGCAGATTCCTAATCGGAAGGGCGAACCTTCGGTACCCTCACGTTTGCGTCAGGCACCGCAAGCCGCAGGCACGTGTCGGCGTTGTACAGTACGAACGAGCGCACTCACGGTTGGCTGTGACGTCAAGTCCGGTGAGACTGAGTGGTTGCGCAGAGTGCTCAGGCAGCATTTGTGGCGCAGTAGGGTGTGGGACAACTAACACAGGCACACAGCAACTCCATGGTTGCTGGGCATCGCGTGGTGACGCCAGTGCGGCGCAGACTGATTCATGTTGGACAAATTTCGGCCGGCATAAACTGCTTCGCTGTCAGTAGCTACAAGTAGTACCTTCTGTTGAGCTTGGGGAGGATGAAGCAAATCAATTTTATTGCTCAGATATGTGTACACATTTGGTTCTTATACAGTTTACTTCACTGATAGACAAGTTTTGTTTCAGGGGTGACACAAAATATCCTCGTTAATTCTTTTCTAAAACTAACCAATTACTTGCTCTCAATTGAGTTATTCTCCTTACTCGTGATTACAGCACCCATGGTGCAAAATGGGTCTCAAAGTGGATGGAACGAAATGTTTCACAAAAATCGTGATTTTTACGTGTGAAATTTGCCAGCGTCTGTAGTGTTGACCCAATTAGAACGTTAAATATGCATTATGTGAATTACGTACGGGACTCTGAGCTCTAAATAAACTTATAAATATCACAAAACAAATGCATGCACAGAATATTGTGAGAAGATTTCTGGAAGAAAAATTTTAGAAGCATGTTGTGCTTCGAACACCTTAATCAAACGACTTCTCTTATTACATACACCAATTTTCGTATTGAGAAAAAAAAGGACACTGGCGGAGAAAGCACCACCGAAACGGCATTATGCGAAATTGAGAAAACTTACATGTGACCAAAAAAAAAAAAAAAACTTCACACTCTGAACTATGCTTGAAGTTCAGAATTTTCCACGAAATCAACACTATCTTTTTAATACTTTAGGTAAGATTGCTGAAGTTTTTGAGGTGTTTGGCGGGGAATAATATTCTGCCAAGTGCTTTAGGGGGAAACATTTTGGCATAACGCTACAAACCGGCGTATACTAGCTTTTCCTTTTATACCCTTGCTCCTCGCTTCCACGGACAGCCCGGTAACGACCGAGCCCGCCATGCTAAAATTAGCCAATGGCTTATAGAATGGCTGTGGCGAGTGATTTTTTCAGCTTGTTCCATTATTTGTCGAATAAAATAAAAATAAATTTTAGCTGAATTTGGGAATTCTTTGTGAATTCCAGGTCACGTATTGCACTTTAATATTTGGCTTGCATGTTCCCGGTAGCCTCGACTACCGATCGCCAGCGTTTTCTGGCCATGCTACAAAAATGTTGGAGGGCCCCTTGAAAATATAGCGTTCCCATTCGCCAGAACGTTACCGTAACACATATGTTAGAAAAGCACTTCTCGTAGCAAACAAACAAGTAATAAGCCACATTCTATTTCTTTTTATACGTTCTCGTGCTTTGTGGTGGAACTCGAAGTTGGTCATTCAAGTGCATATTGAGAAAGGCCTGATTGCACTCGATGACTTGGAAGTCACATCTGGACCATGTCCCGCCAGAGGTAAGCATCAGTGTGTTTTATGCTCATCTACGGACACGCAATAACCACGGCTGGCCGAGCACTTCGCTTCTTGTTTTCGGGAAGATTATTTTATATTTGCGCAGTTTGAGCGACCAAAGCATCAGCTGCTCATAATCAATCACATCGCATGAATAAGTGCAAGAATAAACCAACGATTGTGTGTTTAGAAAGAGTCGTTAACGATTCAGAACACTTTATAAGTGTGTATAAAAAAAATGGCCCCGTATCTGCATGTAATCTGCAAATGCCGTCGAAAGAAGATAGTCTTACGTGTGAAGAGAGTGAACGTGTGTAGAGAGTATTTGATGTTCTGCGCAAGAAAATTGGTGAATGGTATTTCGGAGGCGCTGCGTTAGAGTGCCTCGAGCGTGCAGCGGAGGCGAACGAGCGCATCAAGTCACGTTACACATAAGACATGAGCGCCATCTGGCAGTTCTTTTTGGAAAATAAAGCACGTGGCCCTGAGGCGGGCGGGCGCGCCTGTCTCAGAGGTGATAAGGTGTAAAAGGCAAGGCGACGGGTAGGTGCTACCACCGTGTCGTCTTAGCAAACCGTTGGAAACACTCGATTCTTCGTGCAAGCGTTGCATGGTCAGCGCAGCGTGATAAGCGCTACGGTCTTTATAGCTACTTATGTATGCCTTTTCTAGTAAAAGGTGAACATGCAGAATATATATGTGTTGTTATGGTGCCTCAGATAGGCGAAATAATTGCTTTTTAATTTACAATCTTACACGTATGAACGCTGATCCTTGAGCAACATTGGCGGACGCTGCGGATGGGGTCAGCCGTTCGGTGTATCAGCTGGTGCTGTTTAATGTACCCGGTTTGCGGTAACAGTGAACAAACAGACAAATGCATGGACAGACAGACCAAAGTTTTTGCGTGGAAGGTCCCCAAGAAAGACTATCCTCTTTAAAAATAACAGCATATCCACGGAGTGAATGATGATGAGTTGGACGAAGTGTCCGTACGTCAATTCGCGCTTCTGTCCGCCCATACGTCCGTCCGTGAGTTCTTCCGTGCTTCCATTCGCACGTCCGGTTATCCGTCTGCCTTTGTGTGCATCCGTCCGTCCGTCTATTTGTCAGTCCGTCTGCACATCCATGCATGCGTCCGTTCGTCCGTCTGTCTGCCTGTCCATGCGTCCTTCCGCCCGTTCATCAATCTATCTGTCTGTCTGGCCGTGCGTGCATCCATCCGTCCGTCCACGCGTCTGATCGTGTTCGACAATGCAGACGACACGCGAGTAACACTGATGAGACGCAAGCCAAGGAAGCTGAGTGCGAGCGTCTTGAACGCGCCCGCCGCATTGTTTAGGCCATGCCCCACCAACGATCCGCCACGTACGGCGACTACGCAAGACACTAAAGAGGCACTCCTTCCTCGCGCACCCAGGCACAACCCGCGCAGCAGTCAAACGGAGAGTAGCGCTACAACACCAACTAGAATATCCTCACTCAACTGCAGTTTGTATGTACTTATACGAGACCGCGCGTCTATTATACTGTTCGAGAGATACTGCATTTTTTCTCGTTCTCTTCTTCTCTCGGTTACGCCACACGCAGGACAAGGTTATACTAAGAGGAACTTAGAATCACGGAAGCTTGGGCGAGTTCGTAAGACAATAAGGAACAAATCTGAAGCACAAGTGCAAGAACCGAAGAGAAGAGTAGACACGACGAGCACTCATCGTGTCTACTCTTCTCTTCTGTCTTTGTTTTTGCACTTTAAATTTGTTCCGTATGACAAACTTTGCTCTCAAACTGGTTGATGATTTAGAGAAGTATGTACTCTACTGTGGGAGAGCGCTAAGCTTACCTGAATTGCTAGCCAAAAGAAGAATGAATTTATGTGCATGTTAGAAAAAAATGATTAATGATTTGGGCACTCTGTATTCTACTATGGGAGAGCGTTAATGTCACTGTGTTTAGGAAACGTGTTTAACAATTGTCAGTACTTCGTACTCTACTGTGGAAGAGCAGCGAGCCATCACTCTACAGTAAAGCAGCCTGTAGGAGGACCGGGTGTGTCTTTGGAAAAAAGTTGTTAACGATTTAGAGTACTTCGTACACTACTCACTGAATCAGCACTGAAATCTTCCGACACGTCTTCGGAAAAGGAAGTTTTCTTAGGTGGCTGACCCTCACTCAAGCGCCAGAGTGTTAGTTATGGAAGGCACACGTCAAAAGTTCTCAATATTTAAGTACAAATTGAGACAGAACCCAATTTTGTGTGAGAGAGGTTGCTGGGACATGCATTATTTCACTTTTGCAGAGTGCACGCAACTAAAACCTCAATGCACTGATAAAAATGTACTATGACGTGAACATCTCTTAGTGACGCGCCGTATTACAGCAAATGATGGGTCCAGTCATAGCAGGGATATTTCATTTGCCTAATAATGACGATTTATACTGCGTGATGACTTTCAGACTTTTGCTCATTTGAGCCTGGCTACCACTGTCCAATTCATCAAGGGGCCGGAAACTTCGCCTCCTGGACTGGTCACAACAGCCGAAGACATCGGCGTCCCAGATCACACAATCAAGACACTTCAAGGTAGGTTTCTATACTGAACAATTCGATTTCATTTTGTAAAATTTCGAAATAAGCCTATAACTGTATATTAAAAACAGGCTGATTGACATCAGCATTCACGAAACCAGCGCCTCCTATATGAGCCATTGGTAAAACAATACGTTAGGTGAAATTGTTTTAGGTACTTATAAAAATGTGCAACATGTTTGCTGATTAGGCACTGCAAACAGCGGCAGCTGCAGCCACGTTTTCGGAGACATAAAACAGTGCTGAGTGCTAGCACTTTGTTCGGAGCCTATATTAAAACGATCAGTTATTTTACATTTGAATATTATCCCACCATTATAATTAAGTAGCAACCGATGACATTCCTGCTGTGCATGTGTGGATGTGTGTGTGTGTGTGAGAGAGAGAGAGAGAGAAAGAGCCTTCGCGAAAGGTTACGCTTAAAGAGACAATAGACTTGAAAGCAGTGTACATTTTTTACCTTGGCCTACCTATTTCGGTAGGTGGTATTTGGTCTACGTATTTGGCCTATGTAACTCAGTTATGTGGTAAGGATATACAAGTGAGACAATAGTTCAATTCTCAAGGTACACAAGCAAGCACTTCATATCCACATTATATACACTCAATTCGCAATAACAATTACTCACTATTCTTCCCACTCGCATAAAATAATTTTTAATAATTTAACCACCATCATATTTTTTGTAAAGAGCTGAGGCCGAAATAACTAATGCATTAGTGTTACTATTCAAAATCACAAGATGATTTCTGCATATCCTGTTACAGAACATGAAGAACGGTCGCAGCTTCACTATAATAGCTTATCTTTGAGCCTAACAGCACCCTCAAGAGTGCATATTTTATGAACCTGTCCATCTTAATCTGTAACACCAGCAAATCTCCCCCGCATTTCAGGACAGTACCTGCTACGTGAACACGACGGCAGTAGACTCGCACCACCCAGTCTCCAGAGTGTTCATGCCTGTTCGGCCACCAACAGAAGCTACGTGCGTCACATTTTGGTGGCAAGGGCGTGGTGCATCAAGCGAGCTAAACGTGTACAGGTGAGCGGGTAGTATCTCTTTCTGTTTGCGTTTTATATTTTCAAAGCATTCATTGGGAGAAGGGTAACACGCAGCGTGGTGATCTGGATACTCTGCTTTATTAGCCAATGGATAAAAACCATAGGCAAATGCGAGTGCTGAAAATAAAAGCGAAGTGACGAGCTGATAATTATGCCAGAACAAAAGCATGCTTGAAGGGCGAACTTATAACCTACTGCAACCACCTTACGAAAGGGTGAAGCAAAATCTTAACTATCCTGGTGTTTGGAAAACTCGTCTTCCTGCGGGACAGTCAAGCTATGTCAACTTTGCCGGTCTCGGGATATTTGCTATTTTCTAAATACATTTTTATTTAAGTCGGAAAATTTCAGAAACAATTCTCGAACCTCCCTGTAACTAATAAATAGGCGCCTTCTTTCTGTTCGTTGAATTTAAATAGGTCACCACATAATATATTTATTTAAAAAAAGATCACCAACCAATCCATTTACTTGCAGCGGCTTTTTATATTGCAAACCTAAATTGTAACATATGGCTTCGAAAAGTTAAAAGTTATCGTTCACGTAGAAGAGCAAGTGGATGGCACCTGCTTCGTGGTGTATTGGGAAAGTTTGCGCCGAAATAGATATGCATTTCAATTCTTCAACTCCTTCCGCTTATACAAAGACGTTCCTTTAAAACCTAAGCAGGATAATAGCACAACGTGTGCAGTATGACAGCGCAATTATCAATGGTAGGTGCTCGTTTTTAAGTTTTTTTCACTAATGGACGTGGACCTGCTGGCTCGAATAAGATGTCTCAAAGCAACCGACAGGTGTCACACAATGTGAATTGCGTAACGAATGGACCGTCAATGGCTCGAGCCCATAGCAAAAGCTTCAGGCATAATGATTCATCGTCGTCAGCCACAGCTTACAAAATTTGCCCAAAATTACCTGGAAGTGTGTAGGGGGTACCAGGCTTCACCGAAAAATAATGAAACATGACGTAGTGAATGCCTCCCTATTACACAAAGATATGATGAATAATAGCGTAGTGGGTACCCTGTAACAGTGATTGTAGCAGCTACTCAGAGTCCTTGAAAAATGCTCCGAAAGGCTGCTCTTCTAGCTTTTGCTGTGACTCTGCTGGGCGTTCTGCGCAGGCATAATGGTTATTCCAATGTTTTTTTGGGCCAGTAATATAGGCCTGCACCGGATTCTCCATTAGGGGGAGCCAGAAGTCACCACAGCCTCCTCTTCTTTCTCTCTTCCACAAGAAAAGTACAAAATAAAAGAAGCTTCAGAATACATTAAAAAGTAAAAATAGGTGAACGGAGAAAAGTTTGAGCGGAAGGACAGGGAGGTTAGCCAGTTCTTAGACCAGCTGGCTACCTTGTGCTGGGGAAAGGGGTCAGGGGAATAAAAGATAATAAAAAGAAATGTTGCGAAGAGACAGAAATAGCAAAAAATTTGCAACAGAGGAATGGCAACATCCAAGAGTATAAAACACTAAAGTCTGTCTCTGACAAAAATAAGTGAAGACACGCTTCTTACAAAGGTAAATGTTCCCGGTTTCGCGAGGTATAGATTGCGAGTGAACAGTTCTTTGAATGAAGCATTTGATGATTTTGGTAGCCATTATTGTTTAAAAACATTCCTAGCTAATTGAAAAATAACATGAATGTTGTGACTGAGTTAAGGTAGGAGGCTATTTTGGCGCCTTACTTTTGCACAGGCCTGTACACAGCGCTCTTGAGCACAAATCAAATGTTGTAGCGGTTGCTTCTATGGGAAATGTAAACGATCTAGTAAAGAGGAGTCTCTTGCTGCCTTTCTTTCAGTTTTACCAAAGAAACGGCAATGAGAGATCCGCTGGTTTCTGTCAGCACCTACGTGGCAGGGGACTGGTGGAACGTGCGGACAGTTACCGTATCATCCCGAAGCAAGTGGAACGTGAGTATTAAAAGCCTCATACAGGCCTCTTGAGCAAGGCCTCAGTGCTGGCTCAATATAATATAGCTTATTGCACCTGCGCTATGAATGCAGTAACTAAAATTAATTCGATGCTGCACCATATCCAACTAATTCTCAAAGGTATAAAACACAGAATTTCCGTCTGTATATTGGCGCATTGTATCACCATCATGCCTAGACGATTGAAAAATCCAACTGCTTCCTTCAGCGCACTTTTTCTGTTCACCGTGTTTCTCTCTCTCTCTCTCTCTCTCACACACACACACACACACACACACACACACACACACACACACACACACACACACACACACACACACACACACACACACACACACACACACACACACACACACACACACACTGCACCTTCCTAAAGTATGGCTATAGTGGTGACCCCTATGAGTTTGCACTTTACTATAATGTCTTGCTATATATTATAATAGAGAAAACGAAGTTATGCCTAACATTGTCCCACTTTTTATATGTAGTCGGTTGAAAAAAGTCAAACAAAACGCATTCACAAACAAGGCTGCTTCCTTGAAGTGTAGTATTGTACCGTTGCTGTTATTCGAAAAATATTCTATACTGAACGAGCTGGATACACTGCGCCGGTGGACACCGCTTCCCATGCTGCGCCTCAAACGACAGCCGCCTAACGAAATTTTCTCCAGAGAGGCACTTGTGCAAAGTATGAGTCAATGTTTCACCTTGTCTTTCCCTCTTTTGATTTTTTTTTTAGTTCACTGCTAGAACACGTGAAAAATCATTCTCGAAGAGTGAGCCTAACGTAAGGAAATGACGACGCGCACATTTAGAGATGTAGGGTGGAGCTGAATATGCGGAAATGGTCATTTATGCGGCGTTGGCGATAACTGGACCTGCGAACTCAGATCTTCGTGTCTTTCGTGAATACCCTGTTTTATGCGACGGTCAGAGACCGGCTGATTAGCCATCAAGTAAAATATGCCTTTTAAACTTTGTTGCAGTGCACCTTTTACTATCGGTTAAACTAAAATGTATCCTGCATATCCAAATAGCGCTGCTCAGTGCTGCGCAAAAATATTTACGCAGTTTCAAAAGGGACAGCCTCTGACGTACCAAGCTTCTTTGTTCAAGCGTGAAGAGTATAGCAAAATTGCTTGGTCTTAATACAACAATAATGTGGTCACCATGTTGCGAGATAGAAACGCCAGTAAAAAGTTTTTTTTGTATACTCAGTGTTTCTTGTATCACCCGAATAACGTTCAGCGTTCTGTGATAAAAACTACCATTCCCAATCCTCACGTACGACTAATGGCGATACTTTCGAAGAACGTATCGCATGAAATGTAACAGAGAACGTGGCTATTAACTGGGTCGAAATTGTGACACTTCCTGTCCAACCAGCATGTGCATTTGAGACATGCATGTATTCTAAAAAAACTGTTTCAGCTTGTCTTTGAAGTTGTTGCTGATTCTGGAGTCGACCACGATTCTGGCGTCATGGTCGACGACGTCGAATTCACCGACTGAAGAGTGCGGACCTTACAGTAAGGAGCAATGGTTAAATTATATTATTTTGGCAATTTATGGGGCATTGACCTTTGAAGATTTCTAATCGGAAAGTGCATTATATGCTTTTTTATAACACCACTCACCCAGAAACTCCCATATTCAATAGCTGAGCAAATGCTTAGATTTAATTCAACTCAACATTTTCTGTTTGCGTGAGTATGAGCATCGCCATGAGTATAACATGAATATTTATTGGCGTATCATGTTGTGCGACAGGTTTCGCTTGAACGTATAGCGAGCTATTTCGGTACGTTTCCCTCTTGGTTTTAAAAGCGTATGAATTACGTTGGAGGGGGCACCGAAACAAAAAATAGCGACAGGTATAAGCTCACTGTATATAATTCTTTTAACCTAATGCTTGGAATGTGTCAGCGCAACGCTAAGTGTGTCCTAGCGATTTTTTTTTGCCTCACTCTGATAATATCGTATAAATAATTTGTGACTGCCGGCAGTGGCGTAGCCAGGGTGTGGCACACAAAGATGGTCGTCCGCTTTCCGCCACCACGATTTCTCGCTTTGGCACACAGAAGAAAGACTGGTCATTTCAAAAAGCTGCTCTCCCCCCTCACCGAAATCTAGAAGGTACTCTCCCACCGAAAACAAATTCTGCGCAAGCCTTGATTACCAGCGAACGCTGCTTTTAATATTTGCTGAACACCGCAAGCACCAATGACAAATGGTGCATGAAGGGAAAAAGTTCTAGAACAGAATGAATAAGCAATATCCACTTCACTGAACTTGAGCTCGAGCTTAAGGTTTAATAAAGAAAAACTGAACAAGTAAGCAGTCTCTCAAACAGTAATGACACAGTTTTAAGCATTTTAGTAATTTGCCCTTTGAATTTCACGAGTACTTATTTGCAGAACGAAATTTCTGAGAGTACTTTACCTTTAATTGTTCTTTTTTGCGATGTATAGATTTCTGAAAGTTTCAATTCTAAGGATTGAGGTTACTGCTGAGAATAGCATTCTGCATGAGTATCGTTTCCAATTATTGACACTCTGCCTGTTTGATTTTTCTTTTTCAGATTACTGCACTTTCGAACAAGATTGTCTGCCTTTGCGCATACTCGATAGAGGCAAGTTGCTGACTTCTTTTTGTGGTTACGATCAGCAACCTGTGAATTCGCTCCAGCTGCCAAGAAAAATTTGGCAGCTTCCGAAAAGGACGCACATATAAAAAAACGAATAAACTTAATTACACATCAAGAAGTAAATTAAAAATTTGAAGTTAAAAGACCTGTTAATAGATTGAGTGATAATATTTTCAGTCTTCTCTCGTTTATAGTCACGTTCCTTCTTCAGGTCATCAAAACCAAAACAAGCGATCGTACATTAAAAACAAAACAAAATTAGAGAATGTGGCTAGTGTGTATCGCCTCATATCTGGAACTGGCAAGTGTGCTTGATACGGAGGGATGAAACGTTGAGCACTCAAGATTTAGTGCCACAAAATATTTTACTAAGATGAAGGCGGAAGCTTTTGAGGCTCGTGCAGTTAGATTTAGTTGCTGCGTTAAAGAACTATAGCTGGGTCGAAATTTCTGCAGCGATTCACTACGGCACCACTCAAAATAATACGTAGTTTCTGGACGTAGAAGTCCAAGTATTATTATAAATGTATTAACAACGGAGATTACTAACAAACGAGATGTTTCAAGAGCATCATGCGCATTATGCACCCGAAGTCAACATGTTGTCCCAGTTCGCTCAACCAGTGCAGATGGCTCTACTTTTTTTGACACGTGGGCTATTTTGATGGGTTCGTGCCTGAATAAATATAAGCAATTATGTGGGTTCGTTTGAACGACCTCGCTTTCTTTATGCGCCTTTATTTTCATTATATTTTTTAGGCGAAGAAACGAAATTCGAAGTTGAGAGAGCTGGATCTTTTGACTTACTTGCTCAGGACCATACGACGCAGAGTGAAGATGGTGAGTACTTGTTTATCCACCCACTTGTCGGCCCTGAGAGTTGCTGGTGCTCATGGTATTTTATACATGGCCAAAAGCTTTTTAGCCATTATAGTTTGTTTTATTATTGTTGTCGTTTCCCGCATTTCTAAATGTCTTCTTTTTTGTGAATGCATGAGTGTACAGTGTACGCGCACGGACATGGACGTGGTCTTGAAGCTTATGAAGAGTATACTTTATAATTATTCGCCCAGATAGCGTATAAATCAAAATTAAAATTTTGTCGCTGCGTTAAACTCTTTCTTTATGTAGACAATAGTGTAATCATATGGTAACAGTAGAGCACGCTGTCACTTTCCGAGCTGCCTTACTCTTTATTGGTAAGTGAGAAAAGGTGTAAATTCAACACCTTGTTGCCTACCCTAACTCTTTGGGTACACCAGGTACTGCTGGTGTAGCGGCAGAGTCGGAGAGCACGCTGCAACACTGTTCGAACATCACTATAGAAGGATCCATCACGCTTTTGCTTTTGCACATTAAACCAATTATCTGTCCTAGTTTCTGCAATATAATTTAGGATTCGTCTACAGATCTGCCTAATATGTCTACAGGTACTACCACAATATGAGCATAGTGGCACGAAACACAAGAGGAGAGAACTAAGATGGTTTTGTAATATATATAACTCTCTGTGTTTTAGAGTAATACCCGATTAAAAAGCTGTTTTATCGGAACCGCACTTTTGCTAACGCTGGTGTACCTCATAAAGTATTTCTCTGTTATAAATATATCGTTTTTGGAACCATCTTTTATCGAAGGAATTGAATCCCCTCTTCGTACATTTAGGGAGTATTGTAGGGTAAATTGCGCGTGCCAGTTACGACGTAATACCTTGAAAACGGCTGCAAGTATTCCCATAAATTTTTACGTGCTGAAAAAAAAGGGCTACTGCGTATCAAGTGCTTCTTTTTTATGCCTAGTTTGCCTATTCTTTCTATGGCCCACTCCCAAATTTTAAAGTAGGTTTACCTATTCAATGTACCTTTTCTCTATAACCACGAAAAAGAATCTAATGATATACAGCTGTGTTTATTGTAGACACTTGTAGATTACATCTGAATTTGAAAAAAAAAATATTTGATTTCTAACGAAGTTTTTGTTATGAAAAATAAGGTAACTGCATGCGCAAAGTTACAGACCTAATGGTGGCTTCAGTGCATGACCTGCAAAACTTCTTATTGTCATATACTCAGCTAACTTTCTGTCTGGCTCTCGCACAATTGCCTTTTCTTGGAATCCAGCCTATTATTCTAAGGACAAGCGGCTACTTTACCTACTTTCTAGTGCCCTACTCACGTCAATTTGTTCAACGTTATTCATCTCCTCAATATCCAAGTTGTGAAGACTGGCGTTGGTTAAGTGCCTCGACTTTTTATGGTCGGAATATCTAGAACTGGGGAGACGCTCCTGTGATACCTATGGCATAGGGTGGCCCCAGGAGTGGTTACTCATTATGAATCCGAATGAAAAACAGCCCAACATGTGATAACTCTGTCTGCGAAGAGACAATCGGCCATCATCTCTCAGTCAGTCACTCAACAAACTTTGTTCAGAAATTGCCCTGAAGAGTCGATGCCTCTCGAGAGAGGGGGTCGGACGCAGGCCGCACCCACGTTGGGAGAGGAAGGACGTTCCCCTCCCCCAAACCGTGCTGGACAGCCCTCGTTTGACCTTCTACACCGAGCTTATGATCGCGGTCCCCCCGGTGTCCTCTGTGCTGAGAGGCTTGTCATCGCGCAGCGCCGTGCATTGCCAAAGCATGTGGGATAACGCGCATTGTCCCCCTGTGAGTGTCCTCGCCTCGGTGCATCAATGAATGAATAAACTTCATTCAAAGTTCGGCAGTTTTACCGGGTGAGGGTGGAAGAGGAGATTAACCCGTTGTCCCTTTCCACTTTCCGTCAATTATGGTGGTGGTGCCTCAGGTGACCGCTCGAAGACCTTGGACCCGGGTGGCATCTTCAGCTTGCCGGACGGCCCAAAGGTGGTCGACCAGCTCGTCGCTGGTCAGTGCCGCCTCTCAGCAGACATCGCCAATCGGCAACAGTGACCGCAGCCGCGGCGGAGGCCGACCACTACCCTCGCGCGGTGGTGGTGGCAGCAGCAATTGGCCTAGGAGTTCATCCCTGCTCAGTGCATCAAGAAGAGCACTTTCAAAGTGCTACATAGACTTTACAATAGCCCATTGTTAAATGCGCTTGAAGGCTGGCCCAGGTCACCCTCGGCATGATATGATTTGAGAGCATTGTCGCATTTTTGTGGACAGCTGGTATTTGAGCACCTTAAAGAGTGCACCTTAAACGGCACCGTATTCAGTACCGTTTATCGTATTATTGGTCTTTGTTTTTTTCTTCTATTTTATGTAAGATCTCCTTGCTATCATATTTCCTTCTCTTTACGATTCCCTAGCACAAGGTGGCCAGCTGGTCTGAGAAGTAGCTAACCTCCCGGCCCTTCCGTGTTTGTTTTTTTCCTCTCAGCCATAGGTCATTTGTCAAAATTATCTGTTGTGTAAGAACAGCTTTTACAATCTAGCCTCTACTACTTATTTAAACAAACTGTTATGGGTAATGTCATATCTATACTCGTCCATTTTGGTTTCAACAGGTTACTTCCTACTGTATAAGAGTTCGGGGAATGTCGGCAACCATTCAATCATAAAGCTTCGCGAACCATCCCGCTACAGTTGCATCTCCTTCTGGTACTACCTACCTGTATTGAGGAGAGGTGTGGGCCTCTATTTGAACGGCGAAGAGATGAAAGTGACAGATAGAGCTTGGAAACGCCAGCAGCTGCAGTTCACGAAAAACTTGGTAAGGCATCTGAACTGTCACCCGATTCCAGGATTTGTTGACATTTGTGCGTGGCATCACCTTTCAGTGGCCGGAATGGCGTGCTGTCGTAACTTAACTAAAAATAATTTTGAACGCACAAACACCCATAACTGACGTTCCCAAAGAGGACTACCAGTACTATATAGTTAAGACCCACTGGAAAACTGCAAAACATTGCAGTCGGTATCACCCTGCAAACAATGAGCTTTAGCAGGGTAAATGAACGCCCTTCTTTAGAAATATACAGACATTCATTGCAGGTCATTTATTATCCCGAGAAACAAGACAAGTTTTTGTGCACCACTTCAATTTTACCAGACCGTATCACCAGGTTTGTGCTGAATAAAACCGGAAGTACTTTTCAGTTGCTTGCTATAATTCACGAGTGAGTCAGTGGAACAACTGTAATAGGTTCACAATAGGCGCAAGTTAATTCGACATTAAATGGCCCATTCGGAGAGGCAATATGTGATCTGGTTAGCCTATTTACCGTTCAAATACAGCTGGCAGCTCCAGCCACCGGTGCGATACGGCACTGCGCACACATGTGCCCAAATCCCGGTAATGTTTCGACTAACAATTTTCATGCTGGCTTGTATTTTTCATTGCTTGCTTCTCTTTTAATTTGTTTATTTATTTTAGGATATGTGCCAGTGAAGATTCTCAACTCACTCCCTGTTTTATGACCTTTTCGATATCAAAAGGGCCTTGCAACACTTTATGAATATGGTATGAAAACGCTACTGATCGGTAGGCGAGGCTGCTGAGAAGACGTGAGCTCATTATAAACAGCACTGCACATGACCTAGAATTTGTAATAAATTCTCTAAGTCAGGTAGAAATCGCTCTCGCTTTTCTCGGCATACTCAAAAGCCACGGCGTCACAGGCCACATATCACTCATTGGATGATTTGAACATGGCGGGCTCAATCAGTACTGAAGAAGCCGCGGGAGGCCACGACTTGTCTATGTATGGACGCGTTATTGCCCTGAATAGGCGCGCGTTCAAAAAAAAAAATAAAAAGAACAAAATTTCTTAAAGTCACAAGCCGTGAGTGACGTGTGTTTTTACTCCATTCCATTCTTCCTGTTTAGCTTCCAGCAATTTCATTGGTACAAGAGAAACAAAAAAGCCATTGCAGCATGCGACAAATTTGTAACTCCTCTAGCGCGGGACGGATTCCAAAAGTTTTTGTGGCGGTCATTTTATGAGGCAAATGGCTACGTTAATGAATTCGTTCGATGGCAACTGAGAAAAGTGTTGCAGGGCCCTTTTAGTGAAATTATCAGTGCCTTTAAGCCAGCTCAATGAGGAGTATGTTCATAATTACGCAAGTAGACATGCAAAAATCATTCCTTATGCTAATTGTCATAATGGGTGGCAGGTATCCAAGTGTAATGTAGCAGCGAAACTACAAAATATGAGACATCTTGAATTCAAAAGGAAGCAGCATAAAAAGTTTGCGTGCACGAATGCGAGTTTGCTATGATAGCGGGCATGCTGCCCTGGCGAATGGTTGGCTCTCTCTTATCACAATATTTATTCGTAGATTGCGGGTACTTTTGTTCCATTTTATATATAGAGTAAATGCTTTTGCCAATAAATTTCGTAGATAGTATTTAAAACTATTAAATACAGTACCCTAAACAGATGTATATCTGCACTTTTCCTGTGCACCAGCCACTCATTAATAAGGTATTTAGGTTACTACTACAAAAACCAACAAACATCGACAAATGTGCATAAGCTAACTGCACAGCGATGTGACTCAGGTATTCTGTCGGCAGGGCTGTTGCCAGAAATTTTTTTTCGAGGGCGGGGGTCACAACAACAGGACTGCGGTGGCGGGGGAACACATGCATCAGATTTTTCCTGTGACGTGATTATTGGTGTTAGTTTGAACATATCTGTACCATTATAATAAAGCACTAGGAGCCCCCCACCTCTCGATACGTATGCTTGTGAAGAGAGCAAATAAAATTATTATGATGACAGTCAAATACAGTAAACGACAAGTATAGTGCCCGTTTCAAGCAACGACTTTTCGCCGCACCATTGAATGCACTGGGCTTCGAAAACGCATCGTTGCGATGGTCCACCCAAACGAAGAAGGCATCGTAACTCGTTAATCTCTGTTAAGCGTAGATCGTGTAGTAATCGCCAGGGCAAAGTGCGTTTCAAAAGTAAAGAACGGCTCCGCTAGCAGCATGGAATGAGAGGTGTACGCATTATGTTTCTGTACGCTCATAATTACATTTCGGTTTTGCTTACTTCGCTGCGCGAATTTCCTCCTGTCAGTCTTTGGGAGCGCACGCCCATAGGAATAATCTTTATGTTAAGCTATATATATATGTCAAGCAGCCCTGACGCAGTGATAAGTTTTAGTCAGTATTTTTCGCCTAACTGCGTGCATCTAAGCATGCTTGCTGTAGGTTATAGGGAATTTTTAAAATTCTACTGCACGTTTATAAAACAATTTTGCACGCGTTATTTTTCGGGAAGACTTGCTCGCTACTTTGGTTGACATTACAGTTGCACTGTCACTTTTAATGGCAATAAATTAGTTCAATTGTAGAGGTTTTTTCGTACAATATTTTGGGACAAAATAAATATTGCTGAGAAATGTTCACTTAGACCTAACTACGTGCAAAAACATGTAATGTTCTCGTTGTTTTTTGTTGCTTCCATTGTTATGCTGCCTGAAACGGTAGCATTGCGGCAAGGTGTCTTGCGTTGTTTACGATTTGCAAGCGTGTAGTCATCATTTCCCTTTACGTCAACATATTCATATGTACAGAATATTTCACCCCGCAGCATAGCTATAACATAGCATAGCATAGCCTTTATACACTGTTCTAACTAGGGCATGTATTCATGTTTGCATCACATAAGCGGGCGTGAACAGGAGCAGCCTCGTACCACACAAAATCTCGTGTGATTGATTCACTAGTGATGTAGAAATGAACTCCGGTCTTGTAAAAAACACTAAATATCATACTCAATTTCTCAGAACGCGTAAACTCCGACGATAACAGCCAGCGCGTGCAACAGAAGTTCACTTACGCTGTACTGTGCACAATTCATGGTGATCGCTTGTGTGTTTTGGGCATTCAGGTGCGAGTCGCTGGAATTTAACTACTAGCATCAAGTCCTTCGCGTTCATTCACGTTTGTGATATGAGACCACTATACAACATAAATTAACAGCCTTCTGTAAAAGTTTAATCCCAAACGTGAGACATGGGGTACTTTGAGTAAGATAATGAGCAAGCGCGACCTCACCGGCACTTGAAGGGAAGCTGTGGAAATGTATACCCGTGAATCTTTCTACCAGGAGGGAAATGGGCGCAAGTGTTTAAGGCGGAACTTCAGCAGCCGACATATCGTAGCTAAAATTCTCGTTTCTTGCATTCAGTGTCACTTCACAAACTTTGCTGAGCAGGTTGCTTCTAAGCAATGCGAAAATACGCCACTTAAGCGTGTTGCTGGGTATTACGTGTTCTGCGTCAATCAGCTCTCTTCAATGAGTGTCGATGGCCGCGCCGAAACGCGGTAATATAGCACTTGAAGATTGTTTTTCGAAAAGCGACTGTGCTCCAAGCGCACAATCGACAACTGGCAAAAAAGCTACAACAGCCCAAGAGACGGTTCCCAGCTACATTTCTGCGCTGCCCTAATACGACTAGTGTGCGAAAAGAACTCCTGAAAACGAATCGCGAAATGATGCATGCTCAAAAACTACGATTTCTGACAATGACGTGTTCAATAGGCTAAGACTCTAGAAGTCGCAGGACGACGGGACAAGACAACGTTTGCTAATGACGCCACGGGAACCAGGCAGCTTTCCTTGAGTAAATGCAAATTGAACTTCTAACCTCACTGGCAAGAAACGATTTCCTGGCTGGTGCATTAAAATATCAGCAGGGAACTCTCTGCAAGACGTGTTCTTTAAAAAAAAGAATGCACTTACGTCTTGCAGACATGCAGACCATTTGCAGACATTATTTTTTTTAAAAGCGCCTAGGAATGATACTGTAGTATTACCACCACTGAGTTTCTAAATCTTGTCAGCGCGAAGCGATGGCAACAAAGGTGGGTAAGAAGCGGAGGGAAAGGGGGGAGCGCTCGCGCAAAAACATTTGGTGGGGAAAGGGTTCAAATCCCTAACCACTCCCTGGCTACTCTACTGCTGGTCAGAGTCATGCTAGCGTTGTAACGTCTGCATTTGTCATGACCGGTTATACCTAGCAAATCGGGACATCACTTTTAGTTCACTGTTTTTCACACCATGGGGCATACACACCTTCATGCTGTACATTATAATTTACATCACTGAGGTTTTACCATGCTGAGGTTTTGCCATGATTAACGTCCATTTTCTCATCGATTTACCGACAGGTTATTCTTTTACTCATGTACTGCTGCTTTTGTGCATTAACGATTCTGGAAAGCTCTTCAGGAAAAAGTCTACCCAGCGTAAGTCCACGAAATTCCAAACACAAAGACAAGTTGTCTTATCGTACGTGCAACTAGTGTGCCATTTGCAAACAAGTTATTGCTATGCTACAATTAGCTTCAGAAAATCTCCCCTTACATTTTGAATGGATACACAAAAGTGTCCCGGGAAAAAATCCAGCCGGCTAATTAAAACCAATCATGTTGTGCAGCATAAGGACGTTATCAGAAATAGGTTCCCGAAATTCAATAAGCGAAAATTCAGGCATTGCGCAGTAATAAGTTTTTAAATAACGCTCCCTATAGCGTTATGCCCAGTGCTTTCTCTTAGGGTAGGCTCTGCCGCACAAGTAGATGTCCCAGATTGCTAAACATGAGGGGAGTGGAATATTAAAGGAGCAATTTAACGTGCCTTCCCGTGTATTTTTTTTCTAATTTTCTAGATCATTACTGCGCTATCCGGGAGCAGTAACAAAGGTTTCGTAGCCATCGATGACCTTCTACTCAGCGAGACGCCATGCGACGAAATGGGTAAGCTTACTGAACGTATCCCTGTGCAACTGTACTAAGCTACCTTCTTGCACAAGACTTAGTCTGATATGTCACAGAGCCTAGTCAAATGACGTACATCATATTGACTGCCAGAACGTGGGAAGCTGAAAGCCAATCATAGAAAGAAGCACAAATTCAATGCTAAGATAAGCAAATTCGCTATCTGCACAATTCCAGGTAGCTTTTAGGAGAAGTACTTCTGGTAAATTAAATTATTGGATGTAATTTCAAGCTACTTGAATTAGCCTTGGCTGAATGTCCGGCTTTTTTCCCTGTTTAATTGTTTTACGAACTGATGAATATACATGTCTCCACTTCACACTTGTACTTGGATAACTATTATTACATCAAGGCCTTGTGGGTGGTTAGCTCATAGGCTATTCTGCTCTTATATGAATATTTGCACAATACATAGCCTTACTGACATTTACGAGCCATGTCATTGTACTATCGGCGTCAAACGATACCCTAAGAGTGGCAAGCATAAAGATATAGTGCAGCATGCCCTCCTATCATCACAACACACCAGCGCGTGCATCAAGTTTGAGAGCACTGCTCTCATGCACGCCTGTCTATGGTGATGGCTTCACGCCACGCACTATACGAATGTGATTGCTTCCCACTGTTCAGGTTTCATCATGACGCTTGTAATGCATGCTCTATCGAAACTAGTAATTGAAGCGTGGCTATGATGCCACCATGCAATAAGCCTATTGCAGAGTTCTGGCTATATTGCAAATTTTGTAATGATTTACTTTCACTCTTTCAGACACTCTTTCAGGAATAGGAGATGCTGTAGCGCTTTTTGAGGTTACTAACGCATTGCATTGCAACGCCTGTCAAGCAAGTTTTCTAGCCAATAACATAAAAATAAAATAGGCCATTTTCAGAATAATACACGCGCTTTGAAAATGTTCGGACTATGCCGTTTATGGTTAGGAAAGTATAATGGAAAGAAATAATATACTTAAAAATAAAATGCTAATTTGTGACGTGCGCTCAAGCAATAGACGGTGGAGAAAATCAGAAAGATTGTAGTGATTAAAACAAGCTTTATAATTAAACATTTTGAAAAATAGAAGGTAGTAGCGCAGAAATTGGTATTCCCACAAGTGAGCGCATGAGCTGATCTGACGATACTGTCCATGGGCTGTCATGTTCAAGGTCGGTCGCCACGCATGTTTGACTGCGGGAAGAACCAGACTGTGCCAGTGGAAAAAGTGTGCGACTTCGTGCCCGACTGCAAAAACGCCGCCGATGAGCAACGCTGCGGCCGGTGTGACTTCTCCGAAAGTACATGCGGCTGGGACATAAGGGGCTTCGGTAATCGGGGCTTTTTGGCCTGGCATCATGCCCCCATTGGAAAAGTACCAAGGTCGCCACGAACAGGATCCGACGCAAGGCGTAGTGGTAAGTTCCTCGAATCAGCCTTGCACCTGACTTAGACACTGCGATGTAAAAGTAAATGTATAATTTTCAGCAGAGTGAAAGTCTCAAAAAAATAGTTCCAAACCTTCGAGATACAGCATTGGTGTGTTGTAGGGCCTGTTACCCCACGTACACCTGAGTGTGAGTCTCTCATATGGTATAGTTCTTCACGTGGTCGTCGACGTTGCGTCAGCAGCTACCTCAGAAGCGCAGAACAGTTCCAGCTGCATGCTGTCACAAGCCAGAAGTGGCTAGTTTCAAAAAATGGACGAAATATACACGTAATGTAATCTCTTAGCAGTTTACCACACTAAATCTTCCTCCGAGCAGCAGTTAGAAGTACTATTTTTCTTCCTCCTCTTCACTACACGTGTAATATTTTCATACACGATAAATTTACTCTTTGCTAAAGTATTAAGCAACAAGTTTCAAGAGGTAACCAACTGTTCCAAGAAGCCCGCCGGAACACGTCATGAAGCCTACACGCTTGACATGTCACAGGCACTTTGAATGGTAACCTACAACCGGTGCCGAAGACGTGAAAAACGTAGCCTGGTGACCAGTACGTTTCCTTGTGCACATGTGATTACACCTAAGAAAGCTGATGGTAGAATCTCGCCATGGAATCTTGATTTTTAAGGCTGCGTATGAAAAAATTGGCTCAGAATATCTCCAGAACAATCAGCATCAATTGTAGTCGTGTGCAGGTATGGTAGTTGGAAGCTGGTAAAAAAAAGAGGGCTTGAGATGAAAGTAACCAAATGTCTACAGGCTTTCTTTGAGCAAATTAGAAACCGCAACACCAGCAGAAGAAACTAATATAAAGAAAACAGACGGGACACTCCTTCTATTTTGCTCTCTTCTATCTTCTTGTGGTTCTTTGATGTCTAATCTATGTAAGTGTACCAACTATAGACCAGAACCAACTTTTTCTAGCCTACTGGTCGCAGCGACTACTGATATCACCAACCTTCCTGCCACCCGATGGTATTGCAGCGCAACCCTCACAGCTAAATGTCAATTTAACTGACAAAGTCGTAAGAGAGCTCATTGAAAGCGCAAAATTGGTAATCGAAATCGAGTAGAGCCCTGGGCACAGCGTTAAGTTATGATGTAGTGCACCTTGAAAACATCCACAAACTGGTTTTCGTGCTAATGTGACTTCATTTCTCAAAGAGTCTAAAGGAACAAACTATAAGTAGTAGTCACAAATAGGGGGATCACTGGTAAGGTTGGTCAGAGCCATGCAATACTGCATAAGAGCTAAGTAGAGTCAGAAAAGCCTGCTCCGCCTTTTCCACTTATTGTCACAATGCTCCCAAGGTTTTACTTCCTCAATGTCAGGTGGGCGTCTAACGTATTTATTTCAACGTAAGACGAGTTGTTTCCTTAAAAAGATTTTCGCTTCCTAAATCTACCTTCGCAAAATTATCGAACACTGAAAGTAACTGTTTTTTATCTTCCTGAACACAATGAAAAGTCAGTCCTAGCTTCTCAATCGTGGCTAGTTTATAATTGAGTACGTGTTTTTATACCGGACACGAATATTTTTGCACTGTGGGTTCCAAGTCGGTACAAAGCATAACGCCAAGTTAGGGAAAGTTGCTCTTCCCTCTGTAAAATAAGACCAACATCTCCTTGTGACTTGTCACTACCTCATTCTGCGAAAGTTATCCTAGACTTTTTCCTCGCAGTTGCATGTAAAGAATAAGTGTCTATCTTACGAATTTGCCTCACGTTCCTTTGGACTCAAGTAAGGTAACAAACCTAGTTTGGTAACAAAATGGTACACACTTATTAGGACACTCCCGATGTACGAAGTAAAGTTTAGTGCAAATCCTATACAGACCACTTTCTCTTAGACTGTTTTATGAGATGTCATATATACAAGCCCACTATTTGTATGCACTCTGCTCGCCTTTTAGTGAGAAGCATTTCTGGGGAAATTTTAATTTTCGCCAGAAATGTGTACAATATATACATTGTGGCAATAAATTCAATTTTTAATATCGCGCTCAAGAGAAAATAAATAGGTGCCGTGAAGGTGACGAACTTGCAATCCTAAGGTTAGCTTACCCTATGTTTCTTGCCGTTGCAGGGAACTACTTGCTCTTGTACTCGAATGTGACTGCTCAAACCTGGATGCACGCCGGTATTCATTCCCCCATAATAAGAAACACTGACAAGTTGTGCACAATTCAGTTCTGGTATAACTACGTCGGAAACGGTAAGTCATACAAATCTTGTTTCTTGTGAGTTTTTAGATAAAAAAACAATATTAAAATTTAGGCCATTTCAGCGTTCTTGAAAGGAACATATGTAGTTTATTTCTGGGACTTCTTTTGAAAAAAGTAACGCACTCACTAATAATTTTTTTATAAAACTTCTTCGAAAAGAGCTCCCTACATTCACTCCTGCAGCTCTTTTTGTTCAATAAATTCGCGAAAATGTATTTTATGCAATATTAAACCTTTTAGTTATGCCTTGCTACATTGCTACGAAGTGCAGAAGGCAAAAAAAAAACTTGCTTCCAGCACAATACATAGATACTGCAACACCGCATTTCTAATTGTTTACGTTGTCCCGAGTACATTTCATGTAATAAAAATTACTGTGCTTTTGTAAACTCGTGAGGAGTGAACAGACTGCATTGCTAGTCACTGAAGCCACAATGTATAACACAAAACTGACGTTCAGAGTGCTTTTATAGCCGTTTTGTGCCAACAATAATAAATGTTTTTTTGTTTCAATAAGTCCTGTCTAATTTTACAATGTTACGAAAAACTAGCTAGAACATTCATTCCTAATGTAATACACTCACACCTCGGCACTAACGTCTCACATGTGCAATGCTCATTTTTATGAAAGAGGAACAAAGATCGCATGTCTTGTGGTCTAGCGCGGCCGACCACCAGCCGACAGATGAAAAAAGCGTGTCCGCTTGTAGTGGCATCGCCCGTTGCAAGGCCGAAGCTGGAGCGCGATCTAGCAGCGCTTGTGCAACAGCTTTGGCCCCTTGCTTCCTTGGCTGACAGATACGCGAAAAGCGCGTGCACTTTCTCCAGCAGCGTAGAAAACTGGGCAAGTTGATTTAGCTTCATGGTGTAAAATGTAGCGCATAAATACGACACCCAAAAGTATCCTTGCTTTTTGTTTGTCGTCTTTATGTGCTCAATTTTACATCATGCGCTTTCTCTATCTGTCTGCTGATGGTGCTGTAGGCCGCCTTGGCAGAGTGTAAGCCATATGCCCACCTGTTCCTTTTCATAAAAAAGCGCAGTGCACAAGGTGACCACACATTAGGGCACATGATCTCTATATTAAATGGAGAACTGAAATTTATGCGTGCCAGCATTTCTGCATCAACATGTAGGCATCAATTCTCTGGTAGCGATTCGCGACCATGAATGCAATTGAGGAGCAAATAACTATCGACCTGAGCTACTAATTTAACTACTTTCTAGCACGATTTGAAAAAGGGGTCTCAAGGCCGTCAGATTGTAGCACTCGCAGAGCTTCCTCGCAGTCATCTCCAGACCGGATCGCTTCGCCGCAGGAAGGTGTGGCGTTAGGGTCAGCTAATATTTTGTTTTCTATAGGCGCGCACGCGCGATAGTGTCATTTTCATCCACATTACCGTCATCACTCTGTGAAGTGTCGGCAAGTGATGGAGACGATATTTTGGATCTTGTACGCACCGTGACTCCCGACGTCGCGGACCATTTTCTCTGCGACCTTGTGCAACAGCGATTTAAAAATGAACACCATTACAGGCAGCGAAAATGAGGCGCTCGGGAATGCCCAGACTTGGGCCATGCTGGCTAGTGTATCTCAAATAGGTAGATTAAAGAACCTTCGCATGCACGCCCTCACAATATACGCGAAATGGTTTGCGGAGTATCTAAATTACGAATGCATGCCATCGGAGCAGTAGAATCACTTAATTTTCTGTAGTAACAATCTTGGAACTTACCAGGTTTTTCTTTGCGCCAAGAACTGGTCTCACGTATCCAGCCTTTTACGTTTACTGTTGTAGTTATCTGGCACTAATCTAATGAAAAGAGGTTACGGTATACGCAAAAGCGTTTGCGGAATATCGTAGTCATGAATGCACGCCATCGGCGAAGCAGAATGACTAAAGTTTCTACAATAACAACTTTGGCACTGGTCCGGTCCCTTTTTGGGCGGCTAGACTGCTCCACCTTTGCGACCTCTCACATTTACGACAGCAGTAATATGCCATTACGCTAACGCAAAGAAGCTCGTCAACACACTAAAGCTCACTATGTTGGTGCTTTCCTCTTGTTTGTTAGCACCGATATTCATCAATACGCTAATTATATTTGATAGCCTGTGGTCGTTTGCAATGCATGGACAATACGGGTATTAGAACAACACATACGTTGTTTTTTCCAAGCTGCAAACAGCACAACAGCTTCTCTCAGTATTTCCCCAACACGCTGGCGTCAAATTGTGCTTGTTTCTTTCGCCTGCCTTTCCTTGGTAGTTTGCATTTGGTAATTTTATGAAATCATTCAGCAACATGACGAAGATAAAGCATGAAGATTAGGGAGAGCCATTTGGGATTTGCAGCATTGCCAGGTGTCGGTGCCAGTCTGATGTATGATAAATTTGTTGGGATCGATCATGTCCTTCTTACTAGCACGTCATCGCTCACGATAGTATGAGCCACACCGAAAAGTCTCAGTAGTGCGGATGTTTCAGGGCACTCAAAGCCTTGTTGAACTTTTGTGCTCTCATTTTTCTAGAAATGAAGTAACTTGCAGTTGACGAAAGCAATCCGAAATTATTCAAAAATACTTATTCATACTGAGAAATTGAATGAGGGGCACCTTTCCAGCTTGAAATCTTATCAGTGCCCGTTTATTATGAGCACCGCATATATACGGTGTTCATTGTACTTTTTAAGAACGCCAGCGCCATTTTCAATGTGCGAAATTTGTTTCATACAGTTTGGTGGTCTCTACACATCTGCAAGCTTGAATAAAGCTAATATTTTTATACAATTTTTCTCTTAAACCTTCATAATATTTACCCGGGTTGATTTTAAAAGCTCACACACTTCATTTGTAAATCTTTATTACAATTAACATGATATTCTTAATTTGAAAACCAATGCATATATGAGACAATTTTTACAGCAATTATATCTCGTTATTTTGGAGCTTAGCTTTCAAGTCGGAGTATTTAGCATCGAAACGCGGTTAACATGTACCACAAATGGCACCGCTTCTGAGGGCAGAGAAGTGTACGGTCAAAAACAAAGCGCCAGGCCCTCGAACCCACAAACAGAGGCTCGCATGCACGTGCTCCTCTTTTACAGTCGTGGGCAACTTTTCTTAGCAATAAAGCAAATTCTGCAGAGCCAGGTAGGGTGTATCTCACGTTTGATGAATGTTGTTCCACAACTGTGTCCGTGCTTCTACCGTGCGATGTGAAAAAAGTAGCCCTCTATTTTTATCATGTAATTGCTTGAGACAGGACACAGCCCACGAAGAGATCAACCATGTTCCTTTTACAGTTTGTGGAGTCTCGAAATGAGAACGCTGCTCCCTGAAATCACGGACACAGTCGACATGGTCCGCCAAATCAAAACGTCGTGTACATTTATTCATTTACTTTTACAAACGATGATATTGCAGCCGATCGACATATAACACTAGTCAGACACTAAATCAACATTATACAGTATTACATTACAGTCTATCAACATATTGCTACATGCATATATATTCATACTCTAGAGGGCGACGTGCGTGTGTGCCTGACAAGGAAGACGAAAGGTTGTCTCCGCTCGATCGCTGTTGAAGCGGTCACGCCATCACTGCTGTTTTTGAATACATCTAATCCCCAGCCTCGTCGATACGGCATCTCTTCTTTTCCGTAACATATTTAGTGGAGGTGGAACGTTTCCCGTCTTCACCACGAAGCTTCGCAGTGGCCGCACCGTTTAGTCTCCTGCTATGGCTACCAATGACAACCACCCGTCAGAGCCTCCATTTGTAGCTCCAGCCATTACATACTTGACGATGCCAACCCCCCGTGAACCCGGTACGGTCTCCGCACAACCTGTGCTCGGCGTTGAGTACTGGCTCCATATGTACGAACGTGTTAGCCAGACATACCGATGGGACCCTATCATGATGCTCGCCAACGTAATATTTTACTTGGACGGCACCCCATGGGTTTGGTTCGACGCCAATGAGACCGAGCTCATCAGCTGGGATACCTTCATTAAGAGACTACGCGACATCTTTGGGGACCCGTGCGGTCGCCAAATGGAAGCGCGAAAAGAACTCGCCACTCGTGTGCAGTCCTCAACTGAGTCGTATGCCTCGTACATACAGGACGTGCTCGCATTATGCCGAAAAGTGGACGAGCGAAACACAGAGAGTGACAAGGTGGGCCACATACTCAAGGGCATCGCAGACGACGCCTTCAACTTGCTCGTCTACACCAATGTCACGACCGTAGATAAGATTATCAAGGAATGCCGCCGCTTCGAAATGGCCAAAAGCCGCCGTGTTATGCCTCAATTTACGCGGCTACCAAAGACGGCTGTTATATCCACCTGCACCGATCTCGGTGCTGCACTACCCATGTAGGACAGCGTGATACAAATAGTTCGACGGAAGCTTTAGGCGTCAAGTCCAGCACCATTTCCTCCACATCCGCTCGACCATGGCGCCGCACAAACGCCTCCAGCAGTCTCCATTTTCAAGCCATCGTGAGGCAGGAAATTGCAAAGCTCGGTTTTCCTGTGGCTTGCTCTGCCTCTCGACCCGTCTCCAGACCAGTGACGACAAATGCACCACGCCATGACTCCCATTTTTTTTTCGCGATCCCGCAATCCGGCGGAATGGAGAACTGCAGACGACAAACCGATCTGCTTCCGCTGCCACCGAGTTGGCCATATCTCCCGCTACTGCCACAGCACTTGGACGCCCTCGAACTGGAGTCCATTTTCCTATTCTCGCCCATACGAGAACTCTCGTCGGTATTCCCCCAGTCGTGTGTACCCTTCTTCCGACGTCTCTAACAGCCGCTCCACCACTCGTTCGCCATCACCGCAACGCCGCCGTTCCCCATCGCCCCAACCACGCCGCTATTCGTCACCGGTCAACTATGGATCCTCTCGGACGGAAAACTAGACCGTGCAGCTCCGGGAGGTAGTGCTGCATCAACTGCGACTGCTCCAAATCCTCCGTTGACGCTCCCCACTAATACGAACTTGATTGTGGTGTATGTGGACGGTATTTCTTTGAAGGCATTAGTTGATACCGGAGCTCAAGTGTCGATAATGAGTGCTCACCTGTGTCACCAACTCAAAAAATTCCTTACGCCTGAAGCGACTAAAGCCCTCCGTGTAGCTCATGGTGGAACTGTGGCCATCACTGGAACGTGTAGCACTCATGTTAGCATTGCCGGCTATTTACGGTTCTTGAAAATTGCCCTAACGACCTAGTCTTCGGCATGGACTTCCTATCGACGCATTCTGCCCTGATCGATTGTGCCGCTGGGACTCTCTGCCTAGAACTTCCTCTTCTCCCGGATTCTCACCCTGAACTACTGAACGGCCTGCGCACCACTGACTTCTTCCGGATACCGCCTAAAGGTCTCACATTTGTGGAATTGGCGACACCCTCTCCCATGTTCGAAGGTGATTATATCGTGACGCTGATTACTTATATTCTCCTGGCGTGTGACATTACTGTCCCGCAGTCCGTCGTAACCATGGCCTCTAAACGAACATATTTACCTGTTATCGATTTCGGTTTCATGAAACAAGTGTTACCCCAAAGAATTTCGGTCACCACGCTGAGGCCCTGTGACCTGTTTTACGGCAGACGTATGTACCGAGCATCCACATCACTCGCAGGATGCCGCGTGCCTCGATTCGACTTTACGCTCCATGATCGCCCCGGACCTCAAACCTAAGAAGTCAGCTGCGCTATGCCACCTTCTGGCTTCATACCGCGACATACTCGACATCGACAGCCGTCCACTCGGCCAGACTTCACTCGTCAAGCACCGAATTAACACAGGTGATTCTCATCCCATTCATCAGCGACCATGCCGAGTGTCTGCCATCGAGCGTAAAGTAATTCAACCAGAAGCCACAAGGAAATTAGCCAAAGGAATTATTTAACCCTCTTCGAGCCCTTGGGCGTCCCCCGTTGTGCTGGGCAAAAAGAAAGATGGCACGTGGTGCTTCTGCGCGGATTACCGTCACCTGAATAGAATCACGAAAAGGACGTTTACCCTTTACCCCACATCGATTATGCTCTGCATTTTCTCCACGGCGCCCTATATTTTTCTACATTAGACCTACGTTTCGTCTACTGGCAGATTGCTGTCGACGAAAACGACCAAGAAAAGACTGCATTTGCAACTCCAGACGGCCTATATCAGTTCAAGGTTATGCCGTTTGGGCTATGCAACGCCTCAGCCACGTTTGAGCGCATCATGAACTCTCTGCTTCAAGGGTTCCAATGGTCAACATGTCTTTATTATCTTGACGATGTCGTTCATATTCCCCACCATTTGAGACCCACCTTAGCGGTTTTAAGCTATTCTCGACATATTCCGCACTGCAGGCGTTCAATTAAACTCGTCGAAGTGCCACTTCGGACGCCGACAAATTACAGTGTTGGGCCACTTGTCTACGCCTCTGGTGTGCAGCCGGATCCCGAGAAAATTCGTTTTCTTGTACCCAAGTCAGCCAAAGACGTCCGGAGTTTTGTAGGACTTAGCTCCTATTTCCGAAGGTTTGTGAAAGATTTCGCAACCATCGCTCGACCCCTCGCAGAGCTTCTGAAGAAAGACGTCACATTTACGTAGGGTACCGAGCAAGCTGGTGCTTTTTCTCACCTAATCACGCTACTGACGACTCCACCGATATTGGCTCACATTGACCCATTCGCTCCGACAGAAGTCCGAACCGATGCTAGTGCTCACGGAATCGGAGCCGTCCTAGCCCAACGCCAACGGGGACACGACCGAGTGGTCGCCTTCGCTAGCCGCCTTCTCACTGCTGCTGAGCGCAACTATTCCATTACAGAGCGTGAATGTCTTGTTCTTCTTTGGACAGTCTCAAAGTTTCGCCCATATTTATATGGCACTAATTTATCTGTGATAGCTGACTATCATGCGCTATGTTGGCTTACATCACTGAAGGATCCTACTGGCCGGCTCGGGCGCTTGGCTCTGCGACTGCAAGAGTATACATACATGGTGACGTAAAAGTCCAAACGCCTACATCAGGACGCAGACTGCCTGTCCCGCTACTAGGTTGCTGAGTCGAGCACTATGCCTGACGCCGACACCGAGCCTTACGTCTTTTCCCTTTCTCAAATGACATGCACCGGTGACGAGCAGCACCCCGCCACGGTGGTCAAGTGGCTAAGGTTCTCAGCTGCTGACCCGCAGGTCACGGAATCGAATCCCGGCTGTGGCGGCTGCGTTTCCGATGGAGGCGGAAATGTTGTAGGCCCGTGTGCTCAGATTTGGGTGCACGTTAAAGAACCCTAGGTGGTCGAAATTTCTGGGGCCCTCCACTACGGCGTCTCTCATAATCATATAGTGGTTTTGGGACGTTAAACCCCACATATCAATCAATCAATCAATCAATCAATCAATCAATCAATCAATCAATCAATCAAATCAATCGGTGACTAGCAGTGCCATGATGCGTCCTTGCGTGCTATCATTGAGCGCCTCGAATCACCATCTTCCAATCAGTTCTATCGCTCATTCGTTGTCCATGATGGTGTATTATACCGCCAATGTTTTGAGCCGGATGAACCGGCTCTGCTGCTTGTCGTTCCGAAACGCCTTCACTTGGAAGTTCTACTTGAACTTCAAGACCTTCCAACTGCTGGTCACCTTGGTGTGTCACGCCCTTATGACCGAATATGCCGACGCTTCTTTTGGCCAGGGCTTGCACACTCAGTTAAAAGATACATTGCGGCTTTTGAAAAATGTCAGCGCCGCAAAACACCACCGACACTTTCCGCCGGACGCCTTCAACCACTTGATAATCCGCCAGAACCGTTCTTCCGCGTTGGCTTCGACCTACTTGACCCTTTCCCCTTGTCTTCCTCAGGTAACACGTGGATAGTCGTGGCCACCGACTACGCCACGTGTTATGCTATCACACGAGCTCTTCCAACAAGCTGCGCCACATATGTCGCCGGCTTCCTCCTCAAGGACGTAATTTTGCAGCACGGAGCCCCATGGGAGCTGTTTACAGACCGTGGCCGCACCTTTTTGTTGAAGGTCATAGCCGACATCTTGAAGTCCTGTAAAACGAGACACAAGCTGACTACGTCATGCCACCCGCAAACCAATTGACTCACGGAGCGTCTAAATCGAACTCTTACAGACATGCTCACTAAGTATGTTTCTACCAACCACACCGACTGGGATATCACGTTGCCGTACGTCAGATTTGCCAACAATTCTTCGCGCCATGACACTTCCGGATACTCTCCATTTTTTCTGCTGTTTGGCCGAGAAACAACATTGCCTTTAGACACCATCATACCGTCTTCTGGAGTACTGACCAGTGAATATGCCATGGACGTTATCTCTCGGGCCGCTCATGCACGCGAAATCACCCGTACTCGCTTTCTGACCTTTCAAGAGAAGCAACGGCGCCTGTATGACCAACGACACCACGAGGTACACTTTCCGCCTGGTTCTTTGGTCTTCTCTGGTCTCCGACCTATCAAGTTGGCTTGTCAGAAAAACTGCTTACTCACTACACAGGTCCATACCGAGTCCTTTGTGTGGTTACTCTTGTACCATATGAAATTGGTTCTGCCACCCCGTCGCCTTCATATGTCCAACAGGCTACCAATATTGTACATGTTGCGCGCTTGAAGCCCTACAACTCTCCTAGTGACGTTGACAATCGGATGCGCCGAGACGGTGCTTGTGCCGCCGGGGGTTATGCTATATGCATATATATTGATATTCTAGGCGGCGACGCGCATGTGTGCCTGACGTGGAAGACGAAGGATTGTCTCCGCTCGATTGCTGGTGAACCGGTCACGCCATTACCGCTGGTGTTAAATACATCTAATCCCCAGCCTTGTAGATACGGCGTTTCTTCTTTTCCGTAACAATTATAAACAAACATAAGAGAGCGCCAAGGTGGCTCCACTGATTTTCGTCTCAGTAAAAGAAGCTCGCGGGAGACGACCCGCGATTCGGTGGCGCATGTACCTGCCGCGGGAGACGTGCATCCCGATCACCGCTCCAACACCAAAAAGAGTCTCGAATCTTTTCTCTGTGGCCACCCAGCCTCGCCACAGGGCAAGACTGCTGGCGATACCATGCCGACCATAATGATGATGATCATAAATTTACGCGAGCACAAAGCCATCTCTGGCCCGGTGGTTAAACTTAAATGCGATATATCCGCGAGACGCGTATGCGCCACAAGATGCAAACAAATTTGCAGAAGGCGCTAGCATCCTGACAAGTTACACTCTTTTCTTTCAGGCTCTCTTGCAAACCATGCGGATGTCTCCCTGCTCCTGAATGCTGGTGGCTACGTGATGCCTGTGTGGTCCCTCCGCACGTTTGGCGTACCAAACCGTGCCGGTGTTTGGAACTGGGCTCTGGTGTCAATCGGACGCTACAGGGCAGCTGTCAGTGTAAGTACAAAAAACAGTCAATCTCCATTTATTTGCTGCAAAACATCGGCATGGTATTCCAGCACAACAGCATGTAATAATTGTTGCAAAGACACTGGTATTAGTCGTTATAAGCTCACCAGTAGGTTTAATAGTATATATTATATATATATAATATATAATAGTATTTATTAGTAGTTATAAGCTCACCCCCTACAAACAGCTTTTCTGATTTGGGGGGGGGGGGAGTGTTTGTGTTAAAGAAGGAAAAGAAAAGAAAAGTGAGCCCCGTAACTGTCTGCTTCAGGGAGCGACACCTCAGCAGTAGCTCACAAGGAATGGGGTGAGGAGGGATTAAAAGATAGAAATAAAGGTGTAGAGAGAGAGAAAGAGAGAAAGAGATGAGGTAAGCCAGCGAGCGACGACATATCGAGGGGATAGGAGAGATAGGTAATATGGAAACATAGTCACAGGAGTCCGAGGATGGGGCACCACTTGCAAGAGCTCTTGTCGGCGTCAGGAGATGGCGGATTTGGCAAGTCCAGTCGGTCAGTGCTACACTGTCGTCGGAGGTCAGCGTCAGGAGATGACGTAGGGCGAGCCCAGTCAGCCAAAGCTATGCTGACGCCGAAGATCGCGATGACACAACCGTTCGGCACGGAAGCCAGTGAGCCCTTATCCGATTTCATAAACTGTAGTGTATCGTCACGCCAGTTTTGAGCAGCTCGCCTAGAATAAAAAAAAAAACGCCGCGTGGCACATGACTTGCGAGCCGTGCGCAGAAGAAAACGCTCGAGCTTTACACTAGGCTGAACGCGGTAACCTCAACTACTTAGGTCTTCTTTTAGGGGCGAAGCTTCTGAGCCTTGGGTAGGGCGTCTGCGATGTATGTAAGTAGTAGTCGTCGTCGTCGTAGTAGTAGTGCGTCGTAGTAGTGCGTAGCCACTTCAGAGGCCGGACTAGGCACGCGTACACTCATTGGAATTGAGGAGGAAATCCGCGCACGTTCGTCATGAATAAAAAGATAGTTTTTTCTGATGAAACAACCTACAGATACGAGTATCGGTGAATTATGCCTTGAACTTGAATCTCCACTAAAAGCTGTTAACAAAAAGACGCACTCTGAGCACAATATCGGATCAGACAAGGTTGCCCCGTCAAACTCGCTGGGCGTAATCTCCTTAGTTTTAGCAAGGTCTAGCGAAAGTTGGGCTGCAGTGCCATGAACTAGACACAAAGCACAGGCCGCAAGAGAGAGCAAGCGTGCCGCTCCTCCAGGTTGGCCATGCCACCTTTCGTTTATTCCTTGGAATGTTCGCTGAATGGCGGAACTTCTATATGAAGTATATATGAATGAAAAGATGTGAGATGGCGGTACTTGTAGTGTTCACGAGATGGACGGACGGATGTGCAGACGCACAGATGGTCAGACAGACGGACAGACGGGTGAATGCAGGAACAGACACACGGACGGACGTATGGAAGGACGGACGGATGGATGGAGGGGCGGACACAAGCACGAACGGACGCACAGGCAGGCGCACGGACGGTTGGAAGCAAGAACAAACGAACGGACGGATGCTTCACCCCACTCATCATCACGTACTCCATGGATATGCTGTGATTTTTTTCTCCCGCGTCCAAATAAAGCTCTTTCGAGTTGCGGTCCATTGCCAAGCTTGGCCTCGGAGTCAGACTTTACGAATATGCCATATCGTTCTTGACCCGTAGGAGAGCCACCCTCAGAATGGGAGACCAAGCTGGGCTCACGCGATATGTACAAGGGTCAGTGATATCACCTACCCTGTTCAACCTTGTCATGGTCGGGTTATCCAAGATGCTCTCATTTATCAAGGGCAATAACCACACAATTTGCACAGACGATATTACCATTTGGTGCACAGGAGGCTGCGGCGGGCAAGTCAAGTGTTCCCTGCAGGAGGCTATAAACACCTTAAAAGATTAACTCCATCCTACAGGCCTCCATTGTTCCCCAAACAAATCCGAGTTCCTCCTCTACCAACCCACTCGGCAAGGGCCCAAGTCCGAAAACTTGCAGCCGATTTCAGAGAGTGATGTCAAACTCTACACCGGAGATGATGGGGCCATACCCAGAATAGAATTCATTCGGGTCCTTGGCATGACTATCGAGTCCAATGGTTTCAATGGCAAGACTATACTCATGCACGCCGCCAAGATGAATACCGCTGTTTGGTGGTTTCGCAGGTGACCAACCGCCGTCAAGGCGTCAAGGAAGACAACCTAATTGACCTGGACAATTCCTTTGTTCTCGGCCACTTTTCATATGTCGTGGCCATGCACAATTTGCAGCGTGCCGAGCTGAACATGATCAACGTCCTGCTAAGAAAGATTACCAAGCGGGCCCTCGGTATCCTGATCAGGACGCGCACCGAGTGTCTGCTCCAGTTTAGAGTGCACAATACGTCGGAAGGGATCACCGAAGCGTAGGAGCGGGTCCAGCTCGCGCATCTTTCGTACTCCCAGACGGCCATACATATACTCCGAGAGCTCAGTCACTCTCCAGGTGAAGTGGACAAGAAGATGAGACATGTGCCCGTGAGATTCGCGATCTCATCACCGTGGCACAGATACCGAGGAATGTCCATCCTCAGCACAATCGTGGCAGGTGGCGGGCTAGAGCTGCCACTCTTCTCAAGCAGATCGACAGTGAGGAGCACGGCGTCAGCTTTGTCGACGCGGCATCGTGCCGCGAGAACCTCACCTTCTTTGCAGCCGTCGTTGACTCCAAACAGCAAATTACCAACTGAGCATCGGTTCACATTGAAGATCTGACGATTGCCGTGCAAGTGGCCATCTCCCTGGCCTTCCTGGACGGTGAAAGGGAGGTGATCTATAGAGTGACTTTAGGCCAGTTTTTCGTAAATGCGAACGTGGTATCGTCTGCAAGAAAGCCCTGCGCGTGCTCTAGAGTGGCGGACACGACAGTATCAAGCATCACGTACTTATCTAGAGTCCCGCACATGTTGGGCAGGTCCAAGGCACTCCCTGCAACCTCAAAGAGTCTGCCCAGGAGACCGTGCACGCGCTAACCGACCGCACTGTTTCCGGGCAACAATTTGGGGACAACGGGGCTGAGGAAAACAGGGACGCACTTGCCGTGTACAATGATATAACAAAACATTTTTACCTCGCGCGAAAACGATATCTACTCCCTCATCCAAAAATTATTAGGGCATAGGCCTTTACACTCACACTACTGCAGACGGACTCATACCCTTCTGAGCTCCCTTCACGCTATTTACTTCACGCTTGCCCGGCTCGTGGGGGCGTAGCCATGCTGGCGCATATGCTCTAGGTATGCAAGGCAATGTACACAGCCAGGTGGGAGGCGGTCCTATTGTCACAGAACGAGCGCTAAAAAAGAGCGCGCCGCCAAATCCTTGCGACAACGGGCGGCAGAAACGCCGCGAGGTAAAAAGAAAAAAAAAGAAGAAAGCAAACATCCAAGGCTCCCGGGCGCGCACTCTCCTCGCAGAAGCGTGGCTTCACGACGAACCTCCTCACCCCACAACGGCGGCCGAGCAAGCCCGCGATTTTTCTAGAACGAACGGGGCGGGGTCAGACCGAGCTGACTCACCGGCCGGAGAGGGCATTCCATCCGTCTCGCCCTCTTCCCAGCTTTCGCCGCGTATCGCGCCGACGAAATGACGAGAAATTTCTGGAAGGTGGCGCGGAAGGTATTTAATCGAGCGGCCGAGACGAGAAATCAGGAGAAGACGGAAAGTTAGCGCCGGAGCGCGTAGGAATTCCGCCGTGTAGTCGGCGAAGGTTCTGCCCGTAGTGACAGAACAGGAGGAGACGGAAGTGAGCGCCAGAGTGCGAAGAGATTCCGCCGTGTAGTCGGCGAAGTTTTGGTCCGTAGGGACGGCTCGAGCTACAGGCAAGAGCGTGGGTTTACCGCTATCGAGCGAAGACGCGGGCAACAGCTGCGTGTGTGAAGCCGACGGATTTCCGGCGAAGAAGTTGAAGTTTGAAGAGTGGCCAATTGAAGACGGGAGGTTTCCTGGAAGAGAAACTTCGAGGACAGCGGAACGGCAACAACGCTGGACTTTGAGTGAGTGATTCTCGGAAGAGTATCATTCAGACTTTGGTTCCAAGGACTTTGGACTGAATAGGTTTTCTATCTCTTTAGTCTTTAAGGGTCTTGGTTGTTCAATGCATGTGACTGCATTGTAGTGCGTATTGTTGTCTGTGTCCGTTGTTTTGAGTGTGGCTGATCGTATTGTGTAGTACGGTGATTGATTGGTTTGATTGGTGACATATTGTATGTAACTAGTGTGGAGTGTGCATTTTTGTGTATTATTTTCGATCTGCCATTATTGAGAATATAATTTGTTTGTTTATCAACTCTCGGCTCTGACTTGTTCTTTGGGCCACAGCCGGCGTCCGCTGGCGCACCAATAAGGACCACTTCTAAATTGTCCACGCTTTCGTGGTGCGGTTCGGGGGGCCGATACTTCGGCTCTTGGAATTAGCCCGGCGATCGCCTCCCTAATAAACGGGACAGGTGTGACAATTAATCTGGCGTCCGCGATACAGGACCTTTTGGTGCACAGTGTGTCCAAAGTAGTGAGAAAGAGCCTCGAGTTGTTGATAGTGCTATCGGAACGATTTGTGTGTTGTTCAGTGTTCTCGTTAACGAGTGCAGGAGAGTGTTCCGATAGACTGATTTAGGCAGATACTTTTTGCACGCGGCAAGGTTTTAGTTGCGAGTTGCGAGACACAATGGATCTCGAAAAGTTAGTTGCTCTTGGTGAAAAGATGGGTCTTTCTGGCGCCGAACTACGGAAGTGGGTCACCCAGAAGGAAAAAGAAGAAAAAGAGAGAGCCAAAGAAGAAAAAGCAGCTGAGTTGGAGAGAGAGAGGTTGGCGGCAGAGAGGGCCAAGGAAGAAAAGGCAGCTGAGTTGGAGAGAGAAAGGCTGGCCGCTGAAAGGGCGAGAGAAGAAAGAGAAGCAAAGGAGCGACAGCTGAAAGAAGAAAGAGAGGCAAAAGAGCGACAGCTGAAGGAAGAACGAGAGCAGCAATTGAAGTTGGAGCTGGAGAGAGAAAAGTTGGCAGCCGAAAGAGCGAGAGAAGAAAGAGAGGCAAAAGAGCGACAGCTGAAGGAAGAAAGAGAGCAGCAATTGAAGTTGGAGCTGGAGAGAGAAAAGTTGGCGGCCGAAAGGGCGAGAGAAGAAAGAAAAGCGGAGATGGCTGAAAGGGAACGGCAGCGGCAGCACGAGATGGAACTCGAGCGGCTCCGTTTGCAACAGCGAAGCGAAACTCCCGTCCAAGCTAGAGTTGAAAGCAGCGAACGGGAAGATCACGGCTTCCGCTTGAACCCAAGCAAGCTGCTCGTAGCGTTTGATGAAAGGAAGGACGACCTTGACGCGTACCTTCACCGATTTGAGACGATTGCGAAGAGCCAGAATTGGCCGGAACATCAATGGGCAACTGCTTTGAGTACTTGCTTGAGTGGTGAAGCGCTCAGTGTGTACGGTAGGCTGACGCCGACCGATGCAGCCAACTATGCAAAGGTGAAAGCTGCTTGTTAAAGCGATTTAGATTCACTGTGGAAGGATTCCGGGACAGATTTCGGACAGGAAAGCCAGCTGACGGTGAGACGGCTACGCAATATGCCGCCCGACTTTGCCATTATTTCGACAGGTGGATTGAACTTTCAGGGACAGCGCAGGAGTACGATGAGCTTAGAGAGCTGCTAATTAGAGAACAATTTCTTACTAGTTGCCACCCAAGCCTGTCACTGTACTTAAAAGAGAGAAAGGCTGACTCACTTGAAGGAATGCTTGAATTGGCTGATCAATTCTTAGAAGCGCAAGGAGGCACTAATTTGGCCAAAGTCAAGAAGGATTGTCCCGATGATTCGAAGAAATTGGCTCCCGAAGAAAAGAAGCGTGCACCAGAGAGCATTCCGCGATGTTTTCTGTGCAACCGAGTGGGTCATCGCGCGAAAAACTGTCGAACGATCTTTACGAGCCCTACGGCAGTAAAATGTTTCAAGTGTGGTCAGACTGGGCACAAAGCAGACGCTTGTCGGAACGGAGTGAGTCAAACTCACCAGGTATCCTGTGTGCAAGCAGCACCGAAATCTGATAATAATGTCGTCACTGATGGATTCGTAGAGTTGAAGAATGGGGAGAAAATTCCTATTGTGGGTGCTGTAATGTCAAAACAGCCAACCGGTGTTACGAAAGGAATGCCAACGCTGCCTGGAAAAGTTGCGGGCAAAAAGATTACGGTGTTAAGAGATACCGGCAGTTCCACTGTTATCGTGCGGAGAGATTTGGTACGGGAAAGCGAGTTAACCGGCAAAACGAAACCGGTTTGCCTAATTGACCGTACAGCTCGGATGCTTCCCGAAGGAGAGATTGAGGTGGAAACCCCGTACTTCAGCGGGAAGGTTACTGCTTTATGCATGACGAGCCCCCTGTATGACCTTGTCATCGGAAACATCGACGGGGCGCGAGGGCCAAGTGATCCAGAATGTTTGGGAGAAGACCCGAAGATAGAGCCCTCGCCAACACAGCGGCCGCGAGACGCAGTGAAGGAGCAGCCCGTGACGGATCTCACTAGAGCCCAAGGTGAAGCTGCGGCTCAAGAGACAGCGAAGGAGAAGACGATCGTGTCGAATGAGCTCACGGGCCGAGCAACTGGACTTACGTGGGCACGACCTCAACCGACCGACAGTGTAAAGGAGACGGAGTTGGCCAGCCGGGCAAAAAGTAGAGGCATGATCAAACGGGTAAATAAACAGACAGGACCCGTCGGACGTAATGACGCGTTAACGGCTGAGACGACGCCTCAGATATCGTCGTTGGAAAGGGCTCGCCGAAAAGGAACGTGGAAACACAAGAAGAGATCGAGCGAGCACCGCAAAAAGGGGCGCAAGCGCTGCTCGAAGTACTCAGGATAAGTGGAGAAGTCAAATCAGAATGTGTTGGGCAGTGCTGAGTGACATATGATGTGTTAATATTTTGTTATCCTGTGTCACAAGTGTCGAAGTGTTGTGCCGTGATGTGATGTATAGTATTGTACCATTGCTGTAATGAGAGATCTTTGTACATTTGTATTATTGGGAATGTGTGGTGGAGTGTTGTACTCATGTGCTTGTGGTTGTGTTTTCACGTGTTGTGTAATTGAATTACAATGTACAATTGTATTAAGTGATCTATTGTGAATGTGAAGTGTCATGAGCGACTGATGGTGTTACAGTCTGTGAAAGTGTGTGGTGGCTTTTCGCGCTCGTTTGTGTGGTTTTGAATATTATGAGATAATATTCTTAATGTGGGGGGCAGTGTCACAGAACGAGCGCTAAAAAAGAGCGCGCCGCCAAATCCTTGCGACAACGGGCGGCAGAAACGCCGCGAGGTAAAAAGAAAAAAAAAGAAGAAAGCAAACATCCAAGGCTCCCGGGCGCGCACTCTCCTCGCAGAAGCGTGGCTTCACGACGAACCTCCTCACCCCACAACGGCGGCCGAGCAAGCCCGCGATTTTTCTAGAACGAACGGGGCGGGGTCAGACCGAGCTGACTCACCGGCCGGAGAGGGCATTCCATCCGTCTCGCCCGCTTCCCAGCTTTCGCCGCGTATCGCGCCGACGAAATGACGAGAAATTTCTGGAAGGTGGCGCGGAAGGTATTTAATCGAGCGGCCGAGACGAGAAATCAGGAGAAGACGGAAGTTAGCGCCGGAGCGCGTAGGAATTCCGCCGTGTAGTCGGCGAAGGTTCTGCCCGTAGTGACAGAACAGGAGGAGACGGAAGTGAGCGCCAGAGTGCGAAGAGATTCCGCCGTGTAGTCGGCGAAGTTTTGGTCCGTAGGGACGGCTCGAGCTACAGGCAAGAGCGTGGGTTTACCGCTATCGAGCGAAGACGCGGGCAACAGCTGCGTGTGTGAAGCCGACGGATTTTCGGCGAAGAAGTTGAAGTTTGAAGAGTGGCCAATTGAAGACGGGAGGTTTCCTGGAAGAGAAACTTCGAGGACAGCGGAACGGCAACAACGCTGGACTTTGAGTGAGTGATTCTCGGAAGAGTATCATTCAGACTTTGGTTCCAAGGACTTTGGACTGAATAGGTTTTCTATCTCTTTAGTCTTTAAGGGTCTTGGTTGTTCAATGCATGCGACTGCATTGTAGTGCGTATTGTTGTCTGTGTCCGTTGTTTTGAGTGTGGCTGATCGTATTGTGTAGTACGGTGATTGATTGGTTTGATTGGTGACATATTGTATGTAACTAGTGTGGAGTGTGCATTTTTGTGTATTATTTTCGATCTGCCATTATTGAGAATATAATTTGTTTGTTAATCAACTCTCGGCTCTGACTTGTTCTTTGGGCCACAGCCGGCGTCCGCTGGCGCACCAATAAGGACCACTTCTAAATTGTCCACGCTTTCGTGGTGCGGTTCGGGGGGCCGATACTTCGGCTCTTGGAATTAGCCCGGCGATCGCCTCCCTAATAAACGGGACAGGTGTGACACCTATACAGCTCCTTCTTGGCCCACCAACTGAGGGCCGTCCAGCAGGCCCGCGGAGCAGCCGAAAGGCTTGGCCAAAGGTCCCCCGTGGCAGTCGCCCACCACGGGCTAACGCGCGCCTTGCAGCAGCACAATAAAGTTTCGGAACCAAGCAACCAACCTTATAAAGCTGCGACCACGGCACAGCCTCATAAGTCGTTGTATATTGTTTCTTGTTCCTCAACATTTTGAAGCTACAGAACAATGGACAAGCGACGAGTGCCGCACCACTGCCATTGATCTTTGCGGCAATGTATCGGCAAGCTCAACCTTTACAGCCGCACTTTCACTCGCTTTTACCGCCATTCCCGACCTCCTGACTTCAGTCGTGGTTTCAAGAGTTTGGGGCAGCCTCGGAGCTCAATGGCATAGGGATCCAATAATTCATGTTTAAGGTACCAAAGTACCATCTTCCGTGGGGACCTCAAAGGTCACCTCACGTACTTTTCGAGGAGCCCTCACCCTTACGATGATCTGCTCGATACCGTGCTTCATTTCTATGATTTCAAATGACTCGAAGTATACTGAAATATGCTCACCCTGAAAAACAGACATTTTTCACCCGTAACTCAAGCAATACGCTTCGCTGTTTTCCCCTTTCATTGTTGTAGTTTTTAAGTGCGCGAACTAGTAAAGCAACTTGTTTACAACAAAAAGCTAAATTCTGTAAGCAATTGTGTTCGCGTTGACAAGTGTGTTGACTTTGCAGTTTTTCTTCGAAAGCTGGCGACATGCGCAGGAGGAAGTCATGTTTGCTGTCGACAAGATAAGCTTTTATGGATGTGCACTACCAGGTGAGATGTGAAGGTGCTCATCATTCGTTAAATGCTAGGTAATTACTACAATTTTCATAGCGCAAGTTATGAAAGCCAAAAAAGAGAAGTGTGTCTTAAAAAATATAGAAAACAAAAGTTTTCATAACCATATGACTTACACAAAATGAAACCTGTATACTTTTGCTTCCTCTTTGAACTTCCTTCAGTCTGCATTTTTTTCCTTGTTGTCATTTGCGGAAGACAAATTTTAAGTAAAATCTCCTCATCGACTCATGGGCGCCGCCATTTTGAACTGATAAGCGTTTGTTTGGTAGACTTTTTATGTTACAATAAGAATTGATCCTGGCCGTGAAACTTTGAATGCGCTGTCAAAGCGGCCTCGTGCGTGTGGGTTCACCACAGCACTGTTTGTTTATTTGATACGAATACTAAACTGCAACGTTATTTGTCCAAGATGGCAGCGCTGGAGCGCGTTTGGAAAATGGTGCGTACTGTGGCTTGGAAGAAGCAGTATCAGCAAACCATTCATATGTCATAATAATTATCGTAGCTATCTTTGCGTGTCCTCAAGGTGTGTCCAGCTCTTTTGTAAAATATGCATAAGCAATATGGGACATGCCATTATTTGAAATAAAAACTGCTTCACAGAGGTGTTCACACTGTCTATTGCAACCGTCCTAGGAAAAACGCTGTGTTTTGCATATGTCTGTTGCGCAAGACACAGTGCAATGTTTTTTTTTATTCCGGGTGTCGATGTCTCATGCGGTGCCATTTTTTTTATTTTTCAGCTAAGTCAAACAATTGCACCAAATCACAATTCACTTGTTCCAATGGGGCTTGTATAGCCAAACGCGACATCTGCAACTATGTCGATGATTGTGGAGATAACAGCGATGAATTGAAGTGTGGTGAGTGCCTGGTAGCTTTGTGCTTGTCTTTTTGTTTTCTGTTTTGAGTATCTTTAAATATCTGATAGGTGTTTTTAATACATATACGTACGATCAAGGCTTAACCAAGCCTTCTTGAACACATTTCAACATAGCCGTGTTAGCTGGGTACCGACACAAACAGCTCTCATTTTTTGTGCGTGTGAAACAATAAAGATCAAGCTATCAGGAACCCACAAAATGTATTCGCAAGTGTCAGTGTGAAACCCTACATACATGTTACGGTAACGTCACGATGCAGTATAAGATTCTCGTCACTTCTTCGCGTAGAATATTGTGACCTTTGCACGTTCACTCCGGGCGGTCTCTCCGTTGGTGACACACAAGCAATCTCTTTGTTCGTGTTGGTACCTGACGTCCTCACAACTAGCCATACTGGTGCGTGAAGTCTGCAGAACTGATATTGTAGCCTGACGTCGCGACATTGTTTATGCCAATGTGTGCGCTAAGTGAAGTCAAATTTGTATATGGCAAAGATGTACTATAACAAAGTGCTTGATTGGGCTGGTAGGTGTTGCATGCTACACTCTTAAAAAATTAGCAAAAAGGTTGTAACTGCAAGCAAATATGTAGTACCAGCAACGGTTACTACCTTTCTTAGAGTGCTACTAGGCGTTCTCCACCCGTTTATTACCTACGTTAGTAAGCAGTTACTACGCGCAACTTTTTGCTACTCAACTTTTTGCTACTTGTTTACTACATTCGTTTGTAAACGGTTAGTAACTGGAATAAAACAGGTAGTAAATAAAGCCGTTACTAACTTTCTTGCACCGTTACTACAATTTTGCTACCCGGCCATAGCTATATAATTTAAAATATTAAGTAATACATGTCCTAATATTTTTAGAGAAATCCTTTCGACGTGTCATCTTTAAACGAAAACGTGATGCATTAGATATCTACGAATAACAAAAAAACATTTATTTTAATATACGCAACCGAGTTACGTGAGCGTCATTCTTCTAATACCAAAATGAATAAGTAAAAGTTAACGTACCATAAGCAAGTGCTACACGCGTTCTAATAGGCAATTACAACAAGCTTACTAAATTAGAACAAACTGACACGACAGGCAGATCAAGATTAACCACATGGTCAAAATTAATTCGAAGTCTATCATTGCCTTGTGTCTTATGGCAATATTGCAATTTTTGCACATGAAACCACGAATACTATTGTTAACTTCAAAGCGCCAGTATATAAGCGCTGTGAAATATTCACTTGCACTGAGACTATGGTAATGAGTTGGGTACCTTGTTTCGGCGGCTGTATATGATACTTCTTTGTGACACTAATATGATAGATAATTATTACAAATCGTTTTTATAAGTACGGTTGATCAGAAGTTTTGTACTACGTTCCCAAACAAACATAATCACGTAGTAGGGTATAGCGCTCTAGGCTCAATTTTTTTAAATTATTCCTAAAACACAAGTTCTCTCTTTCGCCACACATGCATCTTAAAGTAAGGCCTATATATACTGCGCGAGTCGCTTACCTAGTAGAGTGGTGTTGTATACTTCATTCTTCTGCCGGCACTCGCACGCGTCGGACGCAGGAGTCATGGACTCCCGCGGAGCGGCAAAGGCGGTCCTAGGTGGCCGCGGAAACAGGATTACAGACGAAAGTGACAAGAATTTTGAGATCATCTCGCCGAATCTACCAACAGGACGTATTGTTTTGAACACAGTGTTTTTGCACGGTGATATTCGAGTGAGGCCTTTCAAGGTCGAAGATTTCCGGGATGCCCTGGAGAAGGAACGACTGCTTCCCGACGTAATTGCACCAGATCAACCATGTGTGGGCCGTCAGCTTTAACAGCTAGGAGGCGACGAAGAGGTTGACTGAACTGAAAGAACTCCAGGTGAAGGGACGCCACTGCCTCGTTATCGACCCTCAAGAGCAGAAGGTGAGGCTGCGGCTTCACTGGCTGTTACATGGCGTTTCGGACGAAGATGTCCGCACGGGGTCGGCAGCGTTCAGGAAATTTACAGAAGTGACCCGGGAACGCTGGCGTGTGAAGGAGTAAATGAGCAGAATTCAACGACGTGCACTGTTTTCATTAAGCTGAAAAGAGGTATGAAAGTTGAGGACCTGCCTCATCAGATACGAGTCACCTGTGAATCAGCCTTAGTGGTAGCCGCAGGTCGGCCTATGCAATGCCTGTGTTGTAGCGGAACAGGACATGTGCGTCGTGAGTGTAAGGTGCCACGGTGCTCTCGCTGCCGGCGTTTCGGGCACGGGGACGCAAAATGCGTCCGTTCGTACGCCGCAGTGACCTTGCAGCGGAGGCCGAAGATGCGTCAGAACACATTGTGGACGTGACAGAAGTAGAGGACGCGGCTGAAGGTTGCGGAGATCAAGTCGCAGAAAATTTGAACTGCACATCTGCAACATCAGTAGACGAATCTACACCGGCACCTGTGGACGCTCGACCAGGTTCTGCAGCTGTATCGACCGAGACAGCTACAATGCAGTGACAGACGCAGGCTGTGATGTAAACGGAGCATCTGCCCATGCGTCGGAACAAGGCCAACTAGTCGATGGTGCCTCTTGTAGCGTTGGTTTCGACATGAAGATAGACGGAAACACGTGCAACGCCAGCTGTGTCTCTTGGCCTAGCGGTGCCGTTCCCGCCATTAAAAGACCATTGGAAGAACCTGTGAAGACGAGAGACAAAAACAGTACAAGTAGCCTGGAAGAACCACCGGCAAAGACGCCGACTGGCAGACGCACCAGCATTAGAGCAAGAGCAGGTGGCACCACGGACAAGAAAGCTGTGAAGAATTCAATTATACTGTGCAGTGAAACCGGGCGGTCGGCCGGTCCTGGAGGCGTCTAGCGTAGCGCTAGACGTGCAAGGTAAGCGCCATGCTCCGGGCCTAACTCCTCCGCACGGTTGTAATGGCGCCTCAAGTATCATTTAACTTCGACACGCTGAATGTTAGAGGCTTAGCTTCAAAGAAGAAGCAAAGCCAAGTCTATCGGTTGTTGTTGGAAGAAAGTCTGGATGTGCTTGCAGTGCAGGAGACGAAAGTTGAAGGCGAGGAGGAGACTGGGAGCATGGTGCTTAAGTTTACATCACGGTATTTTGCCACTGTGAGCCAGGCCATAGGCACATTAGGGGGATGTGTTCTTTTTGTTAGAAAACTGCACGGATTAGTCATAGAAAATGTCTTTTCTTGCTCTTCAGGCCGAGTAGTATGGTGTGATATTGTTTATTGTGACACTGAATGGCGCATTATATGTGTTTATGCTCCAACTATTGGCCAGGAAAGATCGGGGTTTTTTTTTCCAATTTACGACAACATATGTGTACTGGTAGGAAACCCTTATTGGTGGGGGATTTCAACTGTGTCTTGAATGAAAGTGATAGATCAAGCAGGCGCAACGTTAAAGACAGAAGCAGTGATGTCCTGGCACAGGTGATTATTGAACACGAATTAGTAGATGTTGCGGAGTGTTTGCATAGCTCCCGAGATGTGAAGTATACCCACTTTCAAGGCACAAGTAATGCCCGACTGGATCGACTTTATCTTACTGCAGATGCGATAGCCCAGTGTAGCAGTTGTAATGTTATCCCTGTTTCCTTTTCTGATCACTGTCTTGTAAAATGCAATATCGGGCCAAAAAAAGAAAGGAACGCTTTTTCTTGGGAACAGTGGAAAATAAACTCTAACCTCTTAAGTGATGAGTCGTTTAGCGCATCAGTTATTAAAGAAATAAATAATATTAACATAGAGTGTATGGACAAAATAGAAGAATGGGAGCTATTCAAGTAGCGAATTGAAATAAAAGCAATAGAGAGATCTAGCGTTTTATCTTTTGAATCTAAGAAGAATGAGAAAGAGCTTAGACGAATACTTGAGAGGCTAACAGCTTTTGAAAGTGAAAAACCTGAAGTATGTGGTGACGATTTGCGGAGTATCGAGCAGAGGATAGAGGTATATGAGGAGGAACGCTATCGAGGAGCGCTAGTGCGAGCCAGAGCAGCATCAATGACTGTGGATGATCGTCTGACGAAGCGAGCGCTTGGATTAGAGAAGAGTCGTGCCAGAAGAAATCATTTAGATGCCATTGAAGTCAACGGTATCGAAGTTTCAGACAATGAGAGCATAGGACGAGCGTTTGGCAAACACTACGAAGGACTCTTCACTGCCACGCCCATTGATTCAGAGGCATATAAGCAGGAGTTATTTAGCAGAATGCCGAAGTTGTCAGATGACACCAAATCAGCTGTAGAGCTATCTATAACGCCAACGGAAGTAGAAAGGGCTATAGATTAAATGAATCCTGGTAAATCTTCGGGACCGGACGGGCTTTGTGCTTCGTTTTATAAGGAGTTTAAAAATGAATTATCCCAAGTACTTGCAGATGCCTTCAATCAAGCTTATAAACTTAATGGCCTCCCTAGGTCTTTTAGTGAAGCACATACAGTTTTGATACCTAAGACAGAACACTCGGAAAAGTTAAAATTAGTTTCTTCGTATAGACCGATATCCCTAAGTAATTGTGATTACAAAATTTTAATGAAAGTACTAGCACGGTGACTTCAAGGGGTAATCAAAGAATTGGTAGGGCCTCACCAAACATGCGGGATTATGGGACGCTGCATTGTGACCAACATACACAAGATGCGCTGCGTGCTCGAGTGTAGCGATGCCAATCAAGTAGGGGTAGCCATTCTACAGATTGATCTCGAGAAAGCTTTTGATTTTATTTCCCACAACCTTCTGCTTGCCATTCTTGACAATGTCAACGTTGGTTTTGTATTCAGAGATGGAGTATCTATGGCATACCAGAACTGCACGACCCGAGTGGTAATCAATAAGACGCTAGAAGATACAATTAACATAAAGCGTACTGTCCGTCAGGGCTGTCCGCTGAGTCCCCTACTTTTCAGTTTATATATAGAATCGTTGTGCTTAGCAATAACTCAAAACAGTTGCATTCGTGGCTTTAAATTACAAGAATCTGAAGTTAAAATTTTGGCATATGCCGACGATGTGGCTGTTTGTTGTATCAATCAAGATAGTGTTACCACTACCATCAGTGTGGTGAAAAGGTTCGGCAATGCAACTGACAGTCTAGTAAACTGGGGAAAGTGTCTGGGTTTCTGGCATGGAGAGTGGTCGTCAAAACCAGACTATTTTGCCAATGTTAAAAGGGTGGCCACACCTGTCAAGTACCTTGGGGTGCCCACTGGAATTTTATAAAGATAATGAGAACTACTAGCAAGAACAAGCGAAAGAAATCCGAACGAAAGCTAATAGATGCAACGGTAATCATCAGTCAGTGTTTTCTAGGGTGACTGTCTGTAATCTTCTCTTTGCCTCAAAACTTTGGTATGTGATGCAAGTATTGCATTGTTCAAGGGCAAACATACAGAAGTTCCATCGCATCTTTGCAGTGTTCGTGTGGGCTTCGAACTGGGAGAGATGCAGTCGAACTAATCTGTTTCGAAAGTGAAACACAGAGGGCTTGGTTTAACTCATCTATTCATACGCTAAGTCGTAAATAGGTTCTTTTTTTTCGCTACACAAGGAACCCTTTCTTACATACAGTTTGCCAAATGAGACTGATGCGGGCTTTACCTGGATATGTGGTTAGCACGAATGACATGACCGGTGCTGTGCGCGGGTATCTTAAAGAGGTTATTCTAAGTGTACGGTTTTTATCTGTTAGATTTTCCAATGAATATTTGTTTTCAGTGACTCAAAAGAAGTTGTACAAAGATGTATGCGATGTTGTTTTACCTGAACCACTGTACCGTGCCATGTACGCTGGGGGTGAAGGGAAAGGTGTGCTTAAACGAGTGAAGAGAATGCAAGTGGCTCCTGGCGCGAAGTCTTTCTTTTTCAAGCTGCACACAGATGCATTATCAGTCAGGACATTTCAAGCAGACCGTGATTTTTACTTACCTTGGGGGAGAAATTGCCTTATCTGTAAAAAACCGGAAAATATTGACCATGTAATCTTACATTGTTGGGAGGGAGTATATTTTTGGGATGTACTTAAAAGGACGTTACGGAAAGAATTACCTTTAAATTCATATGGTATAAGATTTCTGCCACTAGTGGACGAAGAGGGAATGCCTTTTGATTTGATTATGCTATGTGGACTTCACTGTTTATGGCGGGCCCGTATGGCGGGTTTCGATCGCGATCAGGATGCACGGCCTGCACGAATGTATTTCCGTGAATGTATGGCCAAGTTTGTTGAACTGCAGAAAACTCAGGATATTTTACCTGAGTGGTTGTCGACGGTGGAGCCCTTGGCAGCACTTAGGGAATTTCAATTTATGTCGGACTGTTACTGCTTGTTTTTGTTCTGCTTGTGGTTTGATGTACGTGCCTATAAACAGGCACTAAAGCAAAAAAAAGGTGTATACTTGTTGGTCCTGTGTACTCTTCGTGTTCACGACATACCACGAAAGATCACCCTACGTTGTGTAGTAATGAGACGTTAATTAACCATTATCAACAATACGGGGAATATGGTGACCAAATGAGCCTCGTAGTGGTGGTTACTACTTTTTTTTTAAAGATCTAAAGTTACTACCCTTGGTTAGTAACGGCTAGGGTAGTAACAGTTACCAAAGCTGTTTGGAACGGCAAAAGTAGCAACTGTTACCACCCTCGCCGTTACTAACTGCACTTACTACCAGGGGTTGGAACATATGTGACAAAGCATGATTACCCCAAAGTTAGCAAGAGCTAGTTCCTTTTTTTTTCAAAGAGTGTATACGAAGAAAGTGCTTGACAGCGCAAACGACAGAAGCGGTCAGCGCTCTGTTCTCGTCTGTTCTATCCCTTTCTGTCGTTTGCGATGTTAAGCACTTTTTTTGTCTAAGATATATATAGTTTTTTTATCTTCACGCTTGATGAAAGCCGAATGCGTATGCACGGGGTTTTTATGGCATGCTAACTACAAGTTGGTGTCACTACCGCTTGAAAACTACTTTGTCACCGGCTCTAATAATGTAACTAAGGACCAAACAGTAGTCTCTAGCAAAATACTATTCTAAAACAACTTGTGCTGTCATTACTTGTCGTGCTGGAGAAAGAGGCATGCCCGCTGAACCGAGAGAGCGTATCCGCATTTCTTGTATATGTTATTGCAGATGACTATCGACTCCGCTGCAACTTCGACACTTCGTTTTGTGATTGGACGCCAGACGCTCCTTCGAATAAAACACACAAGACTTGGGTTTTGAAAAAAGGAACGGGGGCACTGGCAGTGTCACCGACGCGAGATCACACGACAGGCACCCGTGACGGTAAGCTTTAACCACGTACACACTACAACTCCACCTGTAACACCACGATTCTGTTTGCTGAACGCCGGGATGGATGGGAAGCGTTAAGTGTACACATGACGAGCTATGTCACTCATATTACCAAGCTTAACGTAGTGGAATGTACGTGTTCCTAAGAAATGCTAGAAAAGTAATTACCTTGCGGAATAGTTCACTATTGAGAGTTAAAAATTCTGATCAATTCACCCAGACACTGGCAAAAGTGCGGCACTAAATCGCCTTGGCGACACACGAAATAGTCCCGATGATGCACTCATCTACGTCCTTCCAAGACGGTGGCACCGGCCATAGAGTTCTTGAAGTCAATGTATAGTGCGTTCCTAATATAGTATACTAGTGTGCATGCAGTTGCCTTTTTGCAGCAGCAAAATACCTCAGCATTCTAAATTTGTATATTTTCTAGTTTTTTTTGGTTGGGTTACAACTAATGACTATGTATATATAGACCTGTATGATAGTGTAGCATTGCTTTTTTAAATGTTTCATATTGTTAATACATCTTCATGCCTCACTATTTTCTGTGTTCTCTAAGCCAGCTTACGCAGCTGTAACCTAATTGTCTTCTCGTGCTGAGTTTTTGCGCACGGTTTTTATTGATACTCTGCCGCAATTCTTGTACTTCAGTAAGCTGTTTTTCAATATGTATATGCGTATTGATATTTTCAGTATTTTTATGCCAAAGTGTTTCAGCATGTCGTTTAATGCAATGGAAATAGATATATTTGCATGAAATCAATATATTCGTTTCTCGCGATAGTGTCATGCTAGTTTTCACATGATTTTGTGCAATTAACAGCGACTTGAAGAGACAATTACGAGATGTGTATCTTAACGTGCCATCCCCGAGTCTTAAATTTTCCTCCGCAACGTGTATGACCAGCCTTACGCACCTTGCCACATATTCTATAGCTGGGATAAATTTAGTAAAGCACCAACTCAAGACGATGCTTTAGCATATTTATAACGCAATGTACATGGCTTTTGGCTGCCTTGTTTTTGGTTGTTGAACCTAAATCTATCCAATGAACTGTTTCAGTGCTTGATGACAACCTCTTAAATGCGAAAACTACTCCAATTGGGGCTCAAATTCTAAATTCAAGCATTACTTCTAGAAGAACAAAAAAAAAACCATCCAATAGATAGTTTAATGCGGGTTCACTCAAATTTAAAACATCGTTGTTCTTGTATCGCAGTATACTCGAGGCAATGTCTCCTCATTCAATCCCCATAAGAACAATGAATTCCTTTATAAATTTGGGAATTCAATCTATACTGTGCGATTGCCGTTGTTGTCATGCTCAGTCAGTCTAATTACCTCAAAAGAAAAAAAAACATTTTGTCTAGTGCTTCACTTATATATCAAACTCCACTTTTTGATCTTGGTTCCAAGTTCTTGCCAAAACGTATATTGTCTCTATTATATCGTTTTGCCTTGTCACTCGTGTACCAGGAGGGATGTCAGTGAAGTTTGTGTGCATAAATTTTACTAAGAATCGCATTAAACATTTTAAGTATGCCCTTTTCATCATTGTTGACTGCTACTATATCAAATCAATTTGTGACTTTGTAACGTTACTCCCCAGGCAAATTCCTTTTTCTGCCATCTGACATGAAGAAAACAACAGCTGGCATCACGGGACCGACACTGGACGCTACCAAACAATGTTGGGTAAGGTCACTTAATCCCGAAGATTTCAGATTGTTATGTAGGACATGTGAATGGAGAGTATGCATCCAGGACTGGTTGTAAAGTATGCGGCTGTTTTGAAAAATGTGTGAAAACATGTTTTAAGCCGTCACGAATAAGATGTAAGAATAAACATGTTTTAAGCCGTCACCGTTAAGAGGATAAGTGAAATACAGAACCGATCTCGAAGGACAATAGGCGATAAATGTTCTGATCTATATGTATATACCATTAAATGGTGCCTTAAAGTGGCCTTAAAAAGAATGCTATTGTCATTATCTGGGCACTATAAACGAGACATCCCGAGAACTGCGAGTGTTCATATGAAAACAAGCGGTCATAGCAGAAGAGTTCCTTCTTGCATTGTCTACAAGACATCCGAGCAAGCCTACAACTTTAAAAAAAAGTACACGCTTTTTGGCAGTCACGCATTCGTGTAGGCAAGTCTATAGGCGAGCCTCTCTATTCACTTTGTAGTCGTTTCTTCCAGGCAGGGACCCTCTACCGCTTTTTGCCCCAATCCCACTGCTGCCTTGTGGTGCGGTGAAACCAAAGTTCAAAAGAGACAAATAGGTCTGGTTGTGGCGCACTCTCACCACGGTGTGACGGGACAGCAATGGAATGCTTTAACATAACGTAGGTAATGGGCGAAACGACAGTTTCACCATCGTGAACAGGCGAATCATACATGAGCTGCACGTAAGTCGTGGCTTGCAGCGGAAGATGCAGGACCTCGGTGGCAAAAAGGCGGCTTTGAGCATCACGCGCAATGGCGGTGTCAAAAGGCAGTTCCAGCTGAAGGAGGCCTGTCGAGCAGTCGATAGGGGCGGAGTGCGAAAGAGAGGAATGGCGAGACCGATAATCACGTCATGTGGGCACTGCTCAAGCACAGGTGAACAATTGGATGGTCTGACGGCCAGCAATACACACGCGAGAAGTGAACATGCCGAGAACGGTAGATGTATTTCCATCGGCAAGTATTACTGCACACATTAGAGGAGGCGTGATCACTTTGCGCAGTTTAATACAGAGAGCAGCGCTCATGACTGGAAGTTTGTATGCCAGTGTCTATGAGGGCTGTAACGGTAACGTCATCCTCCAAAGGCTCCAAACATTTCTTCGTGTGGGAATCGTCAACAGAATATTGGCAGACCGGGTCGGTAGTGAAGGGTCACCTCTGGGAGCTGCATGGTCTAGTTTCCCGAGGTGGAGGGCACAGGTCACGCAGGGGACCTGGATCGAGGAATCATCGGCAAGAAAGATCGGTGACCTTGGGTTGATGGTGTCCAGCTGAACCTTCGGCCCTAAACCTTTGACCCTGATCCCCAGCCTGCTGCTTAGCAGGCTGGGGATCAGCAGGCTGCTGCTTAGCAGCAGCAGGCTGGGGATTGTATGGAGTAGGAAACCGGCGAGAGTTGCCTTCAAAATGACGCCATGTCCCAGTGTTCCAGATGAAGTGGACGTCCAACGATTGCGACAGTAGCGCGCAGTGTGTCTGGCGCGGGAGCAGTGCAAGGAGATCGGTCTATCATCCAACGTTCTCCATTCAGCAGGGTTCCAGTAGCGGGGAGGGTAGCGTGAAGTGTACACCTAGATCTGGTTAACCAAAGCCGAACTCTCAGTTACAGCGCAAACAGGTGCGATGCCGCGATTTGCAGTTTTTGGTGAACGATAGCTTGGATGAGGAGACGGTGGAGGCGTTATTTTGAGGGCCGTCGGAAGTGACGGCTGCAGGAGCCATTGCTTCGAATTCGCGGCGGATGCTTCGGGTTACATTGTCGGATGATGTAGCTTGCGTGAACTAGGAGCTGTCTTCGCAGGTTGAAGTGGCTGCAGTATTAGGCAGACGTACAAACTGGCGGGTTATGCGACGGTTCCTGGCGTGCTCGAAGCGCTGACATTCCTTCACAATCGCGTCGACAGTGGCGCGATCTTCAACGATCAACAGATTGGAGGCGTCATCGGCAATTCCCTTTAGTATGTGAGCGATTTTATCAGTTTCGCTCATGTTCTCGTCCACCTTTCGACAGAGGCTCAGTACGTCCTGTATATAAGACACATAGGATTCCGTAGATTTCTGCACGTAGAATTCCAGGTATTTTCTTCCGGCCTGCTTGTACCCGAATGGCCTGCTGAACAACTGGACAAGCTTCAGTCTGCAAATATTCGAGCTGGTCAACTCGGACTCATGCGCCTCATACCAGACGAGTCCCGTATCCCTCAAGTAAAACACAATTTTGGGCAGCATCGACGTGGGGTCCCACCTATATATTCGCTAACGCGCTCGTAATGCGACCCAATTCTCTATATTCACCTGGTCCTTGCCAGTGCCCGAGAAGGTTACGGGTTTCGTGGAGTCAGGAGAATCAGAGGAGACAGATGCTGTTGCTGCTTCTGTGGCTGCTGTGGTTTTTGTGGGTTGGCGCGTTGAGCCATTGCAAGAAAATGAAGGTGGTGACCGCTCCAAAGATCTGTGTGGTTTGCCGGGAGAATCAGGTAGGCGTACCCAGCACATCCACCAATAATCTTACAAGGAAACGTATATTTATTGATATTTACGATATTCACACGCGAAGACAATGGCTGGAACACTGGCAGGCTAGGACCAGTCTCTAGTCATTTCGTAGTTGTTGTTGTTGTTCTCCTATTGTTAGTGGCGCACACCCGGTCTGGGGGATTGGTCCAGAATCGAGTGGCTTTAAAATTTACTGTTCAGATTTAGAATGATGGAGGTATAACAGAAAGATTACCGATAGCCTAGGCAAGTGTGGTGCTTAATATATTGCGTACAAATATTTACATAAACGAATTTATTCTTAGAATACAGCAATAATCTGATTTTATACGTATATAATTATGTGGACATGTTAGGATAACGAAACTGGTTAATTAGTCAACCTACTAGTTTCATCAATATAGTCCCGGACGGCCGCGCTTACTGTCCCATTCGAGAAATCCATTTCGTAATCGTTTCTTCCAGGCAGGGACCCTCTACCCCTTTTTGCCCTAAACCCACTACTGTCTTGTAGCACTATGATGCAAATATGATAATGTCTTCATTTTTTCGGATTAGTCACGCCAAATTTATGTTAGATGAGATTAATTGGCGGACAAAACCGCGCTGAATAAAATTAAACTTTACAATCTGTCTACGACAGTAAAGTAATAAACTATAGTGATGACATTTTGATGTTGCACGTTTAGTATTCTATGTGAAGTGTAGAATATTTTTATAGCGTTAGCTGGTGGGTTCAAAATTAAAGATTAAGCATGAACTCTACAAAAATAGCAAGGAAAAAAACTTGTTAATGTTCACCGTTCGAACCAATCTGTTTCGCATTCTCTGACGTTATTATTGTCCACTGCGTTAGCTGAGTAGTAAATAACGTCTAAACAAAGAATACCGTGAACTTGAGCTGGAAAGCTTATTGGCCTCCCATAGTATACAGCGTACTCACAGAACATTTGTTCTTGAAGATTGCCGAAAAGTTGAATAGCCTCGAGACATTTGCTGCGAAGTAATGTTGATTTCACAGCTAAAAATGGTATGAGGTCTCAATAACGGCCGTTTTCGGCGCTGTAATTGTCAGCCGCTGCTGCCACCACCATCACCGCTTTTTACGCGCAACGGGAAAAACTAAAAGAAAAAAAATTATGCAGGAAAAAAACGGGGTTCAGAACAAGGCCGTCTCCACAGCGTCCCAATATTCTACCATTGAACCACGGCGGCACTCGAAACTCCTTCGGAAATAGACCCAATACAAGCGTTATGTCAGAAAGCAACCACGTTAGCCTATGTGGAATAGCGTGATAGCAAGGCAAAATAACAACCAAGTGTCTCGCAATGCAGTTTGTATACCCAGGCTTCGCACAATACGAATTGCGGAACGAGTACGACGTTGAATGCTTCCAACCCATTACAAACGGCTGGGCCACGATGCTCTATTGTCAGTAGCTACCGCATCAACAACGCGCATGTAATAGCTTACAAACTGTGTGCGGGTAACATGCGGCACCACAAAATAACAAATCATAACGTATTCGGTGCTTTCTGACGAGGCAAAAGTGAAGATTTATGGCGTAATGGTTACATGTATTAGTAGCCCCAAAGGAGTTAACAACGGGTTTTAGAACTGCCACACCTCCAGCATTCGCTGTGAGTGTGTTTTGCTTTCCGCTCAGGCAGCCTACATAATGATGTCTCCATTAGGAGCGCAGACGACCGATTATTTTATTGATTTGTGGGGTTTAACATCCCAAAGCCACCATATGATTGTGAAAGACGCTGTAGTGGAGGGCTCCGGCAATTTAGACCACCGGTGGTCATTTTACGAGCGCCCAAATCGGAGCACACGGGCCTACAGCATCTTTGCCTCCATCAAAAATGCAGCCGCCGCAGCCGAGATTTGATCCCGCAACCTGTCGGTCAGCAGCGGAGTACTTCAGCCAATTTACCACTGCAGCGGGGCAACGAAGACGATCGAAATCATGGTCTAGAGGTGATGAATTATGATTTTAAGGTGAAATCACAGATGCTGGCAGTGGCGTGTGGCGCAAAAAAATTACACCTCAGCAAAAGTGGTATAAATAGAAAGCGGTATTTAAGCCGGAGTGTATAGCTCAGGTATTTCGAGGGGCGGTCAAATATTCTACCGCGAAGTTACGTGATTGCTTGTTGTCCCTTAGAAGAATGACCCCATCTAAAGTCACAATGCTGGGCAAAATAGAATGAACTGGAGCTTGCCGGGTTGGTGTAGCGATTATGGCGCGCGGCTGCATATACGCAGAGGTTACGGGTTCAATCACAGCGGCTGTGGCTGCATTTCGATGGAAACAAAACGCTTGAGGTGCCTGTATTGTGCGATGTCACTGCAGGTTGAAAAAAACACCAGGTGGTCGAATTTGCCGAGCCTTTCGCTATGACATGCCCCACAGTTATATTGTGGAAAACCCCATATATTAGTATTAGGATATACTGGAGGTAATAAGGGAACGCCTACGTCCTGAAGGGGACGCAGAGAAGCTTTAATTGATGATATAATTGACCCAGTAGAAAGTACAATGGCGTATTTCATTGCCTGATCTGTCGTGCTTACTGGACTGGAGGAGAAACCTGATTTCGAATGAACTATAGCAGAAAATATTTGGTAAGATTTTCTCACTGATTATTTTGTTCTTCGTTGATATTTGTCAGTTTACAGCTGTACTCAGGATATGACATATGAAAAAGACGCTCTTTTACGTTTCTTTACCGGTGGTCTGGCTTTTACTATTGCAAGAAGACCTATATTTTGCCCTACTCTCATTGCAGATAAGGTTCTTTTACTTGTTGCGCGGTGGGAGTAAGCCGCAATTGACATTGAATGTGCGGTACACTAAGGACGGGCTGTGGAAACCTGTTTGGTCGGCAAGTGGACAGTCGCACATGTCGCACTTTATGGCTGCTAGCGTGCGCCTCCATGAGACCGTTCCGTATCAGGTAAGAACACGTCAATTTGAAATGGCTACTTTGTCAGTAGCTGGAAAGAACATTTACCGCTTAGCGCTACGCGGAACTGAAAACCGAGTGAATACTGGTCTGTTTAAAGAGTAAACATTGATTTGTCTTCATTTGACGCTCATTTTAGAGTGCTACAGACACAATTTTTCGATATCTGTTAAAGGAAGCCCCGCAACACAAATTAGGCGGATCGTTTTCATCGTTTTTTCTGCAACTGTCCAACGCACAAATGTCCTTGCGCAGGTGGGAACGCTGAAAACGGGGCTGATATGATTTTATTTGTGCGAAAAAAACACAGTGTTCTAGAAGTAGAGCGGCACACGGCAGCTAGTTTTGTGATCGCAGGTGACGTGCAGCGTGTGCAGAGTGACGACATTAATCGTGCGTTTTGATTGGTTCGATGCGACAAGTAGCGCGTACTAATATTGTGGTCCCAGACAGACCACACTGTAAAATTATCAATACACTCTTTCTTCAACGGATATCAAGGTATTTCACATTTATTTTAGTAAAGAAATCTTTAAAAATTTCAAAATTACGCTAGGAGAGCTGTGAAACGGCCACCAATATGCGCGCCCGGAACGTCTGTAAGAAGCGCAGTGACTGGAAGTGGTTTTTGACGTCAGTGTAAAAAAAAATGCTAAATTGAACAACTTTTTTGTCGTTCGCTTGGGCTTTGAAGTTTTAGAAGTAGTAGCTTCTGTTACCGTGAACCAATTTAGATCGTTCTCGCTACGTTATTGTCAATGTATGGAGGAACAGACACACTCCAGCTTTGCAGATTGATTGTCGCAAGGCTACTTTAGGCTTCCTTTGAAAATTCAAGAGTATCCCATTCTTCACTTCCCAAATTACAAAGGTTGCCCTTTATAAGAAACCGCGATGCAGAAGGAATAAAAAAAAGTTTCCGAAACAAAATACTCCTATCGAACAATGACGAAAAAAATTGCGATGAAAACATTATGATTGTCTTCTTCACAGTGAGGCTCATGAAATAAAGCTGTTTTACTACCTTATTATCTAGAAATATTAGTTGTAAAGTGCCGTGTCCTACTTCAATCATTTCAGGAAGTGTATACTGGAGGGCGAACCAATTATATGGTGCTTTATGATGGTTCTCTATGGCATAAGGAAGTTTTTATACTAAGTCACTTATGTTCTCAAGGAACATCAACAAGTTCAACTGAATCAAAACGTCCCCTATGTCTCCCTTATTCTGCTTTGCGGATAGGTTGCCTTCACCGGAGAGCATCAAGTGCCGGGATTCCATAGCTACATCGCCATCGATGATGTGACATTTTCGGAAAGCTGCAAAGCATACGATAAAGGTGAGTTAGTTTTTTTTCTACCAGTGCAAGGTTTAATTTATTGCCACGTTCTATTTCTGAAGTTTTGTTATCGCCCCAAAAACACTACACAATTCTCAGCACAAACCACGCCTGCAGTTTTCGAGAAGGTTCCGGACTGTAGTAGGTCATTTCGATAAGATCACGCCCACTCTGCGAACTGTACAGATTATTCTGGGAGCTATGCCACCGCCAGCGATAACGCTAGAACGTTCGATGGCAAGAGTATAAATGCCGACGCACTCGCCGCTTGTCAGTAGTTGATCGACGGCCGACGCTCTGTTCGCCGTTATATATATATCTGTGTATGTGCCGCTAGTTTCCTCCATGGATAATGGAGTTTGTATGCCCCATAGTGCACAAGAGGGGTGTCTAAGCGAGTACTGTATGTATAAAATGATGTAAAGAGTTTTTTTGAGTTTGAAGTTAATAAACTTCTCTTTGTATCAGTCCAAGACTGCTTCCACTGTCTTCGGACTTTCCGTTTACCAGGCACAGGTTCGCCCAAATAAAAAGTTAAATTCCAACGCAAAGTGTCCTGTCTTCGGCCACGTCAGGACCCCGTGACAATATGATATAAATAAACCAGTGGTGAATTGACTGCTCTAACAAAAATAGACGTAAAAATTAGTAAGAGGGCTCATGTTTCTTTAGCTACTGCCATGTCATTTTTATTTACTAAGCTTAGAGGCCCAGCGTAGGGCTATTATGAGAGTAAGTTTTTACAGAAGTGGCCATAATTCACTCAAACGACCATAATATGCTTAGAGTCACGACTTAAGGACAATCATTTTGAAAAGAAGGTAACGACTATGAACACTACCTCAGCATAAGAGAAAAAGGTAGCGGAAACACCGCAATGACTCATACAAACACCGTCACAGCAGTTGTCTTTAACGTAGGCCTCCACGAGTGCCACCAGACTATCACGCGATGATATCATTGTAACGGCGGCACCATTGTACCAGCCGACACTTTATGCACAGGCAGGTTCTTGTGTTTACTTGCTGTTGCGCGGCAGTGTCCCTTTTAAGTTGCCCAAAACCATTATCTCGGATTTAAACATACACGTGCGCCTGATTGTCGAGTAGTGACATAGCGCGCATATCAGTTTTGTTGTGATTTCTATTTTCGGTCACAGTGCGCAGCTTCACTGTTGGGAGTCAACGTTCACGATGCCTTTTTTAAAGACGATAGTCTCTCTTGGGGACCTTCGACGAAAAAATGGTGGTCTGTATGTCGGTATATTTGTCTGTTTGCCTGCCCTAACGATACCTCAAACGGCACCAAACGGCCAACCCCATTCGCAGCACCCACCAATAATGCTCAAGGTTTTGCGTTCATAGTTGTGCGATTGTCAATCGCACAACTATGAACGCTGAAATGTTGCGCATATCTGAGGTTCCACAACAACGCTCCGATGTTTTGTATGTCTGCCTTTATACTATAAAAGACACACACAAGTAACTCTAAGGAATGTAGCGTTAGATCGCGCCTCGCTGACAGTGTAACGCGATGCTCAAAAAGGTGTTTCCAACGCTTTGATACGATGTCACGGTGGTGGCACCTGCCCGTTGCTTTGCATTCTACACCTTATCACCTCCGAGACTGGCGCCCATCTTTCTCCGCGGTCTGCACACATTCGTTTTTGAAGATAACTTCCGTTATCTAACGTGCCTCGATGCGCTCATTCGCTTCCGCTACACGCTCGAGGCACTCTAACGCAGCATCTGCAGAATACCATTCACCGATTTTCTTGCGCAGAACATCAAATATACGTTTTGTTCACTCTCTCCAGACGCAAGACTATCGTCTTTCGACGACATTTGCGGTGTAACATGCATATTTGGAACCAATTTTTTTTATTACGTTTTCGTGCCTTATCTACCGATATGATGAAGTACTGCCAACTCACTCGCCTTTATTGGCTTCTCAGCAGTAACATTCCGAGAGGAAGCAGGTGAAGAATCGACGGCGAAGGCATTTAAAAAAGGCTGCACGGGGATATAAGAGAAAGAGAAAAGTTGGCATCTCTTAGGCGTATACCTCTTACCAGGGAGGCTATGAAATGGTGACAGAATACGCATGTTCACGCAGTAATGCAAAAGTAAATTATAAATGACGAATAGGCAAGCTTGTGTAATAGATTGGGTGACAATACATTAGATAGATAGATAGATAGATAGATAGATAGATAGATAGATAGATAGATAGATAGATAGATAGATAGATAGATAGCAACTGTAGATTGCTCTACAGTTGCTTACTTTGTTTTCCTATTCACCACAGAGCTTCCGGCAGTACCAGCAACACCGCCTCCATCTGCCTGTGGAGATCGAGAATTTCAATGTGGCGCTACCACCCAGTGTATTCCAGTGGTTGAAGTGTGCGACTTCAAGAGCGATTGTTCCAATGGAGCCGACGAAGAGCGATGTGGTATGTGCTGCCGCATAATTTATCATCCATGAGATTCGTTAGGAATTTGTTGAAGCAATTGAGCAATAGTGTCTGTGGGATGAGCGTGCTTATTTTCCACGACGCTCGCAAATGTGTACGTAGTTCTCGTTAAAATTTTGACACAAACGAATTGTGTGAGAAAAGACAGCGCTGCATATTTTATATTCAATAATATTTTCTTATGTCGCCATTAACGCCCCCACGGCTCACAGGAATGAAATTTTACACTTCACTGATTAAGTGACTGGTCTTATTTTTTTTATGTGTCTGTTCGCTCTCCTTTAGTGAATGATTTTTTTCAGCTGGTAACTACCAATTTTTCAGATAATATTCGGTGCAGGCGCATTTCAATGAAGCTGAAATGCTGCTTGCACCTGTACTACGGTTCAGGAAGACGTTAACAAACCCCACCACATGATCGCAAACTTCAATCGGAAATTCTCTCCACTACAGAACTACTCATTATTGTAATGTATTTCTGTGGCGTGAAACCCGAAAATTCTATGTTAATAAGGTAAGCACATTCGGATAAAAACTAAAACAATAGTCTTGTGGTTTGTTAACGGATATATACATTAGATGTAGCTAGATTGTGAAATCTGCATTATTTTTTGAATGTCTGAAGTGCTTCATGTACTCAGATTTATATGTAAGTTAAACAACCGCACATCGCCAAAACTTTGGACCCAAAATTTGACCTGGAACAGCAGTGGATGTATCTACATTGTCAATTCTGTATACTTTTTTTTCTTTCTGAGACAGTGACCAAAAAACACGAGGAGCTTTCAATAGAGGTCAATGAAATTCGGAGTTTTTTTTACTGATTATTGCTATAGCTTTCTGTTTGCGTCTTCGTAAAATATTTAGAGAGCGAAAAAACAATGAATTATTCAGGATTAAATGAAAATACTTAGTGAAGCCAGGAAAAAAATACAGAATTACTTAATATAGCTGAATGAGTTCATATACATCAACACTTACAGTTCGGGAAACTTTCGCTCCAACAAGTTAGTGCAATGTGCTGCATGTGTTTTGATCTGGCATCGGCGATTTATCTACAATTTAGCAAGACTTCCCTGTTACGCGCAAGGAGCCGGGCTATGGTTGTTTGCGTTATGCTCGAGTGCTTGCTGCAAATAGTGCACAAGGGCACTAAAAAGTCCCAGCTTTGCCGCAAAGGACGTGGCAATGAACGCGATAGCAAAGAATCGGAAGCTCACGCGCAGAATGGCAAGCAGATCGAAACGTGTACTATGTTTCTCACGCACAAAGGAACACATGAAACGTACTCACCTGATACAGAATAACGCGAATAAACCTCTCAGCTGTTACTTTGCTCCCTGAAAAGCGCACCGTTTTCGCAAACTGGTGGCTGTGCGACGATTGCAGGTGACCTTTGTGTGCCCGGTAACTACAATAGAATTGTTCGAACGAAACTTAAAGGCTAGCCAAGACGTCCGATTCTCCCCATTGCAAGATAACGGCACGCGATCGAACGTACACTCTCTTATTCTCTATACGCGGTCCGAAGTACGCGTGAGAGATTAGAGCCGCCGCGTGCTCACGGCACCATCTTGTTGATAATGCTGAAAACACTATGATTCCCCCCGATATGCCCACCAACAGCGGTAAGTGGTAGATATGAATAGCTTGCCGTTTGAACGTTGAAGGAGGCACCTCTCGATGGCTCAGTGGTTAATGCCTTGCATTCACGACGCGAAGGTCCCACATTCGATTTCGCGCGGCGGAGTCTTTTTATGGTATTTTTTCTAGTGTTTCCATATATATACATACGTATACATATGCGGATCATGACATCGACTCGTTGGCGTCGATGCCAACGTCCTCGTTGACGTCGACGCCGGCCGCGAAATCCTGCCGAGAGTTTCCATATAATTGCTATAGCAACCAAACCACACCTCATTAGAAATTATGACTAACTCTTTCCTGGCGTTCACCTAATTTTACGCATGTTTAATGCGAGTGTTGCACAAGCACCACGTTCCTGCATCTCGTGGTCCGTCTCCAGCTTTCCATTTTATTGATGCTCGCGCATTGTAAGTGAGAAATACCCAAAATGGCCTCGAAACTAACCAGCTATGAATCATCGCCAAGAAAAACTACCTCTGTTGCAATTACTGAAAGACAGTGGTTACGACAGCGAAGTCGCAATACCAACTGATAAATAGGTAGAAAATATCCAACACTATGTCCATAATAGCAGCACGCATAGCGTAAAGCTTTCTGAGCTCTTGTAAATGAACACTGGGAGACCATGCTGGGTATGCTCAAGCTGGCTGTTTATGTATTTGTGCATTATTCCTCGTTTCCCCACGCCCAGAGTAGGTTAGCCAACTGAGCCAAAGCTTGGTTGACCTCCTCACCTTTCCTCTCTATTCCTCTCTCGCTCTCTGGGGTATATGTCTGCGCTAGTATAATATGTCATTTTTTTTTTCAATGCATCACCTCAGGGGCCTGTGAGTTTTCCAAGGACCTATGTGGCATGCTAAACCGATACACGAGCGCGCGCTTTGGATGGAACTGGACGACTGTCGCAGATAGCAAGGGCCAGAAATATTTTCCTCGTCTTGGCTCCGATTACAAGAAAGATGGCTCATTTGTTGCGTACTCTTTGCTCAACAGTGGTAAGCAGTCCTCTTGTTGTACTCACAATTACATTTTGTGCCTATGTATGCCTAATTATAAACTAATGCTGAGAGTTCATCCTCATGTGTGAATGTTGTGTTCAGTTCAGCAAAAGCAGTCAACTAGCATTTCTGTGCCGATACATGACATGTTGTCCCTTAGAAGGGTTTCATATGCCGCATTTCTAACTGACCGAAGCATGCGAAGTTCTGTAACAAATTGTGTTTTAGTACGTACTAAACAGGCATGTAATTCTTTCAAGAATCATCGCTTAAGGCAGCGAAAAAATGAAGTGCTTTGAGTGTAGATAAGTCCTCATACATATTCTTATGTGAAAATACGTGAAAATTCCACGTAACATTTTTGCTGCAAATGTGGCTTACTTCTTTGACGACGGAGCTCTACACTGGACGCTTCCTTAAGTCTGCTACCATGGCTCCGGGCGAAAGCGCGGCTTCGCCACCTACCTCGGCAACTACAACGACAGCATCCCGGTGTGAAACCTTAACGAAACACTCCTTACTGGAGTGAAAAACGCGAATGTGGACAACTTATGTACGAGCGCATAAACAAGTAATATGGCTGGGACCTAACTGTTACTCTGGCGAATGTCATATCTCGACAAGACTCCTTGAGTTTTCTTTGAGGTGCATGAGCACGGAGCCACAGGCGGATAAATCTTGAAACAAAAGCTCCACGACCTTTTTGGCAACCTATTTGGTCAACAGGTTAATGCTGGGAAACAATTAGCCGCATTCACACAGACATTACCCGAGCACTACTTGACCTATATTCAAGAAGTGTTAGCCTTGTGTTTACAGTCCAATTGCAACATAACCGAGGCTCACAAGATCTCGCATATTTTGAAAGGTATCACCGATTAAAAGCTTCAGCCCGTCGACTTCCCATCAGAGTCCTTTGCCTGTATTGGTTTGGACCCTCTAGGTTCCTTCCAAAAATGCGCCTCCGTAAATAAGTGGGTTGCAGTTGCTACGCATTATGCCATCCGCTATGCAGTTACACGAGCCGTGCCAACAAGCTGCGCTACAGACGTTGCAGGCTTTCAACTACGCAATCCTATGTTAGTGCATGGTGTCCCTAGTCAACTGCAGACAGGCGGAGGCCATACGTTCATTTCTAAGATGGTTGACGATATCCTGCGTTCTTCTTCATCCAACGTAAGCTCACAGCCTACAAAACGCTTAAACTGCACCTTGACGGATATGCTATCAAAACACGACTTGACCAACCATCGTGACAGACTTTGCACTAACCTAGGAGACGTTAGTATACAATTCCTCGTGGCATGACAATGCTGAACACTCGCCATTTCATCTTTATTTGGACGCGAACAAACGTTGACGTTGGTTACGTGCCTGCCTGCTGCTCCACACTCTACCTCTGATTACGCACATGACAATATTGCCTGCACTGACCATGCCAGTCAGCTCACCCGCTGCAAATTAATTGCTTTCCAAGAAACACAGAAGCATCGCTACGTCAAGCGGTATCGTGACGAACAAATTACGATGGGTTCCCTCGTTCTTTTTTTTTTTTGGTCCCCTACACGGCATGCGCACTCTAGGAAGTAAAGGAAGAAAAGAAGTATTGAGGTTGCTCCTTTAGAGGAGTAACTAACTTGCCACACTCTTTGCACCATTTTGGGAGTAACTGTGAAGAAGTAACCACGTTTTCATGGTTACTCCTCAAAGGCGCAACTGTTATCAACAGAAAAATTAGGCTTTTTGGTTGGCTTAACCAGCCTATCGTAGTTCGCGCTAGCATTTGTTTAGATGCACAATCAATATACAACATCACAAAATCAAGAATAAAATTTGAAACATTTGCAGTAAACACAAGAGATTCAACTTCACGACCACTCAGGCAGCGCGTGCGTACACTAACCACTACACTACACCACGCTTCGGCACCGTCTGAAAGCAAACAGGCTTGTGTAAGCACCGATAGGTCGTTTGTACACAGCGCGAAAATTCCTGCAGTTACTTCAAAACACGGGCGCTTTACTCCACAAACAGGAAAGTGCCCCTTCTTGCCGTGCCGTGTGCAATCTTTTGCGCACATTCCGTCTTTAAGGGGAACAAAGAGCCCTTTTCAGGGGTAACTGCGCAGTTCCTTCGAAAACTTTTTAGAGCGCAGGCCTTTCTGAGAAGCTTCTTTCTCGTTTCACGGACCCTTCCCGCATGCTTCGACGAGAGACAGACGTACATACGCGATTTCTCCTGATGATCTTTCGACCTCCTCTCCTCTGTTGCGTCGTAACGTCGTCTATGTATCAAGGTTCAAGCATTACCACTGGTCCTCCTGCTCTTAACCCATAGACGCTCTTCGTCGGCACTTTCGCCAGCCGGTAGTTGTGTTGCGTACTTTCGGATGGACGGTGACAGGACATGCGGCACATACCTTGAAGGGCGTCTTGAACAAGAATTCGAAAGCGTTGGCATTGTGTGAAATAAACACTGGTTGATGTTATTTCCACGTAACAACAACATATAACTCGTGAATATACCTAACTTGAACTCTTTCTATATAGCATCAGTTAGAGAAAGTGTCACAAGTGTACAAAAATGGAATAGTGTTTCTGTATTTCAAAATATGGCTACCAATTCATGAGGTATATTGATACACATGTGTATTGTACTCGTCTGTTCACTTGAGTAATTTAGAGCGCGCAAAAGGTGGCGCATTTTGTCACCCTGCTGATCACTGCGATGCTCTACTATACGCTGTCTTCAAAAGTGATTCATCTCGTTGTATTGACGGTGATTCACTGGAGTGTGACTCACTTGGAGGCGAGATGAGCCCGTTATAGAGAAGCCAAAGTTGCCACAGCTGTAAACTACTGCATGGAATATAAAACACGTACTTTTCAGCATTCAAGTAACGCAGGGAGCTGTGCGACAAAATTTGCGAGAAAACAAATTTTTATCGAAACTCATTGTGAATAGCATTTGTAAAGCAGAACTGAACATACTTTGCGCATCCTGATAACCAGCTTTACAAAAGTTAAATATCTACCAACTTGTCTGTCTCTAATTACCTCTTCGCACTGGCTGTTGTACGAAATTCGGCTATGCATCCCCCTCTTTTTCTATAGATAACATTTAGGAGAGAAAGAGAGAAATAGTGAGGAAAGGCAGAGAGGCAAATAATATTTATTCAAAATGACTATGAAGGGAGTGAGCTCCACATAGCATCAATTTTCTTGCCTATATGTTAACATTCTGAATGTTTTTTTTTTTTGGTGAAAGTGAAGGCTATAACTGTGAACTCCTATGATTCAACATTCACCAACATTTCAGATGCACCCCAGGGACGAGCAAATCCACTGATCACACCGCGGCTGGGAAACGTCGCTGCTTCCTGTGCTGTCTCATTTTACGTCTATCTTCCTGACCAACGTGAGTAGAGAGCGCTGTTAATTATTTATTATTGCCAATATGTGATTCCGAAGTTTACCTGCTCGAAAAATCTGCTGCGAAAGATATAGCTCAACTGTCTTTCATTGCTTTCCTGCAAGAGACATCCTTGTGTCCAATGAGAACGCTACATCAGAAGTGGAAAGACGGCCTCCGCACCTGCAGTTCTTTTGCTTGATGGAACGTTGAGAATAAAAGGCCTAATTAGTAGCCCTCTATGAATTCATGCTGGACAACAAGGATTTTTAGCTTTGCCGGAATAATCATTCCAAGCGAATACATGTCATGGCTCGCAGAACCTATAATAGGAGAAATGCAGAACGCATGCTTTTTCACAGCAAAATCGCATGTACGATACAGCTTTTGCGTGAAAAAATTATGTATGGCGTTATGTTACATCACATTTTTCTAATTAATCAATTTCTCTGCCTTTCCCAGCCTCCTTTCACTTATGTGGGTAGAGGCAGCCATTACACCTACAATGTCACGCGAAACTTTCGTTCTTTTATGGCGCAACTGACAGAAAAAAAAAACATTTCAGTAGTAAATCTGTGGTAGGACCACTGCGGAAAGCATGACTTTCGTCTAAATGGCATTTCCCCCAAGACTGGTGGATTTCGCGTAAAATACAACTCACCAGCAAAACAAGTTCATGTTTTCCTCGTTATCAAATTTATTATATTTTTCTTATGCTCTTCTTTTTCATTAAGCAGCCTACATTTTTTTTCTGAAACTAAGCAGCAAGAAAAGCAACACTAACAGTGATGTTACTGACGATATTTACTGAGTCTTCAGCAGTGCACATATTTGCTAAGCGAAATCTCACCAGTCCGTGGTCTGGAATATGAGCCAAGCAACGCCCTTGGTGTGTTTCACTCTCATATAGAGTGGAACGTCATTTTTCACAAGAAAACGGGCAGTGAAGCTGTTTTAAACACTGTTTTTTGTATCTCGCAGACATTGCAAAAACTCAGAATTCTAGGTGAGTGACAATGCACGGTTTAAGTAATTGCAATCTAACGCTTTTTCTGGTCTCAATTATGAGGACAAGTCACGACAGCATGTGCAACTTAACTTCCATCAGCTTAGTCGCAAAAGATATATATGGCAGTCTTATCACCGTTGACCAATGAATAACTACTGAAGAAATGTATGGTAGTACTGGTTTTCAACAAATATTTATCCGTAAATTCAGCTTTCAGTGAGCCTACAATTGAAGCTTTCAATTTCTTTTCCTACCTTTTTTTTTTCAAATAACGTGTAAAGCCAACATCTGTTAGTTCTCATCATTACTGTTTCTATACGCGAAAACGAGCCCTTAATTTACACTTAGTTCTGTCCTTTTTTTATTCAGTCACAGGTGCAGATCCGCAGCTGGCATTCGGTGTATACCCACCGACGACTTCGACGCAAGGTATGATTCTTCGGCACCGGCTCGCGGTGGTTGCAGGGAAGCACATGGGAGGAAAATGGACACGCAGAGTAGTGAGCACAGGAAGTTGGAATGCTGGGGCCAGGGTGAGCAATTATTTGAAATGATTTCTTTTGCTGTGAAATAGCATTTGTCAAACGCTGCGATAAAAGTAATATATGTATTGGTGCTCGCGAAACCTGTGACAAGTGAGAATTTGTTGATCCTTATTGCACAAGTGTTCATGCGCAGCCAATAGGAAATGCAAATCGACAGCGCAAGGCCAACCTAATATTTATTGAAATCTAGAAAAAGCGCTAAAAACAAGTGCAATGGTCACAATAGCCATCGTTATTATATAATCCTGTTTTTTGTACTTGAGCCACGGTCACGGAGACAGCACATTTTTTTGGAACAAAAGAACTCTTTGTCTATTATGTCACTCATCCTCATATAATATTGCAAGTGGGGCACTTTGTCCTATCTGTTTCTTCTTTCCAGCTACAGAGCATGAAACAGATGTAAACGTTGTAGTTTGCGTGTACATAGCAACTGGTCTGTCTCATTCACATCTTCTAGTACAGTATATGTTCAGATATATCACTATTTCCCAATCTCCCAATTCGAGCTAAATGTTTTATATACTAGCAGAGAGCTGACCTAGTTAGTCCGTATTCATTCAAAAAAATGTCGTATACAAGCACAACCACAAGAAAAAGTCAGCTGTCTCCAGTATTCCTTTGTAGGCGGGGCAAAACGTTACAAAGTTATGAAAACAGTAAATATACTTTTTCTGACTTTGCCGTTTACTATTAAACATTAAAGCAGAATCATTCCCTTTAGTACAACGTATGTTATAAATAAATATGACCATGCAGCTACATTTCAAAAGTTTATTATAACAATGTACTGAGTGTCTCATTTCGCTTCAACCTGCGGGCTTAAACGACAGTGTGAAAATGAGAATGATCTCTTCAGTGGTTGCAGTAGAAGCACTTGAAGTTCACTCCGTGAATCTTCACGCAGTATTGATGAGCCAGCACTTCACGCATTGAATCCAGACAGATCGGGTGCTTTGTTGCTTCAAAACTCCTTGCAAATAAAACACTGTCAACATTTTTGTGTGCTAGCATGAAATTCCTTAGATTATTTATACATTGGAAGCTAGGTAAGTTATGGCATGTTTTCTGGATTTTTTCGCCGTTTTGATGCACAACTGCACAGGCGTTTTTCGCTCTCAACTTTTCCAGCTACTCAATGATTTTCACATTTTCTACTGCTTACTTTTAAAATTGCAGAGTGGCAAACACGTAGTAAAATTCAATTCAACTATACGTTTGGGAACGGCCTGACCTAGAGGTTTCTGCATTTTTTGGGTGCATCTTTAAGCATCCTTGGAAACATGGAACAATCTCGTTGCTGCGCGAATATTATGTGTTCTGTTCTCAACAGACATCAGTGCTTTTTTTATGTAGTTTGGCTACCAGGAACTTCGACACAATATTTTCTTTCATGTTGCGACTCTTGTAAACAAAGATTTAAAGTATATGAAGAGTGTAAAGAAATGCTTCACTTAATAGGACTCTCTAATACAAGATGATGCCTTTTGTCTTTATGTTCCCTAATTAAAAATTGCTTTGGCCGCCGGCACCTAACGAACTAAACTGTTGTTGCTAAGTATATTGAGGTACAAAGTAACAAAATAAATACTTACGTTGCTCTACTCACGCAGGAGTAGCTTCACACAGACACAGTAATACCAACTGCGTAATTTTGCTCGCACGTACGTTCTGAGCAACTACCAAGTTTACACATGAAAAGGATGACAACTACCAGCACCTATTGCTTAAATATATAAAACAAAGAAAAGCAATTCTTGTATTAGCTATAGCAGTCGGGAAAGTAAAATGTTTGTGTTATGCCTCACCTTTAATTTTACCCCGCCTTACGGTACTTGTGTGGACCTCCTTATTTAGTTAGTGTTCACGCGCCTTGTCTTTGAGAACAAGGTACGCATTTAATTCATAATCGCCATTCGAAAGTAAAGTGCTCTGCCACAAATGACGTTTAACCGGCCTCGAAATTGCATTTTCGTGGAACTGATTGATTTGATTGATTTGTGGGGTTTAACGTCTCAAAACCACGGTATGATTATGAGAGACGACGTAGTGGAGGGCTCCGGAAATTTCGACCACTTGAGGTTCTTTAACGTGCAACCAAATCTGAGCACACAGGCCTACAACATTCTCGCCTCCATAGGAAATGCAGCCGCTGCAGCCGGGATTCGATCCCGCAATCTGCGAGTCAGCAACCGAGTACCTTAGCAACGAGACCACCGCGGCAGCGCTTCATGGAACCGAAATTTTAGAGGCGCGAGAAATACAATTTAAGGGCACTTAAAATTGCAGGAAGTCGTAATTTCTGGAGACCTGTTCTACGTCATGTCTAATCATATGGTTTTGAGGCTTAAAACCACTGCAATTTATGTTCATGATATTTATATGATATAGTGCCCTCGTAACACAGCCTACGTTAAAGCACCACATACAATAGAAACAATCCTACTACTGTTGAGAATATCGCACACCAATTATGGTTTATGAAAAACGAACACCAGATTTTCAGAGGTAGTAGTGTTTTTCTCCATTTGATCAAAAACTTTTATTGCACAGTGCCAAGAAAGCATCAAAAGATACGATATGACTACGCCCCCCACCACATTTGATCATAATACCCTGACAACCGCTGCAGATAATCGATCGCGGATAATGCTTTGAAAGTTCCGCTGTCGCCATCTAACGCAGCTTTGCCGACCTTCATTGTCAGTATCCCAAGATAATCGACTAAATATAGGGGGAAATATGGAATGTTAATTAAGTGAAATACTTCATTCAGTGTTACATGCTTTAACCGTGATAGAAGTGTACTGTTAAGTTGTCACAATACTTGCCCTCATTATGATATCCGCATAAATACAGCATACCTTTTCTGCTTGATTTATGTGGTCAAATATTAATGTATCTAGATTCATATTTATTAAGCATGAATATTCATACCTTAAAATAGATGTAACCGAACTACTTCTTCTTTGCCGAAAACATTTTATTTTGTGCATAAAAGCAGCATACCTTTTCTGCTTAAGGTATATTGTCAAATATTGATGTATCTAGATTCATATTTTATTAAGCATGAATATTAATACCTTAGAATAGATGTAACCAAACTACTCCTTCTTTGTCGAAAACACACTCCAAGGTTTATTAGCAGAATAGCTCGTTATATCATTAAGCACTGTACTTTTCATTTCAGTTCTATTATGAGGCAAACATTGTTGGTGTAAGCATCGACAGCACAACGTACTCCCAGTGCTACCCCGCCACTCAAAATAAAACATGTGAGTACATAGCGTGTCATAAAGAACGTATAACGCATGTCCACCTGTAGTTTGCATTAAAACTGTTTTTTTCTCATCCTTCTTTAGCTTTTGTCGTACGAGCGTTTCCATGAACACTTAACAGCTACAAAACGTGAACCTCTAAATTGTGCGATGTTAGCGCGCAAAAATATTAGCATTGCCAACTTTGTGGGAATCATGCTTTATTCTCTAGAACGCATAATAAAGAAGGTATTGATATTGTTTTTTGTCAATAATGACGCAAAGTTTTCTATAAAGATAATGACTTCCAGAAACTGCCACTGCTACTGCCACAGAAAACATGAACTTATATTGCATGGCAGATGAATTTGAAGAGAAACGACGAAGTTTACTCTTTTGAGAAAATACCCAAGACATCAAAGGAATGCAAGCACTTTATATGTGCGAGCGCGAAATCACGTTATGCGTATTTGAAGACCTCCATACTTGAAAGGTAATATACGTGATAGGGTACTTCAAACGCATTCTGCTTGTTTTGCATATATTTTTACCATAGCGGAAAATGCTCGCCCCGTCACGTGTGACTTCTCAAAGCCTCTTGACTGTGGATGGTTTCCCGAGGCCTCGCCAAACAACCTTGACTGGGTGCTCTACTCCGGTGACTTAGGGAAGCTAGACCTCAAGTGGCAACCAGAAGACAGCGCACTGGACAATGGTGAATAGCCACAGCACTAATTTAGGGATTCGGTGCATTTTTCAACGTAATGCGCTCTGATAATTCACCATTGTTTCGGATTAGTATTGCAGAACTCTCGCATGATGCATATTGTCACTCATATACGCTAAGCGAAGGCCGAACAAACAAAACTTTTATTGACCAACATTGAGATTTCTATAAAGAGTTATGCTTATCATGCTGGTAAATTATAAGTGTCATATTACTATTTATTTTTAGGTTTCACTCATTCATTGATTGATAATGAAATATTTCACAGTACCATTTTTCTAACGGTCAAACTGCACTGGAGGCGATCACACAACGAAGGAACACACTGACACACACAGCACTACAAATAATAATATATCTTGTCATCCTAATACTACCTATATGGCAGAACATGAGTATATGTGCTGCGCAAAAGTAAGAAAAACAATACTATAAACATCATTTTTCAAATTGTCATTTGCCAGAGGAATAGACTATACGCCATCTCCTCCAGTGCGCTTTTAGCATTCGTATAAACACATGCGCAACTAACCTACGCAGATCACGACGTTAATTACGTTGTACCACAAAAAACACCATGAAAAAGGAATTTGTGCTTCAAAAGAAGTGACTACGAGTGTCCCAACGGCAGAGTCTATACAAAACTGCTTATACTAGGAACATGTCACTGAAAGCAAGTAACCATCCCACCTATTCGCCTAAATGACGTGCTGTCGTGGCCATGAGTGTTTGATAGGAAAGTCAAACAACAGTTTTTAGAAGTAATGTCGTACAGGTCGCGACTTGAAAAGAGCTTGAAAATATAGAATCACGAGTTGTACGTACGCAATAATTTCACAGGTGCCTACATGTATGCCTACAACACGGAGTCAACTACAAAGGTTGCACGTCTTCTTTCTGTCTGGATGAACTCAACTTCTGACGTAGGCCGATGCTTTACTTTCTGGTAAGATTTTTAGGCTATGTGACATAATTCACTCAAAAAGTTACAAAGCTGTATCACACCTTCAGTGAAAATATATATGGAGCCCTCCATAAATGTCATTCCTTGGTTCATCAGGAAAGATGACCTCTTTTTGAGCTAGCGTGGTTGCTTGGGCGAGTTGGTACGACATTATTCACATAAAAACAGCGTTATAATGAGGGACAAGAAAAGAAGGAGACAGACAGAAAAAATGACTTACAACAAGATTTATTTGCTGGAATCGCGTAATATATACTTGAGTAGTATCTGACAAATAGGAGGAATGACGAACCAAAGAAAACAGAATTCACCTAACAACAGAGTAATCATCATGATAACACGCCATGAACATCATGTGTGCAACATATTCTGAAAAACTATATTTCTTTTTGTGATAGGAGCAATCGAAGGTCTGCTGACATATAGATTTCCTAGCCTTTCTAATTTCTGCGGCATCATAAATTTCACGTATCGATCTGACCTCGATGATGCCGAATGACCTAATGACCCGATAGGTGCCTAATGAGGTCATCCCTGGTAGCCCCGATAAAAATGCTTCATAACATAGCGCAAGAAACATGCCCCCGGAAGACGCTAGTCGTATGGCAAGGTTACAGGACTCCGCTAAAACTATTCTTTGTAGAAAGTGGGCTTCTAGACACAAATCACGCTCAATGTCAGCGTCTTGTTGATCAGAAACAAAAGTTGATTATTGCTATCAGATTTTGTGGGTACGGACACTTGACCTTGTGCATGGATTTCCTTACACTGGGTTATCATATATTTTACTAAGTAAATTTGATGTTAGGTGATCTGAAGCAGATCTCAGCTAAAACATTGCACAAATGCAATCGGACGAGTGTAGAGTCATGACCTTTAAATGGCTAAAACAACGCCTATTTTTCTGTCAAAGCAACCCCTTCATAATGCATATTCCGAAGTAATATTTCCGGGTGGTCATCACTAATACATAGGACAGTATATTTCGCATTGTCCTTTAGGGAAGAGAGCACCCATACTGCTAATATTTGAGTACATGCAGTGTCTTTATCTTAAGTTTAAATATTTCGAACACGAAATTATTTTGATCCACACTCACCATGTATCCCAGGTACAACATGTGGCATCCGAATAGTGGACAGCTGAACCTTCTGCAGCATGTGGACAATGTTTCGACAAGCCTTTTGTGGACACGATCTGGACCGCAAGGCAAGGCCTGGCAGAAGGGACAGGTGCAAGTGCAATCTGAGGACAAGCACAGAGTATGAAGCAAATTCATTATAAGATCCCACGTTTCGTACAAAAGCTCTCTGTTCGAGATATCTCAGACTGTTTGTAAGAAAAGGAAACTTCATATTATTCGTCTCATATTGTCAGTATTCGATGATATTTTGATTTCGGCCTGTCAAATGAAACAATCGTACAGATTGTCTGAAGTTTCATTCTGGGCCCCTTTATTCTCTGATTGCCGTTTTGCTGTTTGAAAATACAGTGTACCCGTTCAACGTGCGCCTTTTTCAAATAGAGTTCTGGTTGTTGTTCAAACAAAAACGCTACCTATTATTGTGCCCCCTAACCCACACACACATTCACCCTCACCCATCCTTAGACACTTGACAACATAAACCACGAACCTCTCAAACATACACGCGGCCTTACTGCGAATATCCACGAAACTATAACTGTGTCTCACAATGCCAGAGCAATCTTTATATAAGCCAAGATACTATCAGACGAAGTTTAGAAAAGTTTTTTTAGATGCAAGCAAAGTGAGCACTTACCAGAGAAACCGTTGCGGGAAATCAGTAGTATGATCAATTCGAAAAATCAGTGGGTTGAATGTTAGGAATGCATATTTAAGCAAGTAAGAACGTGCCGATTGCGTGCTCATTTCTTTTTATTTGGATAATAAGCAAAGCTAGCGAAATATCCGAAATGACACTGACAGGTTTCCAGTACTGATCAATAAATGGCGCCTTCAAACTCGCTCATTATGATGCAGAAAGTCCAGAAAAATGCACGTACTGTCCTATTGCCACTCCTTTGCCGAAGAAACGCGTCGCTTTGGTCTTGAGTCAGCCATAGTTGCAACTGTGCTTCGGCTTCGTTATGGAGAATAACAGTTGGCCGTCAGGCACAGATAATGATAGTGGCGTAAAAGAGAGTGCAAAGAATATTAGCGAAACTGCAACGTAATTTAAATCTGCTCTTCTTGTATTCTTGCCAAAGCGCTAAACGTTGTCTCTGGCAAAAGATAAAAGAAAACGGAGCCTTGCAGTAAGCGCATTTGAAAGCACTGCTATCTTTTCCGGGTGGGAGCATAGTTACTTATTATTTTTTATATTTCGTGGGCTTTTTTTATGAGCCTGAATAAATGAGCACGTAATGAGCACTTTGTGAAAAGAAATTCAGTTAGATGTTATTTGAGCATGCTTACACATGTATCACTGACATTTGCGTAAGTAGCTGAGTACTTAAGTAGAGATAAAATTAACTACGACTCTAACTCAACCTCGTTAATGATAAAAATAATAGCCCCACATTGCAGTGTACAGTGAAAATGTCTACTGTGGTTGGTTCACGTAAAGCCGGTCATCTTTTTTTACCATCGCGCTGCTTAACAGTGGGCACAATGTGTATATAGTTTAGTTGATCTAACAATACGTGCTATATGGAAATACATATTTGTTTGATGCTATCTTAGCAAACAAAACAAAGTGAGAAACGATCATAATATTTAGAAGTTGAAAACTGATGTAAGGAACAGTATCCACGAAAAATAGCAAAGCAATATCAATTCTCTGGAAACAGTCAACAGACACAAAACACTACAATGCTGCACGGCAGTGATTTGGAGCAACCCATGGATATATTCATTATTCGTAGCTTGGTACTCGTGATGAAATTTTGAGGCTTACACTCTTTGTTTTTTTTTTTTGGTTTCAGTTTATTTTCGAAGCTGTCTTGCCAGCCTATATTCCCGGAGTTATTGCAATTGACCACTTCGTGCTTAAGGACGGCTATTGTGAAAGTAGCAACGGTAAGCATGTTTTACTTTAAGAAACGAAAGCTCACAAATACGCAGCAAAGCATTTCGCGAGTGCGAAAGCATTGAAAAAGAACTATAAAGAGCCTGGAGTACAGTTTTAGAAAATCAAAACAGTTTTAGGAAATGACATCAGATTATCTGTATCACAAATACTTGTGGATGCCGCAAGTGAACCAGACGAGACGAGTTGATAACGTGCACAAGCAACGCTTCTGAAAGACGGACATAAGGGAGTTGCAAAGGAAAGCATAACACGCATTTTAAATACTGTGCAGATAAACTTCTTCGCAGTTATGCGCACCACTGTTAATTAAATGTGTTTAGAAAAAGTTATCTATGATTCAGAATACGAGGTACTCTACTATGGGATAGCACAAAGCCGTCCCGAGCCTCAGCTGAACAGTCACACTCAAACGTTGAGTGTGTTTAGAAAAAAATGTTTAATGATTTCGAGTACTTCGTACTCAACTATTGGGGAGCACTCAGTTGGGTGCCCGTATAAAAACTTTTATGAAATAGAACTCCGCTCACACTGAGCAATTATTCCTTAGCTGATTTTACCTTCCATACGCAGGTCTAAGCCACTGGTTTCGGACAAGACTGTTGAACTTCCTAGTAAACACCGTCAGAAATTTTGACATGGCTACTCAGCCAAACTTTCCCTATCATGTGTTAAAAACTAAGCTTTAGCCATTTATAAGTGCAGTACTTGCATTAGCCAAGAAATACTACTTTCGGTTGAAGCTGAAATGAGCTTGAACGTTGGCAATTCACGGGCAGCAAAACTGTGGATCTGTAAGTTGCGCCAAGCCAGCTTGTTTCCTAGGTTTTACAGACGACTCAATAGACAATTGTATCGGGTCAGTTGGTATGAATCCATCTTGGTTGGAAGCGCAGCCAATATTACACAGAACACACAACCACACACAAGCGCTTGTGTTGTGTGTTCTCTGTAATAGTGGCTGCGCTTCCTGCCAATAAAGATAACAGAGCACAGCGTTTTCGTTTTTATTAGTGCAAGTTTTCTTAAATGGTCAGTAAGCAAGCCCCAAACCAAAGAAAAAAATCACAGATTATTTACGAGGTGAATGATAACGATTGGAACGAAGCGGACACACATGGACGCACTGACGGACGCTCAGACGTATGGAAGCACGGATGAACTAACGGACGCTTCGTCCCGCTCATCATCATTCACGCCATTGATACGCTGTGGTTTTTTTTATATATATTAGCCTACTGCGATGTACCCTATGTTAGCATACCTATATTTCTATCGTCTTTTTTTACTGTAAGGTGGCTTTCTATCTTGCACAAGGTGCTCAATCAGGCTATGAATAATGCTTATGACAATGCTAACGACGACTGGGTGGCATTAACTGATCTTGGAACACGCAACTTGCTTTCCTTACGCTTAGCACCTTTAGAATGCTGCAAGGTTATTATCGCTTGTATTGTGGTTGGAAATTCAGCATCTCTTTCCTTGTGCGTAACCGTTCATTTGAACGATCAGTGCATGTGTATTTTGAATTACTTCTCGCCAGTGTGCACATTCGAGTCTGGCAACTGTGGCTGGCAGCTTCACAATTGGGAAGTCACGAAAGGTAGCAGTGCGATGGTACCTCCGTCGGATCACACCAACAAGGCGCCACACGGTGAGATACTTTGCGGTGTTTCGTGAAGCGTACTATAGCCTACATTTCTTTTTTTTTTACTGTGCAAGATTTACCCCTTCGGCCACTATTAGTAGGTATTGAAGGTGTTTACTATTTTTTTGTAAAAGATGTTTGCATTTTTGTAATATTCCTATAAAATTGTTCATAGTCACTACAGAATATAATCTATTTCGCAATAATGACAGTGCTGCCCCGCCACGGTGGTCTAGTGGGTAAGGTACTCGGCTGCTGACCCGCAGGTCGTGGGTTCGAATCCCGGCTGTGGCGGCTGCATTTCTGATGGAGGCGGAAATGTTGTAGGCCCGTGTACTCAGATTTGGGTGCACGTTAAAGAACCCCAGGTGGTCAAAATTTCCGGAGCCCTCCACTACGGCGTCTCTCATAATCATGTGGTGGTTTTGGGACGTTAAACCCCACAGATCAATCAATCAATAATGACAGTGCTAAACTAGAGATCTTTTCATACTTTATTTATCTTTTTATTATTTCTTTGGTAATACTGTCAATCCTCATGGAGGGTCATAACAGAAAGAACATATATGAAAATGTACAATGTTCATAAAGTCGCCTAATATTTTGACAACTCACATAAAACTGGTATTTTACTAATTAATAATTCAGCATTCAAATCTCAATTCAAAAACAGTTCAGAATTCACTGTCATTTTTCATACTTTTTGCTATCAACATGAAATCGCTTACATCAGTTGGCACTGAAAAAAGTTCAATTCAACAATCACGTCAATGCACTTCTTTGATTTGATTGATATGTGGGATTTAACGTCCCAAAACCACAATATGATTATGAGAGACACCGTAGTGGAGGGCTCCGGAAATTTCGACCACCTGAGGTTCTTTAACGTGCACCCAAAACTGAGCACACGGGCGTACAACATCTCCGCCTCCATCGGAAATGCAGTCAACACAGCCAGGATTTCATCCCGCGACCTGCGGGTCAGCAGCCGAGTACCTTAGCCACTAGACCACCGTGGCGGGGCAATGCGCTTCTTGGGCATTTTCAAAGTCCGTAATATTTTTCAAAACAACATATCATTCGGCAGTTTCTTCCAAATTCTTATGGGCGAAAAAAGAATATCAAAACGTGTCAGTATTTGTTCGGTATGTATGGTTTTATGACGCAATCATGGTTAGTTCGGAGGTTTCTTTTGCCTGGAGCGTGTAAATATTTGAGCTATTCAATCTTAAGTTGATTGTGCATTATTTAGAACAATACTTTCAGCCAATAATTATTTCTACATAGTTCGAAAGGATCTAGGTTGCATCTCCGTAACATCAGTGTGACTGATTCCTTCCTTCGGTACGTTGAACAAATGAAGCGCGCCGCTTGTCTCTTTATCTGTTCTAGCTTCTTGTCAAAAATAACTTGATGGGGACTCCAAACAACGAATGAATATTCTAGTACTATGTTAATGAAGGTGGTGTATGCAATATGTTTTACGTCACACGATGCATCTTGAAGTTTGCTTCTCAATAGATATAACTTTTGATATGTTTTTGTGCAAACTTTTATTTGTATGCTCGTTCCACGTTAATGTTTGCGTAATTGTTACTCCGAAGTACTTGAACTGGGTCGTATTTACCAACAATTGTTCACCAATGCTGTGCAAAAAAGGAATGAAGTGTTCTAGTTTTGCTAAAGCGTGTATATGTAGATTTAGAATAAATTATCGCCATTTTTCATTTTATACGCCAGTTATCCTAATTTCGTGAAGTCTGAATTTTGACTTGGTCGTCTAGTTTGGTAATTGCGCCATAGATTAAGCAGTCATTTCCGAAAAGTTTAACATGAACACTCTTTTCTGCATTGAGGAAATGCGTAACATTTCCGCAACAAAACCACTACTATAATACCGAAAATTTGTTTCAATCACACAAACATTTTATTTCGTTGCTCTAGGTCGATAGTTCAAGACAGCTTATTGTTACTTTTTTAACATTACCTTCTCTTGTTATTCATATTTTGATTATTACGATGAATGTCTTGTACCGATGCTGAGCTCCGACAGAAAACGTCATATTGCTTTTTTTTATGTGGTCCGCGTGCTGTGTCGCGTAGAAGTAATGGTCAAGTAGGTTAACACCATTAGCAAAACAATAATTTGCATGCTTCCAGGGAGCTTCGCTTTGGCCACGTCCTCCGGGGGCCGCTTGGTGAGTCCAGCTGGCTTCCACAAGGCCTCACAACACAAGTGCCTTCGATTCTGGTTCTTCATTGCTGGACTAACAGCAGAAGCCCTCAACGTCACTAACGTAATCGACGACCAGCGAGAGGAGCATCTCTGGTATGCAAGCAAGTCGCACGCTCCGTCTGATAAATGGTACTCGGCTGCTGTAGACATCACCAGCCTCCAAGAAGATGCCACGGTGAGGGGAAGTTTGATCTCGCACTATTACAAATTGCAAAAAGATGAAGAGCAACCTTTTAGGTAGCACAATTGGCATCAAAGGCGAAAGGGAATGTCAGTGGTTCGCAGCTGTCGATGTGTTTAGAGACTCCCTGTGAAGTGGTTGAAGTGATGATGGACTTTTTGGTGCGACGAACCGGAGAAGGGGTGGCCGCGAGATGCGCTCCCTACCGTATTTATAGGAAGACAGGGCATGCTAAGAAAATGCACTTCAATTGTGGCGGGTGCAACGTGCTTTGAATGGAGGCATAGTGGATGCTTAGTTTTTAAATTGAGGAATAGGGGCAGCTGAGCCTATCATGCTGGCAATGTTAATGCAGTGCCTGGAGCAGGGCGTCGAGCAGGAAACTTGAGAAAACTATCCACCAAAGCGTTTTTTTTTTCGTGGCTGATGATGCCGTGGTACACCTTATATGGATCCGCGGAATTACACGTTTGCTTCAATGAAGTACTCATTGAAATATTGGCATGTTCACACCCTGCCCTGTCGCAGAGTGATAAGTTCTTATTGTTTGAAGGATATGCAGAGTATAATCTCATGACCTGAGTAAAAGAGACAAAATAATGCTTTATTTAGGCACGTCTACATATGTTACACTTGTATCCAAGTTTTTTTTTTTTTTGGTTTCTTGATGGCGTGATGGTAACAAAGCCTTTTTGCGGTTGAGCAGCCCCTTCTGCGGGGAGAGACGTTTAGAGAAAAACAGATGGTCTTGATTGGATACAAGTGAAAGAAGGGTTGCCAAAACGAAAGTGTCAAAGAAAGATTACAAGAGGGCTGCTTTTACGAATCCCTTTGAGTCTATATAGAAATGCGCTTTTGTACCTACGTAAATATGGAATGTAAGCGCATTGTTCGCTAATCGAGCTGCGCCTTCCAAAACAACGACATCCACAACCTAACGATTACACTAAAGTAACTGCTTGCTGCTTTTATGCACAACCAAGTTTTTTTCCAAGCGGTGGGAGAGAGAGAGAGAGAGAGAGAGAGTGAGAATTTATTAGAAGGCAGAGAGGTCGGCCTGTGCAAGTTCGCTCTAGCCTGCTACTCTGCACAGGGGATAAGGGAAGGGGGAATGAAAGAGGGATGAAGGATGATAATGGGGACAAGAAGAGGTGGTGCGTATGTACAGTAGCCACTTAGCGTAGTATCCTACCGTCTAGTATCTAGTCGAGCGCTTTTTATAAAGTCTAAAACAGCCTTTGTAGCAGTTTTTAACACTGTTTGGTCGTTCATTCCTGACAATATGTGAATGTCACTTAATGGCGTTCGTCCGATGCTTGCCAAAGTTGTAGTTCGCATTTTTCTTTGCGCCAGGTATAATGCACAGTCACAAAATGTGTGAGCTAAAGTTTCGCGCACTTGGCAGTGCTCACAATTCGGGCTGTCCGCACGGCCGATTAGAAGGGTGTAGTGGCGAGTGAAGGCGACGCCTAGGCGAATCCGGTGCAGTATATTAGCATGTCTTCAACTGCAAGTGTTGGAGTGTGAATGTAAATATACGTGGAGATGCATAAAATTGTCACCCCACCTGTCTTGGAAAAGTGACTGAACAATTGAAACATATCGTCAAAAAAATAAGAATTTATGTTAAGTTACAGTGACTTGTTGCAAACTTGCATTTTTCAGTACCGCGTACTTCGGTAGATTAAGAGTGATTAATGCTAGTAATAAAATCTGAAAACTTGGAAGCGCAAGAATAATGAGGACAGGTAGGAACACAGGCTAGAAGTGGTGCCGCATGTGCAGGAAGTGGCACCCACTTTAAAATATGTGGCTAATAGGTATACTGTAGAGTGTCAAGTTTTATTAAAGGGAACATGGTAGCGGGTGGCCTTCGCACTCCGGCAGCTGCTGCCAGTGCGTTCAAAGGGAGCGAGAGCCACCCATTCTCTTTTCGTTTCATCTCGCGGTGAGGAAAGCAAGCAGTAATTGCTGAATGATTATATGGAATCGCAGATAAGATCGCCACCCCCTCCTTCGTCAAATCGATTACGCAAGAGCTGATAATTGCCAAGAAGGGTGCGGGGGGTTCCCATTTTGCTGGTGGTTCCATGTCAGCCATGAATGGTTGTTTTGCTTACTGCAAGATGACGCGAGAAGAGACTGTGGTTGCTCTAGCTCCCGCTTGAGCAAGCTGCCAGCAGCCGCAGGAGCGCGCAGTCTGCGCTCCCGTGTTCCCTTTCATAAAAAATTGACACTGTACCTCTAGCTTTCCCTGCGCCACAGAAACTGACTGGGCTTTTCTCTCGCGTGTCAGGACCACTTAAAAGATCACGGTGTGAAAAAAAAAGCGCGTACGACGCTACATCACATGAGCTGTGGACGTTGCGTACGAAATCCCGCTCGCTTTCAGGAACGTTTATATAGGACAGACTGGTGAGTGTGTCAAAGATCAGGCACGGGAGCATGAGCTATCTGTTAAAAATAATTTGACGTTTCGTCTGCTTATGTATTGCAAGACCTGTGCATTCGAACCAGCTCTGTCTAGCATTTGAATTAGAGGCACAAGTGGAAATGCTCTGGCGAAAGAACTATTGGAGGCTTAGCACATCAAAAAGAAAGAAATTGACGGTGTTAGTGACATTTCTGTTGTGCAGCGCCAAAGAAAAAAACTGCTATTAGAAATTTGGTTGGGATATATGTTGTTCTGCCAATCCTGATTAGCTTTGTATATGTGGTCTGTGTTGCGCCAGCGAGCGCCAACTAGTGTATATATATTTAGAAAAATTTCTGAATAGAGCTTAGTTGCAAACTTGCGCCCTCTCCTTTCTATCTGTGTTAGCACCATTTCGCTGGTATATTGGATAAGGCATTCGACCCGCAGGTCGTGGGATTGAATCCCGACGGCGGCTGCTGCATTTTTGATGGAAGCGAAAATGCTGCAAGCCCATGTGCTCTGATTTAGATGCACGTTAAAGAACCCCAGGTGGTCAAAATTTCCGGAGCCCTCTACTACGGTGTCTCTCAAAATCATATGGTGCTTTTCGGACGTTAAACCCCATATATAAATCAATGTCTATCTGTGTTATTTTCAGTCCTCGTCAACTTAGCACTTTCAAGTTTTAGAAATATGAACCAACTAGCCGTGCAACGCATTTTTGAGTATTGAAAGAAGTTCTAACTTTTGCTACGTAATGGGGCTAAGACAAGCTTACAAAACGTGTATATAGTCGCTTACAAGCTAAGAATAGGTACATGCTCCACCCCCAGTACTGTAGCACGCTTGTCATTTATCTATGCGACGAAACAATGACTGGGGATTTCCGTTCTATTCATAGGCATATTTTCACCGATAGTGCGAATACTACGCATTTTGTGAATTGAATGTGCATCGTTCGTTGTTAAAACATTACGCTTCACAGAGGACTGCAGTGGGCATTTTTTTTCTAAAATTTGCTTAGTAAAATTTTTGACCGAGAACAAGCGGAACGAACACGTACGGGCAAGTGATACCCCTGAAATCTGTGCAATAAGCCTGACTTCCAGTAAATGCCCTTCTAAAAGTCAGTGAGTAAACTGTTCATGTAGTCAAACACGAGGCTTGTTTGGCCTGAGACGGTTTATAGCTCTCCCATATAGTACGGCACTTTTAGCACTGTAAAGCATTCACAGTTTGTTATAAACAAGTTTATGCAAATTTTGCCTTGGTGGGATAGTGACAATGTAGGCCGAACTTATATTTATTCTTAGGATATAACTGACTACAGAAGTGTTTTTCGTAATTAAAATTTGGGTATGCCACTTGGTTATACATATTTCCGAGGCACAGTCTTTAGTATACTATTTGGTATGTACAACACTGATTTCTCGGCTTTCTCTGCTGTTTAGCTTGTTTTCGAAGGATCCACTTCTGGTGACCCTGGCACTGCCGTTGCCGTGGATGACATCAGCCTTGGCTACAAGGCCTGTCTTCCACCTGGCAGCTGTTCTTTCGAAGAGGACATGTGCAACTGGCAAAATGTCGAAGGTCGCAAGTATGCGTCGTGGTACAGAAACCAAGGACCAACTTCCAATTTACGCAATGGCCTCAAGGGAGACCACACGCTCGGAACAGATGAAGGTCAGCCATTTAGTGTTAGCTTTTAGCACTACGCAACTGCACAGCATTTACTCGTTATCCACGGGTCTTGACCGGGAGCCTAATAAAACTATTCAGAGGCGCTGTTAGTTTTGCAACATAAAACCTAGCCGGACTACCGAAAAAGCTACCATTATGAGGACTACCAGCCCACTTTATTGGGACGTCTACTAGTTGGCTCCCTTTGGGAGTATTTCCAGGAATTTGTGAGTTTAGAAAACTGTTTAACAATTTAGAGTACCGGGTACTCTACTGTGGGAGAGCCGAAAACAGTCCCGTAGGGGAAGTCTCGCCCAATGTGAAAATCAACTCAAGGTAGTGTTGCTGTCGTAATTGAACAAACATCGGGCCCAGATACTCGGTGGTTGTGCTTGTAAAATGTGAAACAGCTACATCAGTGGCTTAAGCTTAAAGAGGGAAGAAACGTTAGCATTCTGATGAGAACGCCGTGTTTTAAGCGCTGCCTCCTGGAATTTTGTGCGCAGTAAACCAAAGCAGTTATTCACAATCTCAAAAGAAGACAATGTTTTCAGGTAAGTGACAAGGAAGTAAAAATGTCAAAGGAATACGTTTACTTATGTCAGGTAGGGTTCACAGATCCAAACCATGAGACTGAAATATAAGTATAGAAATAAAACTGGAATGAAGCGCCCTAGGCCGGTATTTTGAGTTCATGAACGGTGGGTGTAACTTTGAGGTACAAGAAAAACCACGACACCTGTGCGGAATGTGCAGCATTGTCACAGCGAAAGTGGGAAGAGTGGCCATTCTAGACCCTTATTTACACCTTGTTTCACACCAACAGGATGCAAACTACACTATAGTTAGATATTTTTTGTGTAGTAGGCAGGCAACCACGATGCCGGTCTTCCGCATTTTTTTTGGAGAAGCATATTACCCGCTGCTCACTTGCAAGGAATTATTTTAAGAATTTTATGCCATGACTGTCGCCGATGAAAAATTGGGTCTAATAGTATTGTAATGAGTTGGCGCTTTTGACGAACCACTCGTTACGCAACTCGCATCTTGTGACGCCATGTTGTTCAATTGCTGTTCTAATACAATTTATTACAACAATTAACGAGATTCCCAGGCATAAAGCCTTCCTAAGGTCAGTTTGCAACAAAGCTTCAAGCACAAGCGGAGCTCATTGACAGAATATTGGACTAGCACGCACGAGACCTGAGTTGAAATCCCAGCCTGTCTTCTATGTTTATGGACTCAAACAGTGGTGGAAGATAACTGCTGCGCAACGACACGACCCTTGTCGTGATCTCATAGCAGCTTTTGCTGTAAAAGGGCAGATTAACTCATGCAACAAGCTGGCGTGTTAAGTACATTTGAGCTGAAATGAAGGAGTGAAGCGCATGGGCATGGCATGCATCGTGACGGCTAGATAAAAAGTGTTCATTAAAAGTAGCAGACCGAATTTCGAGAGAGGGCAATGGTGCGAGGGGGAGGCGTATTGTTACGTGTGTAGATGAAATGTAGACGTCTGCAGGGATAACATGACCGCAGCACACAGAAGACAGGATAAATTGTTGAAACATGGGCGAAGTCTTTGCCCTGTAAGGACAGTAAGGTGTGCAATCAGGCAAATAATATTGCAGCTCGAAGCACAAGCTAAGGACGTCCTCACGTATGCTGAAAGGCGAAACGCAATGCGCCCAATCCCGCTTATCACTTTCTTTTATAGTCAATGGCTTTCCAAAGCTGTTCACTATAGTGCTATACCCCTGTAGTCTTACGATCATCATGGTACTGTTGACGTGACAGCTCTCATTCTGAAATCACCGGCAGGTTAGCTAAGTTTAATCGAATCAGTTCCCCAGTTGGTCGAGAATTGCGTGTCATTGAATCTCGGCGCTCTCACTCACTTTGGATTCCGCGCACAATTTTTGACACTGTGCTCAGCTAAACGTGACGTTATGTTGTAATTTACGCGTTTCAACTCTTACATCCCGCCATAGTTCTATGGATCATAATGCAAGCCTCAGTGAGTTTTACTCGCTCTATATCGTGCTGCTTCACCAAAGGAATCAAGTTGCAATAGCCTGACGGGAACCAATTCCTCACAGAGTTTGCAGTAGTAGTACCAAACATTTATTTAAAACAAACAGAGGTTGCCAGCAAGACCAGCCTTTATAGTGAGTCAGCCTCCCTGGAGTACTAGGTGGAGTCCCTAGTCAAGGACCCCATTGGTCGTGGCCGCTGTCCTTGGCTCGCTCGACCATGACTTGTTGGGCCGCAAGGTCCTGGCAACCAAGCAGGGCCATCTCCTAGTTCTATCTTGTTGGATTTGGGTTCTGGGATAAAGAAGGATTGAGATGCAATGCCCATACCATGTGGTAGGTGTCAGCCACCTCCACACAGTACTGGCGGAGGCCGGAAAAAAGAAGAGTCAAAGTGTTTAAGCACTGCTGGGCTCAGTAAAGTATTGATAAATAGCAGTAGAAGAATTCTCTCGTCCGCCTTCCTGAGCTTTTGACAGGGTGGAGGAAAACGGTGGCGGGAGTCCCGATAAGGGTAATTATCTATCTCTAAGTTAGGAGAGGAACGTTCTCTTCTGGAACACAGGGTCATCTGTGGGTGATGCCGTGGCTCAGGGAATGAGTGCGCAGGCGTTTGCAGGCGCATGCGTAAGCAACTCGACTTGTTGGTTTTTAACATCCCTCGGATTATTCTGCTACTGACTGTGACGACCTGTTCATAGAATACTGAGGCTCAGAAGGAACACGATGCTATAAACATATCAATGTGGAGTGGTCCTGCGGCTCCCGTGCACCAGAGAGGGCTTGGAAAGAAGTACGCTTGAAAATGCAGGCCTAGATGCATTTGGTGCTCCTCTGCGATTATGACTAACGTTACTTGTTTACGTAAAACGAAGTGAGTTCATGTTCTCCTTACTACTTTGATAATGAAGTGTTCTGAATAAATGCTTTAATATATACTTGCTAAGATGGTATATGAGACAATTTCCAATAAAATCAGCCGTCCTTATTATAAATGTATCAAAGGCAACGCAGTTGATTGCATCTTATTAGATGCCTTACTTTATCTTGCTGGATAGAAGCGTGCCTTGTTTACGCAAACTGGTGACAATACCTGCGCGACTGCAGCTGCACAAGGTAAACAAATAAGATGCGCTCAGCTATAAAGTCAGAAGCAATGGCAAAGGCTATCGTAGAAGCCAGAAATTACCACAGCTATAAAGAGCAGAGCACATGTAATATTTTTGAATAACATGTTTTTATTATCTATTTATTTTCTTATTGATTTTATGCTGAACTGAATGGGGTTCAGTTGAAATTGAGGACGACGCAGCGAGTGATAAAGAGAAAATAATAGGTGTAACCTTTAGAGACGTGAAGAGAGCAGGCTGGATCAGGGCACAAACCAGGGTTAAGAATATATCAGAGTGGAAATCAAGAAGAAAGGGACATGGGCTGGGCACGTAGCACGCAGGCAGAATAACCGCTGATCGTTAAGGCCAGCTGACTGCATTCCTAGAGAAGGGAAACGCACGAAAGGATGACAGAAAGTTAGGTGGGTTCATGAGATTAAAAAGTTCGTTGGTATAACATGGCAGCAGAATGCTCAAGACTGGGTTGCTTGGCGGAACATGGGAGAGGCCTGTGTCCTGCAGTGAACATAGTAAGGGGCTGGTGATAATGATGAAGAAGATGCTTTATGTTATTTAACTCTCTTGGACGAATAGCATTTTAAAGAAGCGTGGGTTGTCTTAATAAAATATTCTAACAGAAAGGATTGAGTACATTCAAGTCACACAGGTAAATGTAAAGTTGCCGTCCGAAACAGTGAGTTATGCCTTATCGTTCGAAGGGCACTTATGCTCTTTATATGCATGGAAGCTTTCATCATCTTCTCAACATGTAGTCGTGAGATTACAATGGAGACATTAATAACATATAAATAAAGTAGCAATGACCGCTAAATTTTATGCTTATATGCAGTGGCGAAGGACAGTTCGTGGTGGTTTCAAAGTAATCTAGCTAGTGGTTGTATGAAGCTCGTTAAGGCGTCAAACATGCATTACTACTTCATAGGCTTCACGTTTGCCTGAGAGCCGTAACACTAACGTAGATGCATTAAAATTTTTCTCTTAAAATTTTCTCTTTTGAATTAACAAAATATTTGCCGCAATTCTTCGTTATTCCTTTTCTAGTACGCAGTCACGATAATTATGTTTAACCTCTGTAAAAAATAGCGAAGATGTAACCGTGAAATAAGTTTTCTGATTTGTTCTTTTTCAGGATATTACTTACTTCTGGACCGTAGCGACCTTTCTGAAACCGGAACGGCTATCCTCGAAAGTGAGACGTTATCCATTGGTCCTGTTGCCTGCGTCAAGCTCTACTACTACATAAAGCAAAATAGTAAGCCATATACTGTTTATCTATATTGCAGATTTGCGCGAGTTCAAAATATTATTTTTTGTTTCGCTTCTTTACCAATATTCTTTTTTAAATACAGAGGATGTAATAGGGAGCACTTAGCAGATACAACAAGCGTACTGTGTAACAGTTAAAATGTAACGTATTTAGGAAAAAATGTTCCATTATTGACGAACCTATAGGTAGTGCTATCTTCTGAGGAAATTGTTTTTATGCAAGAGGCATCGATACAAGTTGACACCTGTGTTATTAGTCATTAGGTCACATAGCCAACGCACTATACTGCAATTGACGACACACGCCATTTAAGAGGGGAACAGGTGGCGAAGCCGTTATATACCACTCTAAATGGCACATGCTGCACGAAACACTTGTATACGACAAGATAAATTCCGCAAGGAAGCAAATCCCAAATTTTCTATTTATCAATATAAAGTGGTGATATATATATATATATATATATATATATATATATATATATATATATATATATATATATATATATATATATATATATATATATATATATATATAATATATATAATAATATATAATAATTATATATAATATATAATAATATATATAATATATAATATATTATATATATATAAGTTCTTCTAAAATATTGCTTGATAATGTTATGTAAATCAGGTTTGCACTGACTGAAACAACAGATATATGCGTGTTATACATGTAATTGCAGCTTTACAAGAGTGGAGGCTTCCTTAGTAGTATACACTTTTATCATTCAATAAAATTTTTGAAATATTAAAAGGTGCTTACTAAGAATTGGGTTTTTAAATACGAAAAAATCCTTAGGGAACCCAAAACACTTTGAGCGTTTCTCTCTACTTTTCTACCTATCTAGCCACCTGTGTCTTGGTGCTTTTGTAGTGGCTTCATTACCTTATTATAGACAAAAATCAGCAACAAAAGGACGGATGGACGGAATGACGGATGATTCACGGTTTACCAATAAAACCCTCCGAAGCTTCGCCCAACTCATCATCATTCACTCTATGGATATGCCGTGATTTTTTTTCAACGAATGACTGGTGGTATACCCTTTCGTTGTAACTATTACATTTTAATTTCAGGCTTGTATGCATTATAATTTGCCTTCTTTGCTAATACTGCAGTCAGTCTTCTTGGCACGTGATCACATTTTTACGGCTGATATATTATTCTTGCTATTAACTTGCCAACCTTTTTCTTCAAAATATCACAGCATATTTACGGAGTCAATGATGATGAGTGGGGCAAAGCTTCTGGGTATTTATTGGCAAACCATGAGTCATCTATCCATCCGTCCGTTCGTCCGTCCGTTCGTCCGTCCGTCCGTCCGTCTGTCTGTCTGTCTGTCTGTCTGTCTGTCTGTCTGTCTGTCTGTCTGTCTGTCTCTCCGCACTTGCTAAGTGAGTCATCAAACTAGGCAGTCACGTACCACGAGCTAGGAGGGAAGAGACCCACGGCTTTAGAAGCTTTGCGTCTGAGTTCAAATTTGGCGGACCCTGATGCTACGCTTTTAAGAGTTGAACGAGATAGATATATCTTGTCCCTAGTGCGTAGAGTTCAAAATGGCTTGTGTCAGAGGACCTTTCGCATACGTAGGCATTCTGAGAGAGTAGCATGCTTTAAACCATTGGAATTAGTGCGCGTAAATTTTTTTGAGCTTGGTATGTAACCACTGCTTGGCGTTAAGAAAAAATTCTCAGTAGAGTGTGAGCCTTCTGTAGTGGGTGGCCCGCTCTAAGCCACAAATGCATGATAATCACATATTCTGACGCCCGATCGCAAAACGATTGTGTCACGCATTAAAACGGCGATAATACATGTTGCATTGTGAAGCTTGTATACAGGACACGTGTGTTTGTTAAGCACAAGTTACTTACACTGCATTTGCAAGCATAGGAAGTTATTTTCACTTTAATTCCAAGCCGATGCGTGGCTCTTTAGTAGAACACCTGCTAGCGACTCAATAAATCCTCGCCCCAGCTCATACTTTTTAAACATTTAGTTTATTGGCGTCTTTCTCATTTTTTTTTGGTCACGCACGAGTTGATATTTTTTCACTTACAACCGACAACGCCGCTGCTGACATCGACGTCGACACCGAAATTCGTGGGAAATGAGCTTGTTACTAATCTTGCAAATACCGAAAATTCCGCCAGAACGAGACCCTTCCTCCGAATGAAGGAAACTGTATGTTTAAGGGCTTTTTCAGAAGAAATATTACGAACTAGCAGACAAAAATGCCAGTGAAAGTGCACGGGGTGTTATTAGAAGTAATATGACTGTAAAGGTGGAACAACGAAAGTAGACAAAAACGTAACTTGCCATCGGCATAATCTGAACTTGCGATATCAAGGCATACTCAATGCCATCAGCCCTATTGAACTACATCAGTATATCTTGTGCACGAGTATAATTTTCAAGTTTTTGTCTTCTCTTCACATCGTAAGAAAGTGGAATAAATCTTTCTGTTTACAAAATTGGAAATTCGGTGAGATGAATTATAGTTTTGGGGAAGTTTAGAATACAAAACAAAATATTGACAGGAACGAGAGACATACATGAAAGCAGCTCCTACCCCTCTCTCTTTATCTTGTGACTGTGTCCATTTTCGCTTTATTGTTTAAAATTCATTGCTGCTTTCCGCCTCATTTAGATACTTCCGAACTATTTATGTTGTTTATTTTCACTCTGTTTGTTTGTTCTCGCTTTTTTTCCTCTACCAGTGCTTAGATCTGCAAAAGGTTCGGAGCTGACGAACATCCTGAAAGCCACTTTATGCTAACGCCTGATGGCGGCCTCGCGTATAGGGCGGGAAGGCATCCATCCAGTTCTGAGTGACTGTGCGGCATGATGATATTCCGCACACAAGCAAGCAGGTGGAAGGAGATGTACGCGCATATTCCACTTATACCTCGCATACAAGGAAACAGATGTGCAAGGACTTGCTCAGCTGAAAACAGCGATGACGTCTGTAAGACTTGTTTTCATAGAGCCTTAGATGTAAGAACACTGCGAAATTTTGAAGAGCTTATGAAAACTCTGCACGAGTGCTGCGACAAATACATCAGCATTCTCAGCTTCTAGGTACTGCAGCGGAACTATTTCAGAGAGTTTCCGTGAAATTTTCCATTCCTCTAATGAAGTCAAAAAGTCAAAAGCGCCTATGATATTTTCTTTGTTAGTATCATTTGTGTGTGTGTGTATAAAAAACCTAAGCAACACGTGACACCAGATACAAAGGTAAGCAGTGCGCTTGTGCAAACCATGTTGTTTGCTGTTTTCGGGAAAGGGATAAGGCAGCACCATTTGAATATAGGTGCCGATGAGTACCGAAATGTGTAAATTATATTCCTATGACATATTTCTTCCTGTGGTCATGGTCCCAAAATATACAAAATTTGTTTCATGTTTTCTCGGTGTTATATTATTTGGTACGTTTTTCTCCCAATGAACCAATGTCACTTTTGGTGCTTTCCTTAAGGATTTCTGCAAATTGCTATGTATTGCCTGCAAGTACATCACTTACCACCATGCTCTTCGTAATATGAATACGTTATGAATCTTTCAGCGGATACAAAATTGAGTGTCGTATTCGCTGACATACTGGGGAAGCAGATAGGATTGGCCACCACTGTGTCCGCCACAGGTCCCAGCAAATGGACTCAGCTGTCAGTAGAAGGAACCAACCTTCCCAGTGCCTATATCGTAAGTATTCGGTTGGGGACTATTCGGTTAGGTAATTTTAGTTTGCTTGTAATACTGAGTGAGCCATTTCCAAAGATCACATGTTTATTGCAGAATTTTTAACTGCCGATATTCTTTTTTCTTCGGTGCCAATGTTCTCCCGTTCATGAGGGACTAACTATAGCACAAGTCATTTTTTACAGACAAACATTTAACAGGAAGCAAGGAAAATAGAGAGAAAAGAAAGGCAAGGAGGTTAACCAGCCTATAGGCAGCCGGTTTGCTACCCTACGCATGGGAGAGGGATGGGGGAAATGGAGGAGAGCAGAGAGGGAAGAGAGAAACAGCTAATTCGGCAGCACACGCGCGCACACTCAGTCATAGCCCAGTCTTGTCTTTCGCGGTGTGTGACATTGCTGTTACAGTCGCTTGTTCAAGTCGGGGTCGCGTAGGAATTTCAACAGAGCTTTCGTCGCCTTCTGTTGCAATGTCTTCTCTCGGGCACTTGACAGAATAGTGTCCACAGACATTTGGCTGTTGTCGATGCGCGCAAAAGCAGACGCCAGTGACTGTCTCTGGATTTCATACAACGGACAGTCACACAGGATGTGGTGTAGCATCTCTTCGCAATGACAGGCATCGCAGAGAGCGTGGTCGGCCATTATTATGACAAAGAAGAAAGATTTTGTAAGTGCCACTCTTAGCCATAAGCGATGAAGAAGGGTGGCTTCTCTTCGGTCGAGTCCAGTGGGCATGCGGAGAGCCATCAAAGAGGACAGGTGGTGTTGACGATTCGTATCGATGCTTGGTGGGCACCATTGTGAAAACGTGATTTCACGCGCAAGTCGTCGAAGATTACTGGCAGCATCGGTCCTCTTAAGTGGTATGTCTTCTTCTCGTGTTCCTTCAAGGGCTGCCCGCGCGGCAGTATCGGCATGTTCGTTCCCTATGATGCCGCAGTGACTTGGCAGTCATCGAAGCGTCACATGATGCCCTTTATCGAGTAAAGTGTGGAGAAGGCACCGAATTTCGAAAACAAGCTGTTCGTATGGGCCGCGACGCAGTGCTGATAGCACAGATTGTAGGGCAGCCCTTGAGTTGCTGAAAATCGACCATTGTTGCGGTGGTTTCCGATTGACCACACAAAATGCAGCGCGTAAAGCAGCTAGTTCCGCTGCTGTAGATGCCGTGGAGTGGTCAGTCCTAAAGCTAATGGTAACACCTCTTGCTGGGATAACTACTGCCCCTGACGAACACTGGTGGTTCGTGGAACCATCGGTGTATACATGTATGCTGTCTGAATATTTCTCGTGCAAAAGAAGAAGAGACAGTTGTTTCAGCACTGGCGACGAAAGCTCAGATTTCCTCCAGATCCCTGGTACACTAGATGCACTGTGGGTCGAATAAGACACCAAGGTGGTATGGATGGTTTAGATGCAGGAGTGAAGCCCAAGGGAAGTTTATCTTTGTATTTCACAATCATTTTGGCGAACGATGCTTGGCGCCTCTCTGAAGGCCACAGTGCAATATGATGGCAGGGAGCACGGGCGAAGTGTCTGATGTGCGTTTTCAGGACTTCTACAACAATGTGAGTTTGTATCGGATAGTCACCAGCAATTGAAATTGTTGCTTCTGTTAACGTACATCTGGGCAGACTGAGGCACACTCTCAGCGCTTGGGCTTGTACTGCCTGTAAAACACGAACATTGGTCTTGCAGGCATTGCTAAGCACGGACAAGCTATATCTGAGGAAACTGAGAAACAGGGCCCTGTAGAGCTCCATCATTGCGTCTACTGACATCCCCCCCCCGTCTTTCCTGCCAGGAACTCGAACAGTTGGGAAATAGCGGTCAGGCGCTTCTTCATATAGGTCACATGCGGACTCCAACAGAGGTCCCTATCAATAATGATGCCCAGAAACCGGTGGGTTTTGGCGTAAGAAATCGGTCGCCCGCAGATTGAGATGACATAAGGGGTCATTGCTTTGCGAGTGAAAGCCACCAGCACGCATTTTTCGGGTGATATGCTGAGACCTTGTTTGAACAAGTAGGTGGCAATCATACTTGCTGCTTTTTAAAGCCGGGAACGTATCTTAGGACGTGTGACTGCCGATGTCCAGACACAGATGTCGTCTGCGTATATTGAGATTTTAATGGTGCTTGGCAAGTATTCAGCAAGGCTAATTAGAGCAAGATTGAATAGCGTCGGGCTAAGAACTCAGCCTTGAGGAACACCCCTAGAAGTATAGCGTCGCGTAGTTGGGCCATCTTCTGTTAATACAAAGAATAATCTTGCAGACAAGTAACTCGAAATCCACCGAAAGACTCGACCACCAAGGCCAACCACCACAAAAGCACGCAAAATGGCTTCATGTAGTACATTATCATAAGCGCCTTTCACATCTAGAAACACAGCTGCAGGTGGTCGCTTACGGGATATTTCGTGCTGAACGTACGAAACTAGATCAACGACATTGTCAATAGAAGAGCAGCCGCGTCGGAAACCAGCCATTGAATTTGGATAAATATTGTAGTATTCAAGATACCACTTCAGGCGGCCTAGTAACATCCGTTCTATTATCTTCCCTACGCAGCTGGCCAGTGCTATTGGGTGGTATGAGGTGAGTTCGAGTGGGGATTTGCCCTGCTTCAAGATGGGTAACAAGCGGCTTACTTTCCAGTCATCAGGAACATTGCCATCCTGCCACGAGATGTTGTAGAGGCTCAACAGTTCTCTTCTTGCACCTTCCCCAAGGTTGCACAAGGCTCGGTACGGAATACCATCTGGGCCCGGAGAATTTGAACGCCTGCAGAGAGCTAGTGCCGCCTCGAGCTCCTCTATTGTAAAAAGGAGGTCCATGTGGTAGTCACGGGAATGGGGGACGTCACCTCTCACTGGAGAATCTGGACGAGTAGTTTGGTTGGCGATCTGCACACAGAAATCTTCTGCGACATCGATGTCTTGCCTCCTTTAAAATAGCGCGAGCGCTTTGAATGGAAAGCGCTGTTCCTTAGGGTGACGCAGACCTTGCACAGTTTTCCAAATGTGTGAGAGTGGCTTGCGAGGGTCTAGTGACTGGCAAAACGCTGTCCATCGTTCCGATGCTAATCTATCCATGCGACGCCGAATCTTCTTTTGCATCTTCCTGGCTGCCCTAAGATCGTGAATTGATTTTGTACGCCGATACCGACGCTCCGCCCGGCGTCGCAGTGCTCGGAGTCGCTCCAACTCTATATCAAAGTCGTTTCGTGTGGAAGATATGGTCACCGTGCGAGTGGCGTTTTGCATTGTGCTCTTAATTGTTTCCTCTAACCCAGATCGTAGGAAATCGCTGCAAGCATCTTCCATTTCAGATTAGAAGTTGGTCCATTGGACTGCTCGAATGGTCGTCCGTGGACCATAACTAGACAAGCCTTTGATGTTAAGGTAGATTGGAATGTGATCACTTTCTCGTGTCTCAACATCTGGAAACCACTTGACGTATCTCGCGAGGGAGTTGGAGACAAAGGCAAGGTCGAGACAGCTGCCGTATGTCACCCCTTGAGGAAAAGTTGGGCTGCCGTCGTTCAGGAGAGTAAGGCCATAGTTGTAGGCAATGTTTGCTAATGTCACACAGGTCCTGTTAATTCGGGAGGCGATCGCCGGGCTTATTCCAAGGGCCGAAGTATCGGCCCCGCGAACCGCACCACGAAAGCGTGGACAATTTAGAAGTGGTCCTTTTTGGCGCGCCAGCGGACGCCGGCTGTGGCCCAAAGAACAAGTAAGAGCCGAGAGTTGATAAACAAAACAGAATTATGCTCTCAATAATGGCAGATCAAAAACAATACACAAGTATGCACACTCCACAATAGTTGAATACAATATGTCACCCACCAAACAACGTACTACACAGTACAATCAGCCACACTCGAAACAACGGACACAGACAACAATACGCACTACAATGCAGTCGCATGCATTGAACAACCAAGACACTTAAAGACTAAAGAGATAGAAAACCTATTCAGTCCATAGTTCTTGGAACAAAAGTCTAGATGATACTCTTCCGAGAATCAGTCACTCAAAGTCCAGCGTTGTTGTCGTTCCGCTGCCCCCGAAGTTTCTCTTCCAGGAAACCTCGCCGAAGTTTCTCTTCCAGGAAACCTCACATCTTCAATAGGTCACTCTCCAAGATTCAAACTTCTTCGCCGGAAACACGTCGGCTTCACACACGCAGCTGCGCCACGCGTCTTCGCTCGATAGCGGTAAACACACACTCTTGCTTGTAGCTCGAGTCGTCACCCCTAAGGTGGAAATCATCTTCTTCTCCCGCTTTGTCTCTACGCACAAAATCTTCGCCGACTACACGGCGGTATACCCTACGTGCTCTGGCGCTAACTTCCGTCTTCTGATCTTTCGTCTCGGCTGCTCGATTAAATACCTTCCGCGCAAGATTTCAGAAAGTTCTCATCATTTCGTCGGCGCGATGCGCAGCGAAGGCAGGGGGAAAGGTCGAGACGATACGAGGGCCGTCCGCGTCGGATGACTCAACCCTGCATCTCCACGCCCCTTTCCATCTAGAAATTTCGAGTGCTTGCTCGGCCGCCGATGTGCGGTGAGGAGGTTCGTCTGCGAACCCACGCTTCCGAGGGGAGAAGGCCGCGCGCACCCGGGGAGTCCCTGTATGCTTGTTTTCTTGTTTTCTTTTTTCCGTTGACCTCGCGGCGTCTCTCCCGCGCGTTATCGCAAGAATTTGGCGGCGCGCCCTTTTTGAGCGCTCATTTTGTGACAGCTAACCTGCGTCCTCTTGCATTTGTCCGCGTACTTCCCCATGCGTGATTGTGCGCATCGAAATCACCTATGAGGACCCATGGTGCAGGACACACTTTCAAAATATCCGCTAATCTGCTGGAATCGAGATTATTCGACAGCGATAAATAAACGCCTATTAGAGTAAACATGAGTTTGTTCTTTTTCACAGTGATGCAGACATACTGATTGTCATCGTGAGGTGCGATTGGTCGCACAACATACGTCAGTTCACGACGAACAAAGACGATGATTTCGCTGCACGCCCCGTTTGTTGAAGACATGACAGCTTCGTACCCCGATAGTCTTATTGGTTTCGACAAATTGGGTTCACAAATGACGATGATTGGAAACACGTTGGTAAACCCAAACTGAAGAAAATCTGAAAGGCGTGATTTTAGTCCTCTGGCGTTTCGTTGGATGACGGATGCAGCCTTGACTTCTTTACGAAATGTTGAGGTGTGAGTAGCCAACTTCCTAGTTGTGAGATTCAAGCACTGGGCTTAGGGCGTCCAATAGTCCAAGTGCGCTTCGAGCAGATGGTGTCTTCATGTCGACTAATATCGCTCGGATGGCTTCTATAAGGAAACGCAGCACCGAGATCACTTGACGATCAGTTTTAGGCAAATCTTCCATGGTTGGAGACGGCTCTTGTGTGGCCACAACCTGCAGAGGTTCCTTGGCAGAAGAGCGCATCGGGAGCGTGGGCCATTCCTCCAGAGAAGGAGGCTTCTCTGTTTCTTTCGTAGAAGTGGTGGGCCCTTTCGCGGCGCCACTGGATGGAACCGCTAACGACTGGGAAGGAGGGTCTCGGGAATGTGCCTTCTTTGAAGACTTTCGATGATGCCGACGTCGACGCCGACGCTGGACTACTTCGGCTGCCTTCCTGTGTGTCGAGTTGTCTCGGGCCATTTGTCTGAGAACCGCGCGCTCCTTTTGGATTCGAGGACAGTCTTTCGATGAGGCAGCATGAGGACCACTGCAATTGGCGCACTTCAGAGTAGTCGCCCGACAGGCGTCTTCAGCATGATGTTCAGCGCAGCCGGGACACAGTCGTAAGTTGGGGCATACGCCCTTGACGTGTCCTAGCCTGAAGCACTGATGACATTGAAGTGGCTTTTGGATGAATGGTCGAACCGGATGTCGAAAATGTCCAACTTTATGCAATATCCCTTGAAAAATACTTTTACGAAGCGCGTATTTCCAAGGCGCCGCACTTGCGTAATGAGAGTTCCCTCGTTTGCAGGCTTGATTAGGGTAGACAAGTCAGCATTAGGAATTTTAATGTCGATGTCATAAATTACACCGGCAATTTATTTGTCATCCATCGGGATAAAGGGGCGCATTTTAATGCCACCTAGCTCAGTCATTTGCTGCAGCTGTCCTAGCGCACTCACAACATGCACGTCTATGGCGAGAATGTTCTTCCTTGGGTTTACTCGTACGTCCTTAATTTGATGTGGCACCGCACATTCGAGAGCAACGGAAAGGGCTTGCCTGTTCAAAAGCCATAGGTTGCTTGATGGATCTTCGGGCATGAAGATGATGACGTGCGGCCAGCGCGCAGGCCTTGACTGCACAGTCGCTGTGCTTGCTGGAGCTGATGCTGCTGTATTCGCCGTCCTTCTCTTCGCCCTCTTATCCCGGACAGGTATAAAGCTACCATCGGATGTGTCATCTTCCGAAATAGAATATAGATCGGTGTCCTCAGTGTCACTGGGAGAGCCAGCTCGCTTCCTTGTGGTTGACGGGTGTGAGAACCTGTGACCAGGCGGGCCTCTGGCATGCTCCATGGCCATCACCGCAAGACGGGGAGGCGAGGCATCTCAAAAGACCGATGATATCGCTAAAATAAAACAGAGCACAGAAACAAGCGTTCTTCTAAAGAGACACTTCTTCTTCCTCCTAGCAACAGTTAACAGACTTGGACAGAGGCCTCATGAGCCTGAGGCTTGTAAAGTGAGGCGGGAATAGCTGTAGTCGTTCATTTGTTCATTTTTTAAAAGGCCTGTTATGAATGTTCAAAAATCAGGGTGCATATTGCTCGATTGAAGAGGCTCGTAAGATAGGCAATAGTGTGATCGTGGTCTTGGCGCCTGTGGCGCTTATTTTTTTATGTTGCCCCCAAAAAGAGCGTCTACGAATGAAGCAACTGAGTATTTTGCACAATAACCAAAACTGTTTTCCTAAATAAGAGACGTAATGTAATTTTCACTAGCAAACCAACTTCATATTTTCAGACATTTTGCTTTCTAAATTGTGCTTATTAATAATTTTCTTCAAATAGTGAACGGATTTCGAATGTCAACAAGCTCAACCTAGAAATATTCAGACAGGCAGCACCTGATGTTGATGCTCCAAATTTTGTTCACATCTGTGAACCTGACCAATTTATTATTTTGTTTTCTTTTGGAGCAAATCGCGTAAGTGGAGGGTAACCCTTATTCCTAAGAAATAGATTTTCTTTCTTAGACGTTATTTTTTAAGACCATACGTCGTAAGAAAGAAAATGTTTTGTTGCCCTATATAGATATGCCTTGACTTGAAAAACTGGTCTTAATTTTGTGGTTTTATAGAGCTCTTCATCAAACGTATCTATCTGATCTCAACGGAATACCGGCATCTCCAAGGCAGAATTTCAGCATTAGTCAATACATAAGAAAAGAAATTTATATGGAGTTCAATATACTTTGAGCAATTAAAATCTTTTCTCGTGCATTTTTCGTTATGCTAAGAGAAGAGGGGTACTCTGGAAACCTTTAGAAGTTAGTACTACGTTACACTTGTCCTAATTAGTCGCCAGCACAGCGTCGCACCTGCAGTTATAGCAGAACAAAAGTTCTATTCAGAGAAGGCTATTATTTTACCACATCATTTTTTCCGCAGCCACAGTTGCTATCAACTACCCGAATTCACACGAAGTGAAATATACCTTGCTGTTTTACAGGCTCGAATCACTGGCGATTCGGGGTTCTTCTCCAGTGACCTTGCTATAGACGACATTGAAGTGAACGAAGGAAAGTGTGACAACATCCCGGATGTTACTGCAAAACCGAAACCAAGTAAGGAAGGAGCAATATTTAGCATCAATAAACAAAATTTTTTCTAAATAATTTATAAACCAGCTGCAACATGAATACATGACACTATCGCTATATTATCCGTGCTTTTCGAAACTTTACAATGATGTATCACCAACGTAAGTATTTTGAGTTACATTATACCTTTATCGTTAAACATTACTTATACCTTTTGATCTTTGTTGTTAACAGGCCTCTGGTGTGAATCTAGTTTTACACAAACTGCCCACATAACCCCTAATGTGCGCCTAGGGCGCACCCAACCATAAATAGAAGCAACGGTATGGTGTGCGTTTTTGTCGGCTGCAAATTATTTCCTTTGAGCTTGCACCGTTCTTTTCAAGTACGATTTATATATTACCTTTATGTGTAGTTTCCTAACAGATGTCATTGATGTTGCGCAGTCTTCAACGCCCGTAAATGGTGATAATCTGGAACACATGAGTAAACATGTCGTGACTGATGAACTAAAAATATATCAGGCACATTAGGCCGAAAGAGACTTCTCAACCCCTTTGTATAATTTTCAAACTAAGCCGTTTTATCATGCTAATAAACGAGTGAGAAAAAAGGGACATGTATGCGCTTTTAGCAGCTCTAAATTTTATTAAAAAGCTATTCTTTGAGGGTCTATTACACTCTTCAGTTAAGTTACTGTACCTCTATATCACTTATTAAATTATTTCAGAAACCAATCCGCCAACTGCTTCAACACCACTGCCAAGCAAAGCAACAACAGTGCCACACGAAACTACTACCACAGGTAGCTCTCGTTTTATAATTTTTTAGCGTTGTTTGTGGGATCAGTCTTCTGGTCATCTTGCGTCAATAAACAAAATGTTATGCGCTTTTTTTTCGGTACACCCTTATTTGTCTTATACAGCCAGCTTTGCCTGTAAAAAAATTCTTCTGGAGAGTCGCACCTCTAATGACAATCAGGTATGGAATAATTCTAAAATAAAGCTAAGGCGTATTTCTAAATATAATTTTAGATTTGGCAAATCAGACTTTATTAAAAATAGAGATAATTTCTTTCTTTAAAGTGCACAATGAAAGGCTTAGTTTCATTTCTCTATTACTTCTATTATGTAATAAAACTATTTGTTGGGGTAGTACGTAACTCTTCATATTGTAAGTAGCACAACTCTGTAATCTTTCAAAACACTCCCACGTTCACACACGCTTCAAGCAACGTGTTCTAGTATATGTATGCTGATGTCGCCTAGCCGAAATCAGGAGGTATACCATGAGGAGAATTGAGCAGGTTGTAAAAAGCGGCATAAGCCTAGAAACTGCGAAAGAAAACTTGTTCATAGGCAACAATCAGATTTTTCGATTAAGTAACAAGGACAGCAGTGTCATAAACAATATGAATAGGATAGTCGAGGTGGCGGAGGAGCTCCACAGCGAGCTGCACAGAAGCCAAAGCAATCAGGGTGATATTGTGAGAAACAATATTATTCCAGATTAATTCGACATCATATGAGTAACGTCAGGAGAAGTATAAGTAAAGCCTTAGAAGGAATGCAAAGAGGCGAAACCGGTGGTGAGGATAAGGTAACAATGGGTCGCCTGAAAGACTGCACAGAAATTGTGTTAGAAAAACTGGCCACCTTCTATGTGAAGTGTCTCGTCACGGGAAGGGTACAAGAGTCTTCGAAGAACGCCAGCATCACCTTAATTCATATGCAAGGCGACGTCACGTGTTTGAAAGATTACAGGCAGATCAGCTTCTGTTCATTCTCTACAAACTATTTACAAAACTATTAGCTGACAGAATGAAGAGTACATTGGAGTTCAATCAACCAAACGACCAAGCTGGATTTCGTACAGGCTGCTCCACAATAGACCATTTACATACTATTAATCAGGTAATAGCCCCGCCATGGTTTTCTATTGGCGAATGTTCTCGGCTGCTGAGCTGCAAGTAGTGGAATCGAATCCCGGCTGCAGCAGCTGCATTTTTTGATGGAGGCGAAAATGCTGTAGGCCCGTGTGCTCAGATTTGAGTGGACGTTAAAGAACTCTAGGTGGTCACAGTTTTCGGAGTCTTTCATAATGATATTGTGGTTTTGAGACATTAAACTCCGCATATAAAACAATTAAATGAATCAATAAATCAGGTAATAGAGTAATGCACGGAACATAACCAACCTATATACATAGCCTTCATTAGTTAGGAGAAGGCATTTGAGTCAGTTGAGACATCAGTAGTAATACGAGCACTACGGAGTCAGGGCATCGAAGAACTCCTCATAAACAAACTGGAAGAAATATACACTGGATCTAAAGCCATTATATTTCTCCTTAAAAAACGTAATAGCAATATAGATGGGTATCAAGCAAGCAAACAAGATCTTTGTTTTGCTATACAGAGATCTTGTTAGGGATAAGACCTAATGGAGAGTTTCTTAGTAACCAGCAATTCGCTGATGACATTGCCTTGGTGAGTAACTTAGGGAACAAACTACAGATCATGAATACTGTACTGGACACGCAAAGCCAGGAAAGCATGTCTGAAAAGTAGTAATCACAAAACTAAAGTAATGTGCAACAGTCTCTGCAGAAAGCAGCACTTTTCGATATGTGTAGAGACCCTGGAAGTTGTGAAGGACAGGTAGTAACCACGGACCTGAACCATGAGAGTGAAATAACTATAATAAGAGGAATGAAATTAATCACATTCAGCAAGATTCTCAAATCATGAATGGTAATCTGCCATTAACCCTGAAGAGGAATTTATATAACAGCTGCACCTTGCCAGTAATTACCTACGGAGCAGAAATCGGGAGGCTTACAAAGAGCGTTAAGCCTGAATTGAGGACGACGCAGCGAGGGATGGAAAGGAAAATGATAAGTGTAACATTAAAAGACAAAATGAGAGCAGAGTGGTTAAGTGAAAAAACTGGGGTCAAGGTCGTCGTAGTTGAAATCAAGAATAATATTTAGACATTAGCCGGGCACGCAGCCCCTATGAACAGGATAATCGCTGGTGGTTAAGTGTAACTGACCGAATTATCAGTGAAGGCAGACACATTAAGGGGAGACAGAAAGTTAGGTGGGGCAATGAGAATAAAAAGTTCGCGGGTGTAACGTGGCAACGAAAAGCACAAGACTGTGTTGATAGGCGGATCATGGGAGAGGCCTTTGCAATGCCTTGGGCGTAGTCAGGCTGCTGCTGAAGATGATATGCATTCTACTATCTGAAGTCTTGTGTAATTTTTATGTTCTTGCAAATCTATTCCTGGCGTTTTTTCATTAAGTATTTCACCCTCTGTATACTATGCTGTTGTCACATATATAGCGTTAACAGTATTCTGAAATACTTTTTTAAGTTTTACGTTCAGCCTTGCTTTGTGACTGCTGAGCTAAAGCTATATGCTGTAAGTTGAATTCACAAGACAGCAGATATCATTAATCAAATGGTGCTTTACCACATAAGCACTATATAGTGCAAACAATGTAATAGCATTATTGTAATGACCAACAAGAAGTAATAGAAGGAATGGGCTAAACATATTAGCAACACAAAGTTTTACTAAGAACTATATCGGGAAAGTTCATCTCACGATGCTTTCAGGTTACTGTGTATTTTACTTGAATGAATCATTTATTCCAGAAATGAATCCACCAACAACTGTTTCGATGTCACTGCCAAGCGAATCTACAACGCTGCAACATGACACTACAACCACAGGTAGCCGGCGTTTATTAGCTTTATTTGCAGCGATTACAAATTGCCCCCTTTATTTAAAAAAATATAAAGTTACCAGTCAGTTCTTTCGTTGAGGTTGAATTTTTCACATGTCTTTTTTTTTCGGGGAGGGGGGCGGAGGAAGATTTGCGCCTCTCACGACTACTCGAAGAGGACATAATATTCTTTAAAAAAAAGTTGATGTGTAAATTTAAAAATATTTGTGTATGTGACAACTTAAAGTTTTCAGTGGAGATTACCAGGCAGTATGTTTTTACCTAACGTACACAAATAAACTTTTGTGTCGTTTTTTTATTGCTTTTAATATAATTTCTATGTCCCGTCGGTCTCACAGTTCTTTCTCAATGTATTGGCACATTTAGCAAGAACCATGGTCGAAGGCCACTTACTGCTGAATTGATGGACGGATTTTCGGCCGCAATACCCCACGCTTGCGATTTCGCATGTCTCACCTGGACACTTTTCTATATTCAATACGTCAATTTTGGTAACACGGTTTTTCATCTGAAACCTTTACGTATTAGTTAGCGCTTAGTGTATCAGAGACTATTCTTTGATTGCTCCACTGCAAATTTGTGGTGCAGTAATTATTCGTAATATGCAAAGGTAATGGTAGCTTGTGGATTTTAATTTTTATTCGGTAATAGAAGAAAATACATGCGCCACTTAGGTCATAAAAAATCACCCCTCTCTTCCCGAAGAGACTCGTGAAGAAATGGTAATGCGTTTTAGCGACGAGAGTACATGGCGCCGTTATTTTATTGGCGTAAATAATCACGAGAGAAATATTTCTGCCGTAATAATTTTTTACGCATTCATCAGCCAGTGAACGGTCGAGAGTGAGGCACGCGCTTCACTTAATTTATATTATTACGGGGAGAAAAGGCATCGCAGAGTACATATACATAGTATGTATAAACGCCTAACGCCAGACATACCAGGCAGAGGGAAGTCCCCAATGATGTCGGCGTGTGTCGTCTTCCTCTTTATATCCGACAGCGCTTCGTTATCAGATGATCGCGCTGTGGCGGTCTCCATAGGTTTTGCTTCACACGTGACATCGGTGACTTTGCGCAAGACTCGGTATGGACCAGAGCGTGGAGAAGTGAACTTTTCTCAAAGATCAACTTGCGTGATGGTGTCCAAAGAAGGACCATGTCACCAGGATTGAAATGAACATCCCGGTCGCGAATTTAGTAGATTCGTCGTTGCTTTTCTTGCGAAGTATTAAGCCAAGAGCGGGCAACTTCGCGTGCCTCCTCTAGTTCTAGCGATGGCGTCAAGGCCGTAATCTGATGTCTTATCAAGAACGACTGGAAGAAGCGTGTCGAAAGGCAGCGTGGGTTCTCGTCCTTACAAGATAAAAACATGAGAGAAACTTGTAGTCATGCCGAAACGTATTGTACGGAAATATTACGAACGCCAAAGCTTCGTCCCAGTCATGATGATTTGGCAAAACATACATGGCGAGCATGTCTGCAAGCGTTCCGTTGAAGTGCAACGTTAGGCCTTTCGTCTGCGGGTTATATGCAATGGGGACTCGCATTTTGCAGCGCAAGAGTGCAAGAAGTCTTAAACCACCTTATATAGAGAGTATTGACCCCGGTCTGTGATGAGCTATCAAGGAGGGCCATGACGAATTATGACATCCTCGAGAAGAAAGTCGGCGATGTCGGCTGCACAACTGGTAAGGATAGCTCGGGTCATCGCATACCGAGTAGTGTAGTCAGTGCCAACAGCAACGCACTTGTTTTCTTTGATGAATAGAGCAAATAGGCCGAAGAGGTCACGACCAACTGTGTAAAATGACTAACATGGTATCTCTAAGGGTTCAAGGCGTCACGCTGGAAGGGTGTCCGTTGTTTTGCATCGCTGGCACGATTTGCACGAAGCTACGTAACGTCGAACAGAGAGGTAAATACAGGGTCAAAAGAAGCGGCGTCAACCACGGTCGTAAGTCCTTGAGACGCCCAGCTGACCAGCAGCAGGAATGTCATGCGGATATGCGAGAAGAGTCTGACTTATATGTGTTGGTATGACCAGCAGCAAGTCAAGACATCAGGATGCATGTTATGACGATATAGAACACCATCATGGAGCACAAACATACGGAGTGATGGAGGTGTAGTGGGTCACTCAGTTGGTTGATGACCTCTCTTAAGTGAGGATCACGTCGCTGCTCATCTCCGAGGTTTGCCAATGCTGAAAGCGCCAACACGCACGTGGACTCGCCACTCTCAGGAAGGTCTGGTGGATCTACTGGGTGATGAGACAAGCAATGAGTGCCCTTGTGTTGGCGGCCCATTTTAAAGGCGACTGTGAATTAGTATTCTTGTAGCCACAAGGCCCACCATCCCTGCCGTCTGGTAGGGTCTTTCAACAATGACAGCCAGCATAAGGCGTGGTGGTTAGTGATAACGGCGAGTGACAATCCATACAAATGTGGGCGAAAATGCCCACGGACCAAACGAGCACGAGACATTCGCGTTCGGTGATTTAATAATTGCGCTCCGGAGGTGATAGAAAACAGCCTAGCGTATGCAATGACGTGGTCACTTCCATGCTGATGCTGTAACAATGACCCCTGGCGTCGGGTCGCTGCTGCTGTCGGAGTAGATATACCAAAGTGGCCAAGAATCCGGCGGCTGAAATGAGGTGCATGGTCATGTTTAGCAAATGCACTGGCTTGTTTACAACCTCTGACAACAACCACATCCTTGTGCAGTAGGTCTGTTAGAGGACATGCAATGTCAGCGAACTTGCGCACCTAATCTTCGAAAGTTCAAGTAAGAGGCCTACAAAGCTCCTAACGTCATTCGCTCCGGTCGGCACAGGAAAATCCTTGACTGTGCGCACTTTGTCGGGATTCGGGAAGAACACCTAAAGAATCGACAAGATATTTAGGACAGTAAGCTGCTGACGATCGAAGTGACACTTCGACGAGTTGAGGTGAAGGTCCGCCTTTCGGAAAACATGAGGAATTGTTGAGAGGCACTCGAAGTGTGTCGCCTAGAGTCGGCAAAAAGACAATGACGTCATCAAGGTACCATAAGCATATGTGACCTCTTCAAACCATGCAGTAGAGCGTCCATCATTCGTTCAAATGTAGCTGGTGCATTACATAACCCGAATTACATTACTTTGAACTGATAAATGCCATCAGATATGATAAATTTGGTCTTTTCACTAGTCCATATCATCCACTGCCGTCTACCAGTACCCTGCACGAAGGTCTATCGAAGAGAAATACTTCGCACTACTGAGACAATCATGCACGTCATCTATACGTTGTAGGGGATACACGTATTTTTTGTTACCTTGTAGAGATTTCGGTAATTGACACAAAAGCGCCAGAGGTTGTCCTTATTTTTGACGAGCATGACAGGCGAAACCGAAGGGCTTGAAGTAGAGTCATTGACGTCCCGGCCAAGCATTTTGTCGACTTTTTCTTGTATGATTTGACGCTCAGTAGAAGAAACACAAAAGGGTTGCCAGTGTATCGAGTTAGCACCCCCGGTGTTGATCCGATGCTTCACAATGTTTGTCTGGCAGAGTGGTCGGTCATTAAGGTCAAACATGTCTGAGCATGAAGCCAGGAAGGCACGAAGAGCGTGCACATGTTCAGCCGGGAGGTTGACGCCATCATCCGGATAAGAGGAGACAAACCACCTTCTTTTGTTTACCGTGGGCAATGCTAATGCATTGTCCAAAAATGGGATGAATAAATAAAAATAAACTTTTGTCATGCTTTCGAAAGTAGTTTCACCCATATCATGAATTGTGGGGGATGGCTCATTCCCTGTTAAGGCGGCAATATGATAGTCGCATGCCAGGGCAAGGGTTGCAAGGGTCAGGCAAGGGTCAGGCAAGGGTCAGGACGCTTCCTTGGACCTTTGGGCATAGCTTGTGAGCATAGTTTAAATTGACGTGAGGAAGACATGTGGTATTGTCCTTTACAATGATGACCATGGGCAGGAACATCATGTTTTGCGAGAAGAGGATGGCAGGGTTGGGTGACACGAAGTAATCACCATCAGGCACGGGTGAATCAGGAGAAACCACAATATACATTAAGGCTAGAGATGGGCGCGAACGTAATCGGCGGAACGTAGCGTGCTCAGTTTAGGATCACTAGGCTGAACGCCGAATGGTAGGGCGAGTTGGAAAACACCCGTAGCACAGTCAATGAGAGTTGAATGGGAGGAGAGAAAATTAAAGCCTAAGATGAGTTCATGCGGGCATTGCTCCAATAGATCAAACAAAACAGGAGTATGGCACCCGGCAACAGTGACCCGAGCAGTACACATCCCACCGACAACTGGAGTCGCACCATCGGCAACGCGCAGTACAGCAATTGGAGCTGGAGTGAGAACCTTGCGTATAGTCGTGCTTGGAGGTTCGAGTTCGTAACTGACACGTGAGTGCCGGGGTCGACTGACAGGGGTGCCATCGACATTTTCTTCGATAACGTTGTTGTGTCCAAGTAGCGTAAGCAGAGAAATTTCGGGTCGGGTCGTCACGGTAGGCTCAAATCTGTAAGAGCTCGATGCATTAGTTTTCCGAGTTGTGGGAGGAGGAAGAAGGAGAATGAAGACACTGAGAGTGAGACAGGCGACTCCCCGACGAAGGAGAGTGGTGCAGTCGTCAAGGCGTTGATGGTGTAGCAGCATCGCATTCGTGGGTGGTCAGTCGGGAACTAATGGGAGAAAGCCGATTGTTGGAATAGTTGGACCAGGGCTGCGAGTTCCAGGAACTATGGCAGTGGCGGCAAACATGAGCGACGCTTCCACAAGAGAACCAAAACGGCCTGTCGTCGAGGGTTTGCTATTCGGCCGTGTTTTTGTTCTGAGGACGGGCTACGAGTTTCGGGTCAGATCAGGAGGACAATGCGGAGACTAGCCTGGTCTATTCATGGGGCAGAGCACCTAGAAAGCGGTGTTAGCGAGCTCCTGGCGTACAATGATCAATATTTAAGAAATTGAGTGGGAATTGTCATGGCCACGACGTTGCATGTGAACTGAAGCTGCAGCTTCAGTTTCGCGACGGACTGAGGCGTACAACTGTTCTCGCCTGCAGCAGGAACAGGTGGCGGATGGATGTCCTTGCAAGTAGACGGCGCCGCTTTGTTGGGAAGGCGTGAAACTTTAGGAGCAATGCAATACGTTTCTGTTGTTCATAGCACCGACATATGCTAATAACGTCATCAATTGTCGACGAGTTCCTGAATACGAGGAGAGTAAAAGCTTCATCTGCGATTTCTTTGAGAATGTGTGCGACCTTCTCAGGTTCTGGCATCTTGTGGTCAACTTAGTGGCAGAGCGAGAGCACATCTTGAATATATGTCTAGTGTGACTTGGTGCAGGCTTGGAGTCGGCACGCGACTTCCTTCTGTGCAGCGCAACGTCGCCCAAGGGGCTCGCAGTATAGATCAATGAGTTTGCGGTAGCAAATGTCCCAGCTCATTATCGCTTGCTCGTGGTTGTGAAACCAAATTTTGGTCGTTCCCTCAAGGTAAAGGAGGGTGTTGACCAGCTTCAGCGTCAGGGTCCCAGTGGTACAGCTGCGCTCACCCGTTCATAGAGCGTAAGCGAATCATGGACTTCTTTGTTGTCAGTGCCGGAAAATGTGCCTGATCACGTGGTTGTGTCAGGACGACGGTGCGGTTAGCGACTGTATGTTGCAGCGTGGCACGCCTGGCTGGTCGAGGCACGGTTGGAAACTTTCCTGATGCATCCTCGTATTCATCTTGAGCAGACATAGCAGAGGCAGCCAAGGAGCGTCCACTACAGGCAATCATTGTGACGGTGAAAGCTGGGATAACTCACACTCTCCACCAAAATGTTACGGGGAAAAAGGCGTCTCAGAGTACCGGAGCTTTTTTTACGGATTCGAGGAGAATTTTCTCCTTTCTGAGCTGTCGTCACAGGCTGCTGACCTCACGGCCTCGTCGACGTCACATTCTTGGCAGTGCAGTTTTGGGGTGTGACGCGCACTAACAAATGCACAGAAAGGAATACGACGGCACCCAGGGAGCAATATATACGTACAACTGAATGGACAGCAGTTGGGCGCAGGGAGGAAAGAGAGCAAACGGCAAGGAAAAAAAATGGCCCCGTATCTGCATGTAATCTGCAAATTTAGTCGAAAAACGATAGTCTTGCGTGTTGAGAGAGTGAACAAAACATTTATTTGATGTTCTGCACAAGAAAATTGGTGTATGGTATTCCGGAGGCGCTGCGTTAGAGTGCCCCGAGCGTGCAGTGGAGGCGAACGAGCGCATCAAGTCACGTCGCACGTGAGACATGAGCGCCATCTGGCAGTTTCTTTTAGAAAACAAAGCGCGTGGCCATACGCGCCCGTCTCAGGGGATAAGGTGTAGAGCGCGAGGAGACGGGTAGGTGCCACCACAATCTCGTCTTAGCAAAGCGTTTGAAACACTCCCCGTTCCATGAAAGCGTTGCATTGTAAAGGCAGCGTGATGAGTGCTACAGTCCCTAAAATTACTTATGTATTCGTTTTCTAGTAAGAGATGTATATGGAGAATATATGCGTGTTTTTATGGTGCGCCAGACATGCGCAATAACTGCTTTTTAATTGACCATTGCACAAGCATGAACGCTCAACCTTGAGCAACAGTGGTGGTCGCTGTGGATGGGGTCAGCCGTTTCAAGTACCCGATGCCGGTAAGAGTGGACAAACAGACAAAGGTACAGACAGACAGACAGATAAACAGACAGACAGACCAAAATTTTCGCGTCGGAAATCCCCACAACTATCGTCTTTAATAGTGGCAAAGCACAACACCTCCCCTTTCCTACATTCTCTCCACACACGTTGGAGCTCCACGGTGCGATCACACCCACCCACCAGATGGGGCTCCTCCTTTTCATTAACTCTCCGCTACTCCACCCGTACCAGCTGCTCCGGTTCCTACGGGCGAGGATAAGCGCGTGCGCCTGCAGCTATTTTTGTGGGAGACGGAGTGAGAGCAGAGAGAGAACACCTGCTGGCGCGCGGACACTGACAGACGCCTTGCATGCCCCGACTAAGAAATGCATTCGCATTAAAAACATCAGTTGTGTTGCTCCAGAGCACAGCACTTCTGTAAGTAACTTACCCTTGCGTTGTTTTTACTGATTTAAAGCAATATACACTGAATGTTGAGTTGCAAAGACATTCGGTATCCGAAGCCAGAAGAAACTACATTAATGTATTGCATTATCGTGATAGAGAACTCACTGAGTTATTAAGCTAATCAACGAGAGAGAAAAGACTGGACGAGGAAAGTCCTTTAGCTTCAGCAACTTGTGTAATGAATTATCTGGTGAAAGCCTAACACACTCTACATTTTGATTACTGTGCTTCCTATATCAATTAATAAATCGTTCCACAAACTGATTCCCCGACAACCACTTCGACGTCCCGGCCAAGTGAACGGACGACGCTGGAACATGACATGACTACAAAGGGAAGCCGGCGTTGTATTACACTTGTGTTAAGCGTTTAATTGTGTCCAATGTATAAGATTGTATCATATTCTATTTTTCTGTTTGAAATATTTATGCGCAAGTGGTTATGTGAAAAATACGGTTCTTCAACGATTACATCACATTCATTGTCCGTAAGCCTCGCCATGATCCTTTTTTTTATGAACCACCATTTATTGTGGTTTGTAAAATGCCCCAGATATAACTATCTCACGTTGGTATATTAAAAGTACTTTGTAAAATAGCGTCAGACTTTGCTACTGGCCTCATTGGGATTCTATGTGGTGTGTTAAAACCTGCGGCCCCTTTTCTTACAATGTTTCTTGTTTTATTATTACAACACTCTTCAACATCAAAAGAGCAATCTTAAGAGTTGAAACTTATTAAAGTGCTTTAGGTTCATAAAGATAACCTTCAGGATTTGAATTGCATTTGAAAACCCATTTTGGTAAATAACGAATGCTGCAAGACTGTAGAGTGCACACAGTGTTTTCAACACTTGTCATAACTTGGCCGATAATATTTTTCCCTTCCTAAATTGGCTTGGCTTCAGGGCTGAGTGTAACACAACATACTTTATTCTCCTAAGATGATTGTAACTCAAGTTATTTAACTCTCCTAAGATAAGTTTTCTTGATCCAACTCCGGCACACAGATAGGCTGCATGATGTCATATTTTCGGAGAGGTTTTCGTACAGTACCAGAAATCTCTACTTCCTTTAAACTTATCGTACCTTTGTCATCCTCGGTGCATTCTTAAATGGGCGAGTGGATACCTAAATATAGTGATTACTAGATTACATTAGACTTCCTTCTAGCTCAAAAAATGCTCGGGGCCTGGAAATTGTGCAGAAAGTACAACAACTTAAATTTCACACATACATTTATGAGGGAGTTGTGTACCATTTATACACGGCTTTTCATTCGACCTTGTTGAGTTTCATCGCAACTATTTACTTGCTTGCGAACACAGGTGCCGCGGTAAGACGACTGATTAGGAATACCTCGACGCTTCTGTTTCAGAACAATCAGTAATTACAAGTGAGGCAGTCACTGTTACGCCACTGCCTACTAAAAGCGAAGTGCCCTCTACGCCAGAGGCCCTCCTGGAATGCAATCGTGGAGAGTTCTACTGCCGCGACGATCTTACGTGCATTCCGGGTGTCCTGGTCTGTGACAGTATCCCTGACTGCCCTAACGGATTGGACGAAAAATGTGGTACGTAGATGTTAACAGAGACTCTATTTGTCTAGCGGTACATCTACAATAGTGTGGAATAGTACGTATCGCCCTATGCTACTTTGGGAATCGAAAAAGAAGGAAAGTTAGAGGGTCTTCTATGTATTCATCCATGACTACTAGAAAACCAAAGCTACTTTATTCTTCTTCTCAGCCACTGTGTTGATCCTGTTTCTCGACCCACCTCAAGCTTTCTGCACATAACGTGCAGACTTCAAGTTCGGAGGTACCCCACATTGTTTTGAAATGCCTCTGAGACCGGCCCGCGGTTGAACAAGTTACGATGTGATGTGATGACGTATTCACGTGACGTTACGCCAGACTCTGTCACGGTAACGTCGTAGTGACGTCAAGATGACGAAAGAAAACTAGTGATCTGCGACGTCATGATGACATCATAGACGATTTCATCCCGTTATCAGTTTTTTTTTCACTGCGTCACAAGGCGTAAGTTTGGCAGAACTGGTTCCTACTTGAAGGGAAAGAGACGAGTGCTTCCAAACGGGGACATGTCTTGTGTGCCTCTTGTCTATGTCCCCGTTTCGCATCGCACGTCTGCTTCGCGTAATGTAATTCGTCCTTCATGCTTCACCATTCATTGAAGAAGGTGTATTTGAAAAGACTGTCTATCGCTTGGAAAAATTTTTGTGACTGTGGTGCAAAGGACAAGATTGTTCAATGCATCGGTGGGAAGAAGTAATGCTTTCTTGCCATAAAAAAGGGAAATTTTTTAAAACTTGACGTTGAAAGTCGACAAAAGATGAGTGCTAACGTCAACCAGCAGCGATGTGGTCTATGCACTGTTATACTTACTGCTAAAACAAGAAATCATCACAGGTGGATGATTTTTCTAAACATACATTAAGAATTTCAAGTGCTTTCTCGCGCACTTGACGCAGGTTTAGGTTGCGCCGAAGAATAATTCTTGTTTTTTTTTGTTTCTCATGCGTTCAAAGTGAGGCGAGGGGGTACTACCGCTGTGGTGTGTTCGCTTGCCTGTATACCTGCATGCAAACTGCAAGTGTGTGCATGCCTTATACGACCACTATGGTATTTGTTTGACAATTGAACAAAACTAGATGAAACCTGTGAAAAGCGCACGTGGTTTAAGTTTGCACTTTTACGAGCCATACGATTGCTCATCGCCTCCTCTAACCAGTGTTGTCGGCATTTATCACACCGAAGAAAGAACGCCGAATGCAGACTGATAAATTCTGTTTTAAAAACTTTTACGCATTTTCCAGGGCAACTGCTGTTATGTTAGACACTTCAGATATAACGCTTTTTATTCCGACACCAAACAGAATATCAGTGTAAGAAAAGCAGTGGAGAAAATCAGTGAAAAAAGCAGTTAATGCCGGTTTAAGTTTGCACTTTTACGAGCCCTACGATTGTCATCGCGTCCTCTAACCAGTGTTGTCGGCATTCATCACACCGAAGAAAGAACGCCGAACGCAGACTGATAAATTCTGTTTTAAAAGCTTTTACGCATTTTCCAGGGCAACTGCTGTTATGTTAGACACTTCAGATATAACGCTTTTATTTTGACACCAAACAGAATATCAGTGTAAGCAAAGCAATGTAGAAAAGCAGTGAAAAAAGCAGTGAATGCCGGACCCTTAAAGCAGTTAGGTTTTTTCAGGGCAGCTGTTCTGACCAGCTGTTAGTATATGCAGAGCGCACACAACACTGTCATCGTCATCAACCCGCACACATGCTCTCTTCATGCTCCTCTTAATGTGCTGCGTTTTCTCCAGAACACATGCACCGATTTATATGGTGCGATGCAGTGCCTTTGACGGGCGACAAAACATGTACACGGAGATCAAGAAAGAAATAGAAGGAAAGAAAAAGACAGAAATACGCAGAGCAAAATATATAGAAATAACCAGGCGCAAAAAATAAGTAGCAAAAAAGGAAGTAAGGCAGAAAGAGAAATCTATAGAATAGGAGAAAAAACAAAGAGGTAAAAAAGAGAGGCAAAGAAAGATACAAGGTGTGAGAATGAAAACAAACAAGACAAATGCATAGGACAGAAATAGAATTCAGAAGCGATACAAACAGATGGAAAAGACGAATAGAAGGAGACGAATAGATGTTGACACAAAGAACCACTAGAAAAGAGAGATCGACAGAAAAAAGAGAAATAAAGGGAGAAAGAAACAGAAAACGAAGGCATAAAAAAAGCCACGAAAAAACATACTTTCTTTAGGCTTGGCACTCACCGATAGTGCGAAGCTGTCTTAATTTTTCTTTATTTCAGAAAGTCTGAGGGCCTTTAAATTTGATTGATTGATATCTGCGTTTAACGTCCCGAAATCACCATGTGATTATGAAAGACACTGCATTGAAGGAGTCCGGATATCTCGACCACATGGTGTTCTTTAACGTGCACCCAAGTCTGAGCACGCGGGCCGCAACCCGGATTCCATCCCACGACGTAGCCGCGGGATTCAGCAGCAGCCGAGTACCTCAGCCACTAGACTACACCGCGGTGGGGTGGGCTTTCAATCTTAGACGTGGTATTTTGCAATTACTAAACGTTGCACGTGATTGAGCATATTGACCGCTGATAGCAATACGAATTCTCAGTAAACTTCTAGGTAATGCTGAAAATGACCGTGTTGGGCGCGTTGAAAACGCGGCCTCTCAGTTACGTCTGACCGGAATACCCGTGGGAAGGAACTGGAAAAATGACAAATTGATGCAGAGGCAAATACATCCACTCGACCCACCACATCTCCTAATTCCAACAATCTCTTTGGTCATCTGTCTCTTTCGAACAGGAGGAGCACAATACACGCGAGACAAAAACCACTGCTTGAAAATTCTTTTTCACATCTATGAGAAATAAAAAAAAGAAACATTGCACCAAACTCTCATTTTGAGGGTAAAAAATTAATTTACCAAATGCGGACACCAGTTGCGAAAATCGCAGCACCCCCTAAAACTGCAGGTTAGAGCGTTCACCACTCTAAATAGCAAAGCGAGAGCCATAAATGCTTAGTTAAAACCGAAAACGGACAACGCTCCGCCGCATAAGAGATCCTAAACGCATAAGATGATCATCACGTGCTCATGTGACCATATGGCGTCACAAGAAGGTTGCTGATGAATAAACCTTGTCGCTTCGTTTTGACGTCGTCTTGATGAAACTGTGCCCCGCCGCGGTGGTCTAGTGGATAAGGTACTCGGCTGCTGACCCGCAGGTCGTGGGTTTAAATCCTGGCTGCAGCGGCTCATTTCCGATGGAGGCGGAAATGTCGTAGGACCGTGTACTCAGATTTGGGTACACGTTAAAGAACCCCAGGTGGTCAAAACTTTTCGGAGCCCTCCACTACGGCGTCTCTCATAATCATATGGTAGTTTTGGGATGTTTAACCCCACAAATCAATCAATCAATCAAATAATAAAACTGTGACGTCCGATTGCGCAAGGTGCTGCCGCTTTGTTACTGAAGCTTAATTGGTATTTAAGGTTTAACGTCCCAAAACCACCATATGATTGTGAGAAACGCCGTAGTGGAGGGCTTCGGAAATTTCGACCACCTGGGGTTATTTACGTCCACCCAAATGTGAGCACAAGAGCTTACAGCATTTTCGCCCGAGATTCTGAATAATCAGCTGACTTCGTGACCCTAACTAAAATTGGCTCATCACCGAAACCGAGCAAAACCAGGTCTTGGTGCCCCGAATCTCGGAGGCAACATGAATATATTTGGATATTTACTCCTGCTACGCCATTTTCCAGAGGATTTAGTAGGATGAATATTATATTGTAACAGCGAGCTGTGATAAGATAATATCACACACCTTTTGAACAAGTAGGAATTGACATTATGGGTCCATTTCCGTTATCTAACAATAAGAAGCGTTGGATAATCGTCTGCGTCGATCATCTTACGCGGTATGCCGAAACCGCAGCTATTCCCTCTTCTACCGCGGCATCCGTGGCGAAGACAGGAACACACTTAGTGTGATTGATGAAGTGATAGCACCATCTTGGTGCCTGACACCCGTTCAAGTCTTCCACAGCGGTTGATGATGCTTGTGTTGACCTCGTAGTGGGGCCTCTGCGCAAGAATTGTTTGAAGAAGGACATACTTGTGCCTTGTTCTGTTGTGTGCATGACGACAGGAGTAGCAACATGGTGGGCGCTGAACTGTTCTGCCACGCCGGTTGTGCTTCCTCGCGGGATGAAGATAGCTCTCTTTGATGAAGCCTCATGCAACTCGATAGCAGCAATAGCTACGGACCTCCCCACCTCTTCCTCTGCTTGTGATATTCGCCATAATGAAGATCTAATGCTCGCTATGATCAGCAAGACTCTCAGTACGACGGAACGGCAAGCGCTGGTGCAGGTCCTTTCCCGGCATATTGCTGCTTTCGACTTCAAACATAGAGATGCACCCCTTCAGTTACCCTCGTTCCGCACTCGTCACAGAATAGACACTGGCTCTGCACACCCCATCCGCCAAAAGCCTTACCGAGTGTCATCCTCTGAGCGCAAAGTTATCGCCGAACAAGTAAAGGACATGATGAACAAAGGGGTCGTGCAAGAGTCGTCCAGCCCGTGGGCAGCCCCGGTAATTCTTGTCAGGAAAAAGGATGGTTCCTGGAGATTCTGCGTAGATTACAGGCGTCTAAACACTGTGACGAAGAAAGATGTATATCCCTTACCACGGATTGATGACGTCATAGATTGCTTGCATGCCGCTTCCTATTTTTCAACGCTTGATTTACGGTCAGGTTATTGGCAAATACCTATGGAACCCAGCGACAAAGAAAAGACTGCTTTCATAACTCCGGATGGCTTATTTGAATTTAATGTCATGCCTTTTCGCCTTTGTAATGCTCCAGCCACCTTTGAAAGATTTATGGACACAGTATTACGTGGTCTAAAATGGGAGATATGCATGTGCTACCTTGACGATGTTGTGATCTTTGGCCGCACGTTTGAGGAACATAACAACCGTCTCAGTCTTGTTCTCGACTGCATCGAAAAAGCCGGGCTGGTTCTGAATTCTAAAAAATGTCGCTTTGGCGAACGTCAAACTCTCGTGCTGGGGCACTTGGTCGACAAGGATGGCGTCAGACCCGATCCTCGCAAGATAGAAGCAGTGAGCTCTTTTAAATCACCGCAGTCCGCACGAGAACTTCGCTCATTTGTCGGCCTATGCTCATATTTTCGTCGTTTTGTTCCACGATTTGCGGAGATCGTGTATCCGCTGACAAACGTCTTGCGACAGGATGCAACCTTCAACTGGACACCAGAGTGTGACGCCGCATTCTCACAACTTAAGTTTGTACTAACGTCAGCACCACTGTTGCGTCACTTCGATCCATCTTGCCCGACTGAGGTCCACACGGACGCTAGTGGTATCGGTGTAGGCGCGGTGCTTGTACAACGTCACAATGGCGCAGAGCATGTCGTGGCATATGCCAGCCGTTGCCTGAGCAAATCAGAACGCAATTACACAGTTACGGAACAGGAATGTCTGGCAGCTGTTTTCGCTGTACAGAAGTTTCGTTGTTATCTTTACGGGAGGCCATTTAAGATAATTACCGATCACCATTCGTTATGCTGGCTGGTCGGTTTGCGTGACCCCTCTGGCCGCCTCGCACGCTGGGCGCTGCGACTTCAGGAATACGACTTTACGGTGTCGTACAAGAGTGGCCGTCGTCACGCTGACGCAGACTGCCTCTCCCGGATTCCTCTTGCGACTACTGACTGCGATGTTGAGAATTTTGACGACTGCCTTGCTGCTGTTACAAGCACGTTCCCCAACGCGGCTGATTTCCAGAGAGAACAACGCAACGATCTCAACTTGGATCCTCTTTTTGCCGCCGCACGTGCCTCCCAACACAGCGGTCGCTTTACGGTCCGAGACAAGTTGCTCTATAAAACTAACTACTCTAGACCTGGAGCACGTTTTCTTCTAGTTGTCCCCGAGAGCCTTCGCTCCGAAGTTCTACGTGCCATGCATGACGATGCGACGTCCGGTCACTTCGGCTTCATTAGAACGCTGAACCGCACGCAGGAACGCTTTTACTGGCCCAAGATGTACGAAACAACGAAGCGTTACGTCGCTAGCTGCGAGATGTGCCAACGTCACAAGCGCCCGGCCACCGCTACACCAGGTCCCCTTCAGCCATTAACACTACCCAGCACCTCCACCACAACTGTAACAGCGAGCTGTGATAAGATGGTTTTATTTACAGGAGGTGAACGATGGTGGTTTGCGGCAGCACACTGCGATCGTGCCAAGACTCTTCGTCTTCCTCTGCTTCTCCTCTCTACCCTTTTCTAGTCTGTTACAATATATTGACTGAGAATACAATTGCGGGGGCGTTCTCCTTCTGGCGTTAATAGGCGAATGCACGATTGACCCTGAGCGTTTTTTTTTATTTCTACCAAAAGCCGATAGGAAATCTTTTGTTCACTCTGCTCTTTGACAGACAAAAATAAAATTAAGTGATTTATTCTGTAGGCCCTAAGAAAACATCAGCTATGCATAATGCACAAAATGCGCGATAATTGACTTCTGGCACCCATTCTCGGGAAACGAAGAATAGGTGCCCCAGACGATGAATTAGTGAAATTTTTCAATGAATGCTCACAATAGTTGCCAAAAAGTAAAGAAGGAAACAATGTCACCACGTAGACCAGTGCATCAACATTATAAAATGCATATGAGATGCTATGATATGCATGCATATCAAATTAATTACAAAATTTCGTGACGAATAACTGTGTTTCATCAAGCATATAGTCGCTTTTACTTTCACTCTCGCTCAACAATGCATTGTGCCCCGCCGCGGTGGTCTAGTGGCTTAGGTACTCGGCTGCTGATCCGCAGGGCGCGGGTTCGAATCCCGGCTGCGGCGGCTGCATTTCCGATGAAGGCGGAAATGTTGTAGGCCGTGTGCTCAGATTTGGGTGCACGTTAAAAAACCCCAGGTGGTCTAAATTTCTGGAGCCCTCCACTACGGCGTCTCTCATAATTATATACTTGTTTTGGGACGTTAAACCCCACATATCAATCAATCAATCAATCAACAATGCATTGTAAGACTTAAATAGAATAATGTTGTTACGTCTTATATCGAAGCGATGAACGAGCCTTGTGCAGTGCGCGAGCTGCGCGTGAAATTCATAAAGCGTGATTTTGCCATGACGACGATATCTTTCGAACAATCCAGTATGTTTGAAGACTGATGGTCGCTATGGATTTGATAAGCTAAAGGCATCGCAAATGAGACACGTAGCCCTGCAACATCTTCGGCTTTACTGTTGAAACAAGTACTACAGTAAATCAGCAGCAGGTCAATGGCACATCGACTATATCTGAACCAGTATTGCTTTCACAATTGTTAGGGCTCGCCACAATAAGAGTTAAACAACCATGGATGACAATAGCACACTTACTTGCAAAGTCATCTGCGTATATACATCTGCATATATATAGGCATAACCGAGTATTTACGTCCGCAACGTTTTTCCAGAGAGAAACTAATGTGGCTGAAACATTCGTTTTCTTTTCTTGTTTTCATTTTCTCATTCGTTTGTTTGTTGAGGCCTTGACTACTTACTAGAAGTTTTAGCGACAATTCAACGAGTTCATGTCATACGATTAACCATATTTACCGATATCAAGCTGCATGCGTGTGCTTTCGTTATACAGGAACAGCTAATATTTCATACGCTTTCAAGCACTTCTGCATTTTCATCCTGAGACTGACGTCAAGGCCGCGTCACGATGAAAGCGCGTCCTGCTTCCGATGAGGTAGCCTTGCTAATCGTGCAGGTACTTTCAGTAAAGTAGTTTTCCCAGTCAACTATTAAAAACTGCGAATAACTTCGGAGTTTCGTCGTAAATGCAGAAAAGAAAGAAAACGCTAATCTTTACCAAGGCCCGACGTTTTTTTTTTTTTTTTTTTGCTCAGCCATCCTGCATGGTTACTCGACGCATGAGTCACACGCATTCTCGACGAAATAAGGCTCAACACATAAAGCGAACGAAGATGCCTTTGTAGCAACTAAACACCCGGAGTGAGCATAAGGGCTTGGCACCTAACATAAGCAAGCGTTGCTTAAACAGCTTCTCAGAAGAGTTGGCGCGGTAGACGAATAGGCGTCAAAGGTTTCACCAAAGTTGTACAGATGCTTTCTTCGCTGCGATACATTAAACTAATTTGCAGTCGCTCTTTTAAAGGTGTGTCCTTCGTCGCCTTTTTTTATATGGCGCCAAGCATTTTTCTTTAGAATTGAGACCATGTTGGTATAGCCAAGTGAAAACGTGAGGTAATCCGGAAAGGGGACTGCTGACTAGCCAGCTAAAATTATCCCGCCTCGTTCATTCATTGTAAATCGTTATCTAAACGTCAAGCCACCAGGGCTATTTTCGCTTCAAAAGAAAATCTAGAATAAAACAGGCTACTCGCGTGCAATAACCTGGTTTGTCGCGTTCGACTATTGCAAAGGAAATTCATTGGTAGCATGAATAGTGAGGGTATTGTAATGCCAATTGTGCTCATATAATATGCAAAACGGCAGGTCATGGGATCGAACCTCGCCTGCTGGGGTTGCATTTCCGATAAAGGCGGAAATATTGTAGGCCCATGTGCTCCGATTTGGGCGCACGTTAAAGAACCCCAGGTGGTCTAAATTTCCGGAGCCCTCCACTACGGCGTCTCTCATAATCATATGGTGGTTTTGGGATGTTTAACTCCACATATCAATCAATCAATAAATTGCAAAACATATGTCAAAACTTGATGAATGTCTTAGTTGAAATTCTTGCCTATGTTATTTTTTGGACTGCGTCAAACAATATTAATAATTGTACTTATAATATTTTTGAACATTGCGCTATTCCTCTTCTAGGAGTACAGAAGAAATGTAGACCACAGGAGTTCCTGTGTACGAACCGGTCTTCTTCTGACTGTCTTCCACGCACGTTGCTTTGTGATGGAAAGGAAGACTGCTTAGGAGGATCTGATGAAGTACTTTGCGATGGTATGTATGTAAACTGAGTAGTTGCACTGTGCTTTAAATCCGGTGAACAGTTTGAACGTTTTTTTTTTGAAAAGACGTATTTCCATCCAACAGTCTTAAAAGATGAGAAAAAAGCCGCCCGCATTTTCCCATAGAGGGAACTCGAGTAAATGTGTCGCATTGTGATGGGGGTACCTCGTGAATGTTGCGTAATTGGGTTTGGTTTGGGATTCACCGGGTAGCGTTCATCTCGTGTAGGCGTGCGGGTCGAGGCGTGTAACGGCAACCGTAGGTCACGCTCATCGACGGCACGTGCCAACGTACCAACGAGCACACGAGCACACTAAGTACGACTTGAACGGCTCCAGCAGGCGCTGGTTGTCGTCATTCTCACTGTTAACCATGTCGTTGACACTGCTGCCCTTCAAGTCGACGTTGCCGAACGTGCTCCAAAGAACCCGTCGCGCGTTGGTCTGCTTCGCTTTGTTCTTGATGCTCCCGACCAGCGTAAGGTCGTTGTCGAAGCGCAGTCGGACGCACACTTTTCAGCTGTGTCGGAAGCTGTGGTCTTCGAAGTCGAGTTTGAAACGAGTGGCTGGCTGCGCTAACTGCTTGGCTCGCCCCAACCCTTTCGCAGCGCGCTCGCGTTCACGAGCAGCTTCCGTAGCCACCTCTGGTTGACGACGTTTGCACGCCGCTTTTCGCTCACGTACCTCTGGTCTCAACGCTCGCTGCTTACGTTCGCGGCTGCTTCTCGTGCACGAAGTTCAGAATCCGCAGCTCGGCAACGTTTCGCAGATGCTTCGCGTTCCTCCAGTGAAATATCTACAGCTCGCATCAAATGCTTGCGTTTAGCATCGTGTGCTCGTCTCTTCGCAACCTTGTCTTCTGTTTTGCTTGCTGTTGCTGCCGCTGAAGACAGTGAAGGTGGGATAACGTTGCCTTGAACGAGTGGTGGGACGATGATGTTGAATTGTGCCCCAGTGCTGGTTGAAGTGAGTGAGTGAGAAAGACTTTACTTGGTTGTCCGGCGGATGACAATCTTAGCCACGCGAGGGAGGGTGCTATTTCCATCTGTTGCTTCAATGGCATCTACTCAAGTCAATCAACGCGTAAAGTCAAGAGAAAAAGGTTGAATGAGAGAGCATGAAAGGGGAGAGAGGGAGGGGAGGAGAGATGAGCCGAGCATGCACAGTGGCGGTGTGGACGCCGCCGATGTCTGACATGGTGCGAGTAAGAAATGCTCCGCTTTTAAAAGAACATACTCTAAGGCCTGGCAGTTTATTTTTCTTTGCTATCTTGCATTCTTTATTAATGATTGCAGGCTTACTCAGAGAATATATGCAAACGCCTATACGTACCGACTTTCAGGACAGAGGTCGTATGCATGCACCAAAATAAACACCAGGTTGTTTCAGGCTCAAAGAAGACTAAGAAGAAGGAGGAGGAAGATGGAATGAGGAAGGACAGGCGGGTTAATCAATAGAGAACACTATAATCTAGGTTGGCATTAACGGTAAACAATTGACAGGAACGACCACGAAGGAATATTTTGGGTTATTGCGTACCTAACAATCTCAAAAATTACTGTACGCAGATGTACAATCGGCCGCGAAATTACACAGACCAATGAAGTGCGTGCCGATATTGCTGTTTACACCATGCCATTTTGTCATGACCGTTGCTTCCACCGAATTGCTGTCGACAGCATTGATCTGGTGAAATGCGCCAGAGAAATACTATCGACAATAAACGCCTCGTCAGTAGCCGGCGAGAACGACATTCGTGTATAAGCAGCAATGGTTTACAACTTTTGTTTGCGAGTGCTCGTACAACAAGCTATATCAGAAGTGGAGGTGGACACCTGCTTAATCATACATAATGTATGGCATTGTAACCACCCCATCAGTAAAATATACCTATTTGATTAACTTTCACAGCATCTTTCAATTCGCACAGCTTTTTCAAGCACTCTCGTGGATTCTCTGCAGTTAGCGCGAAGATATATTACCATCGTGACAGGCACCGCGGATATTGTGCTTTGCTTTGGCGTTTGAAAGAAAGCTCTTTCATCTCTTTCAGTGACTGCTTTCGCTAATTCTTCAAACGCCGAGGATGTTTTTGTTTCATTTGAAACAAAAGAAAATATTGTTATTATTAGCAGCGTTATATATTCGCCTTATTAACAGCATATATAGCACTTCAGTGGCTACTTTTATTTACCTACTATCACACAAGCACAGATACGATGATATTTGTTTTCTATTGTCACTGTTGTTATATGGTGTCATTCTTTGTATACTTTGCCCTTTCACGCAGTGTGTCCCCACAATCTATGCCTCAATAATGGTGTCTGTGGCTTGGCGCCAAAGCAACGTTATCCCGTCTGCGACTGTCCCGATGGCTACGAAGGGCCCCGATGTGAGTCTTTCATACGAAGTACGTCAAAGGAACACCTACAGACGAGCACAGGTAATTTCATGCATTCAGTGTATCCAAACTGAAACGTACTGGGGAGTGGTGCAACTAGTTTTTTTTTGCATTTCGTTGATGAAATCATTAAAAGTGCCAAGAATTTTTATTTTACTGTCAAGTTGCAAAACTTCATCAAAGAGGACCCTAAAAAATTCTGGTATTTTATTAGGGACCGTAAAAGCTCTGTAAATCGAATCAAGTTTAACGGCACTATAATTGACGATCCCCAAACTATCGCGAAAAATTTCAACGACTATTTTCATAGTGTTTTTTCAACTTCTACCCTGCCTGTCTCAATTAGCATTGACGCTTCTGATTCAGGTCCTAACCTCATTTCTTTCGATGGTGTCCTAAATTTACTGCTGCGATTAAAAGTTAAATCAACCCCTGGACCAGACAACATACCCAATGCATTTCTCCGGCGATATGCCGAAATATTGGCCAAGTACATTGTTGTGATCTTCCGACCCTCAATAAGTTCAGCAACTTTACCCATCGATTGGAAATTGGCACGTGTTCTGCCCTTTGTGAAAAAGGGGGACCCAGAGTGCATACCAAACTACCGTCCCATTTCTATGACTTCCGCATGTTGCAAAATGCTAGAACATATAATTGCCACTCGTATAAACAGCTTCTTAGATGATAACCACATTTTATCTCCCTTTCAGCATGGATTTAGAAAACGGTTTTCCACAGTCACCCAGTTGGTCTCAGTTATTCATCACAATGCTTCTATTTTAGACAAAGCTGGTCAGGTCGATGTACTGTTTTTAGATTTCAGTAAAGCATTCGACCGTGTTCCCCATAACAAGCTCATCGAGAAATTGCAGACTATAGGGCTTCCAAACTACCTAGTATCCTGGGTGTCTGCTTACCTGAACGGCCGGAAACAGTATGTCGACGTCTGTGGACAGACATCACCTCATCTCCCAGTAGATTCCGGCGTACCGCAGGGTAGTGTTCTAGGTCCGCTGCTGTTTATAATTTATTGCAATGATATTGTTAATGCTATTACTGATCCAGTTAAAATAAGACTTTTTGCAGACGACTGCATTATTTTCACAGGTGTACAATCGCCAGATGACCAGGTTGCTCTCGACACTGCCCTTAACAATATTCTTTCGTGGTGTAACAAATGGGGCATGGTGCTCAATTTCGATAAATCTGTTTGCCTTCGAATTACTAACAAGAAAAATCCCCTTCAGTTTTCCTATTCCTCCAAAAGCCAACCCTTAAAAGAAGTCAGTCAATACAAATACCTAGGTATAACGATAACGAATAAGTTGTCCTGGAATGCACACATTGCCGATGTTTCGTCATCGGCTTTCCGTAAACTGTGTCTTTTAAGGCACAAACTCAGAGACGCCCCGTCGCAAGTGAAACTATTAGCTTATAACACTTTAATACGTCCAAAGCTTGAATACGCTTGTATTGTATGGGATCCGCATACTAAGTCTAACATATATTCCCTCGAAAAGATTCAAAGACGAGCAGTGCGTTTTATTTACTCAAAGTATGGTCGTGGTACATCAGTTACGGAACTAATGCGAGATAACGAAATCCAGACGCTACAATCGCGGCGCCAGCTTCTCTGTCTAAAATTCTTAGACTCGCTAATTAACAATAAACTTGGGCTAGACCCATCACATTACGTTACCCCAGTTTCAACCAGGCAAACTCGTCATTCTCATGTCCGATCCTTAACTCCGTATTTTGCGCGGACAGATTTATTTAAGTTTTCCTTTTTTCCGAGAACTGTAACAGAATGGAATAACTTGCCTTCTGATTTCCTCCAAACCTTCGATCTTGATGAACCCAATGTTTAATTCTGTGAATCTTGACCCCCCCCCCCCCCCCGCCTCTCAATATTGCTTGATTTTTTTTTTATGTTTTTCTTCTACTCGCTCTTCTCCTACACAGATGTATTTTAGTCAAGCTGTGTTACTCATATACTGATCGCGTGCTTTCTTTGTTATGATGTTTTTCTTCTACTCGCTCTCCTCTTACACAGATGTATTTTAGTGAAGCTGTGTCACTCATGTACTGATATTGTGTTTGTGTTTTTGCCCCTCCTGCTTGGGCCTTTTTGGCCTGCAGTATTTCACAAATAAACAAATAATAATAAATAAATCCTGTCCTATGCTTTTACGGGATTATACTTTTTTGTTTTTCGCTGCGCAGGCTCTGCAGAAGAAAAATAATTAATTTTCATGTGCTCAATGCCACTGCGTTTCTATTTGAACTTGGATAATGTCACTGCGGAAGTGAACTTTTATCTGCATTTTTGAAACGCATATTGTTACTGTTCACTGTATTTCATAAATACCATTCCTTTCACCCACCAGTAACGTGTTTAAACGGGCGCGCAGAGCTCTGAGGGCTTGCAGAAGTGGCGCTAGGAAATGGTCTGCGGTCGAGAACGTCGTTAGATCTTGGCAGCAGAGAACCATAGGGCTGTCGTACGCTGTCATAGTTTTCCATAACGCAGGTGAGACCCTGTGTAAATCTTCTTTTGAGTGTGCGCTCGTGGCAAGAAGCTTTTTTTTCTTCTTGTTTTTCGAGCGCTTTGATGATTATGACATTTAGTGCACAGCACCTTGGGAGACCTGACTGTCGTAAGTTGGTATCGCTTGTCCTAACACAGGCAAGCGCTCGTAAAAAAATAGGAAAAGGAGGTATGAATAAAAAAATAGGAAGAGAGAAGAAGAAAGAAAAAAACAGAAAAAAATGACAACGAATGTCCGCAAATAGAAAATGACAGACATGAAACTTCAGAAAAAAAAGACCAAGAAAGAATGCGATGAGGAACGTAAGAAAAAAACGAAGAGAAACAATGAAGACTGCCCTGCTACACACTTGCGTCAGGCTTGGCACCGATGGTACATGGCCTCCGATGTAAACCACCAGCTAATCTCTGGTGGGATGGCTAATACGAATCTTCCTTTTTCGTTTTTTTTTTGCTAGAGTTCCTAACGCCACCCCATTTTGTTTATATTTCATTGAAGAGCAGACGTAATCGCGCAAAGGGCAGACATTTTGTGCGTGAGTGATAGTGATGAATGGTCAACTGGGTTTCAGTGGCTCTATCGCATTTTTGCGTCAATATATGAAAAGTAGGTCGCACTATTTAAATTGAAACATTTCAGCAGTTGCAATTTTCATGCGTGCTGACTGAAGCAAAAGACAAGCTTGCTTCATAATGAAAATATATAGAGCTGCGTGTGAAAGCGCGATTTGATCCCCGTCTTCCTTGTGATTTTGGCAAAGGATAAAAAGTCTCATTTGAAAGAAACCTCACTGCTTATACCTCACCATAGCTCAGCTTATAGTCACCTTCAATGACCCATCTGCATGCTATTTTTTTAAGTACGCAAACATTTTTCTACCAGTAAGTTAGTGTCAGAAAACACAAAAATAGTATCGCTAAGCAGAATTTAAACAGAAAAGCAAAAAGAAAACAATAAAAATAGAAAAAAGAGTGCACTATTGAATCTGTTCATTCTAACACTTTTTTCCCTCCTAGTTACAAAGCATGTTTTTAATTGCTTATCGAATAATATTCTAGGTAAGGGCACTATAAGTTGTCACACTCTAGGCAATGTTCGATGCATGACCAAGATACTCAGAATATTATTGTGTGTAAGGCTCAATGACAATGTTGTATGTTTTATGAATTAGTTTTAATTTGGTCGAAAACAGAGTCCACTGTAACAATACTAAGTACTTTATGACTGCAATAATAATTGTTCTTCTTCCTCTTTTCTTTTTATCAGCACCATCCAACACAGGCTCCATTGTCACTGGTGTCCTCGTCTCGATAGGAGTGGTTGCCATAGCTGCAGTGGTCGCAGTTGTCGTATTAAGAAGACGGCGTGAACCTCGGTAAGCATTGCATAGCATTTTTGTTTCTCTCTGTGAATTTCTTTAACTTCATAAAGTGTGACGAATTACTTTAACGACGCCGTCTGCACGATATGCTTGCGCAATGGCGTTGTCGCTGTTTGTGTGAGTCGTCTTGCTTTTTTTTTAATGATTCTATTCCTAAGAAGGGCTTGGAAACGTTGCGATGCCCTATATTTCTGATTTAAATACGTGCTGTATTATGAACTAAAACCACCTCCAAGGAAATGAGCTTGCGATGCTCAAAGGGTACGCGGTATACGTACTTGTTTAGCACTGGCCCTAGCGAGAGCAGAAACAAAGTTTTGCTTATTCAAAAGGCAGTGTAAAAGTATCAAAGCTTGTTCAAAACCTGTGCACACACCTGTGCAATGGGAGCGAACAACGAAGCTGAGAAGCAGGCACCACCACCTGGCAAACGCACATCGAGTTGTTCTTTCATCATCATATCCTTTTCTTTTTTACGTATTCATTACTTTTCCGTTATATTTCGTGATTACCTTCTTTCATCTTTCTGTGAAACAACCACATGACTCCCCCTCGCCCTTACGTCTCTTTCCCACCCCAGTAATGCTCTACTGCACATTGTTTTGCTACAGTGCACCCTCTCATCTTCTTTTCGTCTTCCTTTGCCAAGTCCTTACCAAGGCGTCAGTTGTACTCGGCCTCACGTGTTTTTCGCTTACCTAGTTAAAAAATTTTATCAGAAGCCATGTATGGGTAACTATCTATTCTTCCCTTTTCCTCTATCCTCATCTTCACATTGCTCCTGCTCACACTCATTTGCCTTTTCGAGTCTCTTGCACACTAAACCGTGCTATACAAGGCCATGTCATGCCGTACCTTCACCCATCAATTTTTACATCGTACTCACCATCATATCAGCCCGATCCATCCTCACACCTTATTTACACCGCCTTGCTACGTTATATTATGCGTGGCTAGACTATGTTAGGAGCTGCTTGTATATACCCGCTTTCAGTGGCGCACAGCCTTAGCTGCCTTAGCATGCCACGCCAGCAGTACCCCAAGCTTAAGCATCTTTTCTGTTACAACACCAAGAAAAGAAAAAGAAGGCGGACACAGCAGAACGGCATGAACATTCAACAAAGTTTGTCTGAACATTCATGTGTGTTTATGCACGCCCACACAAAAAACTGCTATTACCATCGCAACAGTAACGCCTCTATAACGTCTTAAGCGCCATTTTTTCATCTGCAACTGCCACTGGCAGGCAGCTAAGGCAGCTGCCTTCAATCCCCAAAATGTTGAAAACTTCGAGATACTCTCTTTCTAATCTGTTCATGGAACACATCACAATATTACTTTTATATAGGTCTCTACAGTAATTGTAACTCTTACAATACTCTTGTAAGTGCACAGCCATGTTGCTATTATCAACCCACGTTTTCACGCAGAATAACTGTAACAACATTGTACATTGCTGTTGCAACATGTATAGAGTAACGCAACTTTTTTCGATCTTGAACATCGGTTGAGTCTCTGTTTCTGGTGCACACATGAAGTACTTCGAAGTTGACTATATGTATAAGAAAAGCTGGCATCAGTTTGATGAAATGTCTACAGAACAGAACTGGGCAGTAGATAACAATGCAGGTAGACATCTCGTAGGTCTCTGTAAGCGTGTACGTGAAACATACATGAAAGATCATCAAAGTTTTTCTGAATGCGTGGATCGAATGTGCGTGCGTTAGCTGCTAATCACTGGCACTTGCCCCTGAGGAGTTGACCTGTGTGATTATTGCGACGGTGGCCTCATCATGTTGCGAAAGTGATGTATGTTCTTGTATACAAGACACGGTTTGTTCTTCCTTTACTCCTTGTCTTTCAACACTGCATTTTCTCTAAGTATGATGCACTGTCTCTACCACATGGAGCTCTAGAAGCCTAAGTTTGCTGGGTTGAAACACGCCACCATTTGTTCGCCTAATGTTGGTATTATGTAATTGTGGCATGTGACAAGATACAATGTCTCAATCAAAACATCTCTAGCAGTTCACTCATGTGCCAGGCGAGTGGAGTATACAATGCTGTGGTACATGAAAACAAGATAATCGTTAAAATTTTGCAAAATAACTAGGTGACGTCTAAGCCCCATTCTGCCACCTTTAGAATTACACTTTTTCGCAACTTTACAATTCGGCTGTGCGGAATTGCTATAGGCGGCACTACAAGAAACGCTTGCGTCTCCCAGTAGTGACGCTGCAGGTTTAGCAACGTCTCTCAAGAAAATAATTTATGCCATGCATTGGTACCCATAAAAATGCAAGCCTTAGTATAATTGTTTAGTACAGTGATTTTTTGGCAGACGTGTACTACCATTGGTGTCAAAGCTCTAGTAAAGCTTCACGTTTTGCTGAGAGTGAAGACCCTACTATAACAAAGAAGCACTGTTAGCATTATTATAATAAATGCGAACTTTATTCAGGCGTTAAGCATACAACCGTCAAATAATTTAGTCTTCACGTTCTAACTGTGGTCTCACCAACTATAGGCACAAGTTCAAGACAGACGAAGTCCACGATCCCTACGCGTGTACTTTTTTTTTACTTTTTACCTGTCAAAACTACGTTTTGTCTATGGTAGAGACAGCGAATACTTTCTTCAGCTTGTTTAGTAGAGTCATGTGGTCGTCGCAGTGGTACAGCAGAAACTTAATCATCTTGAAAGCGTTATTCTTGACGTACTCTCGTTTTCTTGTAAGATTCCACGTGCAGCACTGTATGCGACAGCTTTATTATGCTATCATAATTTTCCCGCCTGTGCTGCTTTCATTTCAACAAAGTAAAAGTTGTCGTTTACTTTGTGGATTCATTGCATATTCTTGCACCAGTTCAATTCCAAAAACCTAATGACATTTACCATGAGAAATATTTGTAGATCTTCCGGAACTTTGAATACGTAATAGCATCATCTTCACATCAACACCCTAATTGTGTTTAATCTACCAACATTAAAACAAGTTAGTATATAAGGTCAGGCATCAAAGTCATAATTCGAGAAAAATTACGGAACCAGCATAACTACATCGCATTTTAACGCGATAATATAAACGCAGATGTTCAAACTTAATTGCTGCCATCTTGCACCAAGGTGAAGAAGTTAATAACAGGTTTTTGTTCTCAGTTCCAGAGAAACACTAATATCACTGGACGACCCATCTTTTGAGACATATTCATATTGAAAATGTGAGTACAGCATGTTATGCGTCTCTTTACTTACATATGTGTTGTAAATAAAGTCTTCAATTGAAATATACGCAGTGTTCTTTATAAGAGATGCATACAAAAGTGAACAAACACGTCTGGTATTAAGTAAAAGGCGTCATTGGGGTGTCATTGTAGAAGAAACGCCAAAAAAGGAAGCTCACTCAGCATCCCAAGGAAATGCAGGCTGCATCAGTCAACGAGACGGGCGTTTTGGTATATGAGTGAATTTATTTTAGGCATTTTATTTTCACAGTATGAAAAGTAATCGAAGCACGTCTCAAGCGCACATTTAATTTTCCAAGTATGTTGATATGACTCGGTTTAACTATGTCTTCTTGTTCAGGTGTAGAATATCAATATCAGTTTGCACTATTGCAGTGTGCAGTTAAGTTAATGTTTTTAAAACACCAATAGAATAGTTTGTACTTATATTGACCTATAGCGGTAAACTTGCCATCGCAAAACCATGAAATTGTCTTTCAAAAATTTTTTTTGGTGATCTCTCAGAGAACATTCGTGTTGAGGCACGAAATTGCCGAAAGAAGGTGTTGCCGACATTTTCGCGAGAAGAGTTAGATGCAATTAAAAGGAGGGGTGTGTGTTTGACTTAAAGGCGCCACTCGTTTGTTTTTGGCCCCAAAGCCTTATTATTATGTTCAGTCCTGAGCACCAAGGTGTATATTAGTGGAAAATATAAAGCTGCGGTAACTTTCTGGTGACGCTATAGTAACAACTTTAGATTTCGAAAGTTAGTTTGTTTCATATGGGTAACCATTTGTCTCAGTGTGAACTGACCTTGTGTACATATGTATCTATTAGAGGTGTCTGAACTGTCATGAGGCGTTTGGCTATTGTGTACTTTTACATCATGTGTTGTACAGTCTCGCATTGTATGCCCTAATTGTTTATCTAATGACACACCTTGTCTGCTAAGAGAAAATGAGTAGCAGTGCCTCCATATCAGCACCAACATATTTTATTTCATCATTTTAACAAAAAAAGAAAAAAAATCTTTCTTTACTTCTCGAACTTGCCAATTTAACGCAATAATTCCAGCATCCCCATGACTTCGTTGGATAGAGTTTCAAGTGTACTTGCTTAAAGCTTCTTTTCTTTTCCGTTTTCAGGGGAAATTGTGGTTTTACATCAAGAACATCCACGGAATCAGAGGCTGGTCGTAGTGTTTGACTACCGCACAATGAGACTCTGCTTTCAGTGTCTGTCACTACAGCATGTACATATTATATTTTAAAAATAAATTAGGCTTGTTTCAATTAATAAACTGAAGCGAATGATTATCGCAAAAAGTTTCGGATGCGTCTTGTAGGTGCTAGGTTTCTAGGCGATTTGTCATCATCATCATCATCATCAGCCTGACTACGTCCACTGCAGGACAAAGGCCTCTCCCATGTTCCGCCAGTTAACCCGGTCCTGTGCTTGCTGCTTCCAATTTATACCCGCAAACTTCTTAATCTCATCGGCCCACCTAACCTTCTGTCTCCCCCTAACCCGCTTCCCTTCTCTGGGAATCCAGTCAGTTACCCTTAATGACCAGCGGTTATCCTGTCTACGCGCTACATGCCCTGCCCATGTCCATTTCTTCTTCTTGATTTCAGCTATGATATCCTTAACCCCCGTTTGTTCCCTAATCCACTCTGCTCTCTTCTTGTCTCTTAAGGTTACACCTACCATTTTTCTTTCCATTGCTCGCTGTGTCGTCCTCAATTTAAGCTGATTTGCTATTTGCTATTTAAGCTGATTGATAGGCGATTTGTAATAAGCTTCATATTGGAAGCAGCTGTAGTACCAACTTTAGTAAGAGGTAAAGACAGTCATCCATTCTACCGCAGTTTTTTTATTTCTTTTCCACCTTTATGACTTCCAGATAACGGCACAATTAAGCTCACGTGTCTCTCCAGCATTGATCGAAACTCTTTGAGGACGCATGAGCTTCACCTCAAAGAGGAGAAAAGAATAACGTAATGAGACTCTCTTATCATCTCTCCCTAATCACTACGCCGTCTTCGCTTCTCAGAGGCAACCTCTGCGATGCCGCGAGAAAAGAAATCTTTGTGCGTCGGTAAATTAGCCCTCTCAAACTATCCTAGAATGCCTACTGCAAGCTGAGTTGCGAAGTATCATTTCGACAGAATTTTCTTTCTGCAAGTTAGCGAGAGACCAGTTCGTAAGCTTACAAGCACGTCTTCGCAGCTGCACATGCTGTTTTTTGCAGTAGTTCATAAATCAATTCCGCGGTGGTGCTTTGTAATCGATGGTCTTTTGAACCAACCTTTCCTCGTTTCGCGATTCACATGTTTTGGTGCTTGGTGTTGTTCTATGGTTCTCCCAACCAGTACTACGTGTGTTATTGGCACTTCTTGCTCTACACAACATTAAAATAGTACTTTTGTTTTTAATAGTGAGCGTGGCCATCGTTTTGTGGTCGAACACCTGCTCGCCATGCAGAAGTGCGGGGCTCTATTTCCACTGTAATCAGGGTTTTCCTTTATTCCTTGATTTCCAAGTATTTCACTTTTTCGCTGATTTTTTGCTCAGAACCAGTGACGCCAACACCAACACCAACACCAGAATGTTCTTAACAACCTCTTTAGGCTACTGCCATGACCTATAACGATACCACGCTTACGTGAGCTAAAGGTCAGACTAAAGTGAAGTACACATATATTTATAGGTTCATAGACCCCTTCATAATTCATATCTGGCATATTACAAGACCCATGTCGATAAAGTAAACATAGATTTATTGACCGCTAAATGATGTATAAGGCTATTACTCGTGAGGTCTTTCTTTATATTTTGTCCGATCCATGCCAAAGTAATCACTTGGAATAGTAGAAGCAAAGTGCAAGTGCGTGAGCTGTTGAACGTCAAAATTTAGTATTAATACAATCGTATCAAGCAGGACAAGGTGGTCGCAGTATACTACAATAGCATGAAGTACGTGCTAATCCTCTAATACAGAGTGGTGGCATGCTGCAGCCGTCGGTATTAACATAAAAGAAACTATGCAGATAATATCTTTGTTGGTGCCGTTAATAGCGTTTAAATACATGTTGCTTGTAATCAATCTATGGGTCACACAAAAAGAAATGCCAAATGATCAGGCGCTTGGTGACAGCACTTCCAAATTTAGGCCCTGCAAGTAACTGTGAACACATCATCATTGCTGCACGGAGAAAAAAGTCGTAAAACGACGTGCAGAGTTATATAATTACCAAAGAGAATTGAAAAAAATTGCTGAAGTGGAAATGATTGCCCAGGCGTGAAGCCGTGCCTATGGCAAAAAATCACGGCTGCGGCGGCCATCTTACTACGGCACGATAAAGTACCACCGGTCAGCGCTTGAGGCAGGGAAGTTTATTGCAAACTGGTAACAACATTTCAGGTGAGTACAGCTATCTGGTGTAACAAAATCACTTCAGTGGCGTGTACAATCAGAATAACATAGACAGGATGTGACGCACACCACTTCAATATTCTCACAGATCACGAATTAGTCAAGAAAAAAAGAAAAAAAAGAAACGCGAAAAGCACAAAGTTGGAACATATTCACATATTACGTGTGACAAGAAGAATTTTTTTTCGTTTTCTGAGCTAAAACGGCAGTAAAGGAAATTCAATATTCTCAATCCGAACTCCAAAAAAAAAAAAAAAAAAACGTGCATGCCACCTTCTGACGAAGGCTTCTTCACCCTGAGTTTTATCTATTCCATAAGGTACCAAACCATGATCATTCTAATCTTCTGTAACGCTGGGTATGCAGCTCGTTGGGGTCGTCGGCGTGCTTCAGCCATACAGCGGCGACGCCACAAGACGAACATTGTGACGTACAGTACGAGTTGTTCAAATAAGGCCCTTCTGCGCTGTCGGCCCGAAGGAATTGACACTCTGAATTGACAACGCACGACGTGCAACATGCCTTTGGCTGCTACGCATTCAAAGATCATGTGGCGGATTGCTTCTCTTTTCCCACAGTTGGGGCAGTGCTCACTGGGAACGGCACTCCACTTTGACAGTCTCTAACGAGTGGGGAACGCGTCTCGTTGCCGCAGCCAATCAAATTCTCTAACTATTTCCGGTACGTGATTTTTCGTCATTTCTTCCACTTGCTGGGCCTCCATTTCTGTTTTTCCTCGCCAGTAATCAAGCGACTGTTTACCATTTCGCTAATGCGTGTGGGTGGAAGCTTTGCAAAGTATTCTTCGGTGGCGTCGTTATCAACCGAACGCTTGAGGTCCTCTGCTGCCTTATAAAATGCATGTGGGTGTTCTGCTTGAGGTCCCCGGTACCTTTCTGACGTGAATGCGGCTCCAAGAGATCCGGTACAATATAGCAATAAGCTACGACCAAGATAATTATTGTCCTCAAACAACTTGGGAACTGTTTTAGCAGCAAGCGCCTTTGTGAATGTCGCGACATCGGGCAGACTGAGTCTTCCAGAACTTTTTGGGAGCTTGAGGAACTTCTGTTGAACTTTCGTTGTCTTCCCGTCTCGTAGGAAGGCTCCAACCAATGATGCAAGACAGCTCGCAAAAGGTTTGGGTATGAGTGCAATGTGCCCGATATAAAAAGCATATGCGGATGCTTTGGTTTTCACCACCGTCACTTTGGCGTCAAGTGACAAACTGAAGTCAGTGGCATACGCGAAGGCCTGCGTGGCTCCATGTACGGTGTCCTCCTGATTTCTTCTGACCACCTCCGCGTCTTGAAAGCATACCCCGAGAACTTTTACGGCATCCACGTATTGAGCACCACTCAGCAAAGAGCCGTGGAAGCCACCGAAATGAAGGGCTTTGCTTTTCTCCGCATTCAGGAAAGCACCCAATAAACTAGCATATTCTTCGAACAGCTCCAAGAAAGCGCGGTAACTGGCTTGGTTTCGCACGAGTACATATATGTCATCCGCATAAGTGGTGATGCTAACTGACCCGAGACCTGTCATTGGAAAGCCCTGAATATTAGGGCACTTTGCCACTTTCTCAAGGAGAGGATCTATGGAAGGAACAAAGAGCACAGGTGCGATTAGGCATCCCTTGTGAACACCTCTTGTTACTGGAAAGCTTGTTGTCTCCACGCCATTGATAAAGAGTCGGCTGGTCATGTTGGCGTATAGAAGCTTTATGCAGAGGATGTACTGCTCAGGCAAACGACACATTCAAAGTACGCAGCATAGGTAGTCATGTTCAACCCTGTCGAAGGTCTTAGCTTGATCCAACGACACGAAAGCGCCGTTAACGTTTTTGGCGTTGGCATAGTAGAACAAATCTCTTATCAGAGTAAGTCTTTAAAAAATCGACCTACCCGACATTGCACACGTTTGCGTGGGTGACACTATATCGCGCAAAAAAGGATTTAGCCTCAAGCCAAGGATCGTGGCTACAAGTTTGTATTCCGAGGATAATCGGCCTCCACGATCGTGGATAGTCAGCATCCATGCCCTCATTGCGCTGCAAGATTACAGGGCCCTCACTGAAAGACTTCGGCTTTTGTCCATCAACAATGAACTCGTTAACCATGTCAGTAAGTGCGTCGCCTCGGACGTTGAAGAAAGTTGTATGAAATTTTGTCAGTATTCCGTCTCGACCTGCAGCCGTGGTAGTTTTCATTTTTCTTAAGCTGGCCAAGCTTCATCTTTTGTCGCCTCAGTGCAGAGCATATCACACGCCTCAGGACACAGCGTGGGCTAGCCTTCACAAAAGTCTGTGATGCTTTGATGCTGGTTTCTGTCTTTGGAGCGAAGGTCTGCAGAGTAGGGCCTTTCAAAAAGCGCCCGGAAGACCTCCTCTTCTGATTTGACATCTGTGACGATGTTCCCACCCTCCGTGCGTGCTGCGCCGATAATACTGGGCTGGTGTTTCCTTACCCCTACTTGCTGTGCGTATGCCAAGTTACCTAGTTCATCCGTAGACAGGTGCAGTTCCTCTGCGTGTTTAAAAGCTCCGGACCTTGCCCTCAACAAGAAGCCGTATTTAGCCTTTTTGGCCCCAATGTACTCTTACATTGCACCTGTTAGATTACCTGCGTGCTCAACGATTTTAATACGCCTCAATGTTTCATTCATTTGTGATGTTAGACGTGAATGGTGCATTTTCGTGCCTCCTGCACCATCACACGCCATCTGCCCTTCAAGAGATCCCATGCTGTCGGCGTAATTTGTGGCGTCTCTTCCAAAGGCGCATAGATATTCATTCGCGTTTCAGATACCGAAACTTCATCAATTAAAATTTATGAATCCAATCACCACAACTTGAAGCAATGCCTTCCCAGCTGGACCTTCAAGGTGAAC